TTATTTTGACAAAACTTATATTCTCACAAAAATAATGTCATTGCTGGTTTATTAAAGTAAAACTCATATAAAATACAATCAAAATTGAACAGAGGAGGATTGAATGGATAGGGGAGTTATATGTCTAAACATAAACCTAAACCAGAAAACTGTGCTCATTGTGAAAATGCCATTGCTCATTGTGAAAGTGAAGCTGCTTTTGTTCTGATATTTCTTACATCAAATGGCAGCTATCTTGTTTTTCCCCCTTCAAATTAAAATGGCGGAAAATTCAAAAAATTTGAAAAAGAATTAAATCCTTACATATATTTAAAAAAAAAGATTTTCTTTTTAATTCTTCATGGTCCTTAAGTTATTTCTATTTTATATGCCATACAGGTTGCCATTGGTGTTTTTTCTATGATAATTATTGATTGTTTTCTGTTACTTATTTTGACTCTCAGCAGGGGGTTTATTTTGCATTAATACTCATGAAATAGTAAATATACTTATCACATACATTTAACCGAGGGACCAAAAGGGCATATATCCAGACTCATCCTTTACACAAATTTGTGAGTTGATAAATAAACTCAGTAACACTTGATAACCCTCCCCCCCCCCGCTTGAAAAATAATGCTGGGGAGATCACTGAATGCCTTAGAGTATATTTGCATCTCCAATGAATAATTAATCTCAGTAAAAAGTACCCTGTGCTTTAACAAAACATTGTGGGGAGGTATGTATGTGGAGTAGGGGGAGGGGCTCATAAGGGCTTGTAGCTGTGTTTTCAATATAAATTGAAATATAGATGGCAGCATGGGTGTTGGTAGGTCCAGAATACATGTAAATGTATTACAAGAGTCACTTAATTTCTTGATTTCCATTTGGATCAACTTAAAACACCATTAAGTGATCTCCTCAGCATTTTTTCTCAGGTGGGTGCAAAAACTCTCATTTTTACAAATTAGACAAAAATTTGTGGAAATATGCCAATGATTTTTTTCATTTTTAGGTGGGTGCAGACTGATTTTCAGGTGGGTGCAAGCATATTTTCAAAATCTCAGGTGGTTGCTGCGCCCATCTTGCTTTATGCTGGGGAGATCACTGCCAGTTGAATCTAATCATATGAACCTATTGACATATGGATTGTAATTTATTATTAAAATTGTGACACTTATAAGAGTAAATGAATTTTTAATCTTTAAAGGTTTTTCAACATTGTGTTAATGGGGATTTAGCTTGAGCTTTTTCAGAAGACTTAAAAATCTTTAGAATTTGAGTAAAAGTAAATGAAGCTAGCTCTATTGATAGAAAACAACATATAGAATTCAAATATGCCATTAAAAAGAAGAAACTGTTGGTCTTTAATTAATGGTTACAAATGCAGATCAATTAAAAACATGACTTAAAAAAACATGACTTTATGGAAACCATCTGATTAATAAAAAAAAATCAACATCACATTTACAGCTTCCTCAATTTTTTTAGTTTCAAAAGATGTACTGAATAGTGTTAGGTTGCCAGGCTGAGAACATCTTCCCAAGAATCTATGCAACCTTATGCAGTCATCATTTCCACATCATCATTGCACACAGAATATCTTTCTAACAATACATTCAAAAGATAGGGAGACGCATTAAGGACTAAGGCACACCCAAAGAGTACATTAAATCAATAGAATTAAGGTTGTGATTAATAAGAATCATTGCTTATGAAAACTCCTGGAAATGTAGGAAAATTCAGAATGGATATATTTTTAATACTCACATAATAGTACATTTCCTCTTCTTTAACTTCTTATCTCAGACATAAATTCATCTTCTGAAAGTACAAAATGGGGTTCATGATTTAGATCTAAAACATTTGAGCAGCTCTTGCTATTTTTGAGTATGTATGTTTGGTATTTTGATGCAATCCTCAATGGATTCACATGTTTCTCTATTAATAAATTCATTTGTTGAAATTAAGAGATCTCTAAAACACTAAATGATATATACTACATTCCCTTTTTAAACTCAAAAAGTAGAAAACAGCAATTGTGAATAATTCCAAATGAAATAAGATTATTTTAGTCAATATTCAAACATATGAACCCTCACATAGAGAGACTGATTGAGAGAGTGAATGAGTAAGTGAACTTCTGAATGAGAGTGAGAGAATGACTTTAAGGAAGTGAGTGACTTACTAAGTGACTGAGTAAGTGGCTTGCTGGGTGGCTGGATGGCGGGCTTGCTGGCTGGCTTGCTGGGTGGCTGGGTGGCTGGATGGCGGGCTTGCTGAGTGGCTGGCTGATCAACTCCACATTTTGGAGATAAGCTTAAACATAAGTTAAGATGTAAGTTAACTACAGCCCATTTCAGTTTTATTTCGTCAGTAGAACCCCAAAAATATGAAATCAGGAGACCATTGTGCAATAATATTTAGAAAAGTATATTCATATTGTACATGAATGACATTTGTATATTTCAGATTATTTAGTTCTGTTTTGTGCAATAAGCCTGTGCCCTCTTATAATGAATTTCAGCCATGTTACAAAGTATCTTTTTGAAAATACTATGGCAGAGAAGCATACATGCTATCTATTGCAAGACTTATGCCTGGCACAACCGTCACCAGGTTATTAAGTGTTTTTAAGTTTCGCAAGGATCTTGCCATGGCCGTGGTAGTGTTATCGCGAAAGCCTGGTATAATCGTGACAATGCTATACTATATTGCAAGGCTTGTCACGACCGTGGTAATGTTAAAGCACGATATGACTGTGACAATGGTTATATTAAATAGCATTTAGAAGCATTGTAAATTTCATAGAATGATTAACTACCTTAAATATGTGAATCTAGACTTCTATTCATGAACATGGTACTCACGTACATTGAAACGTGAACTTTTAGATTCATTTAGAGTCCATTTCACTGTTTCATTGCGTCAGTAGAATGGCAAAAATAAGAAATTGGGAGACCATTGTGCAATAATATATGGAAAAGTATATTCATAATGTACATGAATGACATTTGTATATTTCAGATTTTTTAGTTTTATGTGCAATAAGCCTGTGACGTCTTGAAATATGAAGAATTTCAGCCATGTTAATCTTATTGAAAATAACATGGCAGAGCATCCCAATATAAGAGGCCACACACTTTATAAGCCAAACTAGAAGCAATCCAAGATATACAAATGTCATTCATGTACATTATGAATATACTTTTCCATATATTATTGCACAATGGTCTCTCAATTTCTTATTTTTGCCGTTCTACTGACGAAATGAAGCAGTGAAATGGACTCTAGTCTTCTTAGTTTTTTGTGCAGTAAGCCTGTGTCCTCTTTTAATTTAAGAATTTGTAAGCGATGTTATCTTTTTGCAGGTTAAACAAATGTCATTTATGTACAATAGGAATATATTTTTCAATTATTATTGCAAAATGATCTTTTGATTTTACGCAATAAAACACTGAAATGGGCGATAATAGAGAGATCTGCTCACTATTACGGGAAATTCACGAGTTTATGTGGAATTTATCTGTCAAAAACATTATCATGTTTGATCCTCGTTTAGTCTAGTTTACTTTGAGCAACTTCTTACCTTCAAATCTGCTATCTTGACTACAAACTGAGTACAAAACCTCCACTGAGTTTACCACGTGAGGGTACAACAATATTGAATTTCGGCCAGTCAGTATGCCATAATGATTGCTCCCAAAAATAGCACGGGCTAGGAGCGCTCTGATTGGTTGGATTTACAGCACGGGTTAGGAGCGTCTATTGTTTGGATTTCGAACCTCAAACCCGGGTTCAATAGAAATTCAAACACGTGCTACACATCTTAGCACGTGCTACACATCTTAGCACGTATGGCACGGGTGCAATGTGTATTCGGCATGGAGTGCTTCTGACTCAGCTGGGGAAGGAATTTGAGGATTCGCTGTAAGTGATTGCCCCCAAATAAATACAGCTTGGTATATGACTCTCTTCCTATGCTGTAAAAGGGCATCTGATGTTGGAGGAATGTGTATTGAAGTCCTCTTTGTGAACATCTCCTTCCTCGCAGCATTGATTGATGTTTCATTGCTTGTTTTGTTGTAGACCAGAATAATGAACCGCTCTAAAATAGGCATGGCATCAAGCAGGGTATTGGGTCGAATTGAAATTTCTGTTAATACTGTAGTCAATTCAGGGTAGGTACTCCATTGGTGCCAGGCTGATGTCTTAGACTCTCCATTAAATCCTGATGTGGTGTCACACCCAGTCATAGCATGGAATATTGGGAAACATATGGCTTTCTGGGGAGTCATTACATGAGCAATTTCATAGACTGGGAGGTATCTATAGGACTTTCCCTTGCCAAAGGCGAGCCAGATTTGAATGTTAAGTTGTGCAGCTATACTTACTGCCAGAACAACAATATCTGAATCAACTGTTCTCAACATCATTTTTGTGAAGCCTTTTTTTCATTGCATCATATATGTGAAGAAAGATTTGGGAATCTGCCTCTTCATGGGATGATGTGAAATCTCAGAAACATGCTGCTTAGGATATGCCTCTGCAGTATTCCCAATTGTTGTAATCAGCATTTTATTCTCTGGTACTGGAATGGCTGAGACATTTGATGCAAGGAAGGTAAAGAGATCACTTTTTTGTCATCCAAGTGTACAAATTCTGGCCAATTCCCTGGCAATTTGTTTTCTGGATAAACTATTTGACGCTTTCCAGATCCATGCTTTTTTCTTGTTGTATATTGATCCCATACAATATCAAGTCTTTGTACTCTATTGAATTGATCTGCAACATACTTATTAAATTGTCATTTGGGTATTGTAGGAAGGTTCTTGCTTTTTCTTTCAGCAGGTGGACTATTATGGCACCATCAAGAAACAGGGCTTCAACATCTTGTGTATTGATCTCTCTATTTGGAACAAGGTCTTCCACTGGTTTTAAGATATCTGCTTTGAGTCCAGTCTTGATTGCGCCATCTTGTGAAAGGGATGGAGGTAATGCCTGGTTCTCATGTCGGAAAAATTCATCTTAGTTGCCATCTTTATTCTGGCACACTATGTATAGTTGTGAAAATAGGGCTGTGTCTTTTTTCAAGCTTGCTAGCTTTGAACTTGAGTAAGATTTCTTCTTTTGTTGTTTGAAGATCTTGAAATTGTTTCTTTTGATATGGTCTGTGATGGCTTTTGATCTTTCAATAAATCTCTCCTTTTTATATACTTACATTGACTTTTCCTCAACTTTGTTCAATGTGTCAACTGCACTACTTGACAATACATCTTTAGTATCAAGTGTGTAAAGTTCCTTTGATGCTGCAATAAAGGGGTTTCCTAACTCATTGATAACCTCAGTAAGGGAATTGACATCTTTCTTGAAACTGGTTTGATAACTAACACTGTGCCCATGGTTTGCAAGGACTTCATCATCATTATCCTTCATCTCATCCTCAAACTCAGTCAACATGCTTGCCATCTCTGGACCACCAACCATCCACTTCTGTAATGCGGTTGGATTGTTGAACAACCCCACAGCTCCACCCTCACTTTTGATCACACTATTATTTTGCTTATGGGCTTGGTCTATTGACATGGAGGAGGAGCTTCTTCTTGACTTGCTGACAGTAAAATGCCCCTTCACGAAAGCATTGTGAACTTCAGGGTGAGTTTCTTTGAGCTGAACCATATCACTTACATGGACAGGTACTCAGCGGGCATAGTTGGTATGAATCAGGAGAAAAAGCATGGCATGATTTTAATGATAGTTTCTTTGTAGAGCTTGAAGTCCCCAAGTCTCACAGCTCCAACATTTGTTAGACACAGAACTTGTTATTGGAGTACCATGTACCAGAATTTGAATATAGGCGACCCTGTTCCTTCACTCTGCTATCTGATATCTATCCAAGATTCAAAATCAAGAGGCAAAATTGTATTGATTGGCAATCTACCTGAAATCTACCCAAGTAACAAGACCCCCTCCCAACACACACAACACTCCTTCTTAATTCGAAACTCCCCTTATTAGACCAACAATATCATATTTCAAAACATAACAGTTCAGCAAAATAAGCAGAACGACTTCTTGATTATTTTTATTAATCATGTAGGTCAAAATCATACTTACGAAAACTGATCTAGATTCTATCATAAACGTTGATTCTCATTGTCACTCAAGCATGACCTTGTCAAAAACTAGAAGGGATTTTGGTAGTTGTGATAGTAAGAAAGATACACTTTTTGCTAGATTATTCTGTATTTGCATTCAAGTCAAAAATCAGATGTCACATAACATTATTTTCAATTAAGATTACATTGTTTATCATGTCGAAGTATATGCCACTCTGGAAAAGAGATAAAGGGAATTAATTAAAGATAAGTAAATATTCATTTTACTAAAAATTGACTGCAATCTCAATTATTATCATGTGTATCATGGTAAAAGGTTCCAACATTGAAATTTTGATACTATTTAATGATAATCCTAAAATGTTATGGCTGGTCATTAAGCATACCGCTATAAATTTTAAGGGTAGGGGTAAAAATTGCAAAAAGTAGATAAAAATGGAGGAAATTTTCGACACAGTTGCTTTTTACACCCAGGAAGGTTGTCTGGTCATATATGGAAAGTTCCACGATTTGTTCCGTTTTCGGCGCTTTCACCCTTTTTATGTCACTATTTATCTCGCTATGTATGATTTTGGACATTCTGAGGTAATTTTTGATTTTTTGATCGCCCTAATATCTTCTCTGTAAAATCTTGTCTTCACGTTTCCAGGCCAACAGTTTGAATGGTCGATTTCAAATTTTCATTTATTTAGTCTTCTCATTAATAAGAGAATCTAAAGAATCCCTTAAAAGTGACACTTGCGTATGCATGATTAGAAACCCCGTGTATTTTTTTTTATCTTGAATCGAGTAAGAAGATACACGCTATTTGATTTCGACCTTGTCTTTACCCAGAGTTCAAACAAAAATAATTTGTGTTGGTAATTTGGTACATTTTACATTGCAAAGGCCAGAATAGCTGCAAGAGTCCTGTCAGGAAAATTGGAATTACCATCCAAGGCAGTTATGCAAAAGATTTCGAAAGAGGATCGCAGAAGACTTCGAGAGATATTTGGGGATGAGAAATTTGCAATTGATAAATACAAGAAAACGGTATGTCTTGATAAATGTATTATTTTTTAATAAACTGTAGATACTTGAGCTAGAGTGCTGTATTAGAGAGTTTAAGCTTGCATAAAAAATTGCCCATATACATTGCATGTAGCTTTCTCGCTTAAATAACCGTTCAGCTCCATTATTTCCTAAGATTTAGCACGGGATTTCATTTTGTGTTTTCATTAACCCCAACACGACAGCATCTAATATGCAACTGATGGTTCTATAGCTGTTTTTGTAATACATACGGGTGACACAAAAATGCCAACCAAGAATTTTCTCAATAATCAAAGAATCTTATCAACAAAGACACATTCTCTAATTTACTTCTTTGAGTGCTTTAGCGTCAGAACATACCTCCACGGATAATGAGGATATCCGATAATGAGATATCTCTTAATCTACAAGACATCGATGGTTTGCAAGCATACCAATCTTTTATCCATTGAACACTCTCACTCTGACATTTTTGTGTCACCTGGTATTTTAAAGGGGACCACCCAGACTGGACCACCACCATGGTTATATGATCAGTCGTGTGGAGGTAAGCTCCCAGTTGAAATAAAAGCACTGTCCTCCTTTGGTTTATGTGAAAAGTAGCTAATACTCTCATGTATTGGTCAGTTTGAGTGTCACAAGACTAATCCACACCATATGCTTTATTCAACATATTTTATGCTATTAAGCTGCATATAAAACACTACTTTGCAATAAAAACGTACTACTGGATGAACTAAGGGGGTAATTAAATTAGTTGTTTCTCATTCTTGCCCGCGTGTGGCCCAATCCCCCAACACCTTTTTTCTGCCATTTCTGAGAAAAAAACACCGTACCTCGCGCGCATCCATGGCGTGTGAAACACTTTTTTTTAAACTTTTTATGGATCAGGATAATTGACAATATCGTGGTACTGATATATGATCAAATATACCAGTAAAGTAGGCTAAATTCAACATATAAATTCAACATAAACTCAGTTTATTTCCTTCAAAATTAGTTATTTGTTTTTACAGTTATTTTAAAGAAAAAAATCATCCCGTCCCTCATCAGCATTTTAGATAAACAAAAAAGGTAATATAAAAACCGTCATTCCCGTATCAATTTTAAAAAATAGAAGAAAGAGAAACAACTAATTTAATTACCCTGGCCTAACATAAAATACAAAGCCACTAGCTAGCTCATACAGTATACTTACCCCTTGCAAATTGTAATTTATTGAATTCACAGTAAACCCATCAATTTAAAAAAAAGAATATTGTTCTCATGGATCTATTATTCATGTTAAACTAACTATGAAAATATAAATATGTAATAATATGTTAACTTGAAGTCATATATAAGATGAAAATATATGTTCATGCATTTGCATTTTTCCAAAGGGAATATATTCCCATGTAAGTAAATACAGGTGCAATATACAATTTATATGTATATCTATGTCATCTGTCTATACATGCGCGTATAGTGATACATTTGAACAAGATGATGGTTCTGGAAGACCAATTTGAAAGTAAGTTCATTATTCTCAAGGGTACACTTCAAGTGAAAGTTACATTGCTACAGGGTGGCCTATCATTCTGAGACAAATGTATTATCCAACGATTGAGATTTTCAAAGCTAAAATATAATATCTTGAGCAGATGGAAATACATTCCCATGAGATATGTATATATAGTCAAAGTGATAACTATTTATTGAGTGTAATGTTAACGTATCCTTCGCCAACTGCTTTTGTTTGAGATAATTATCATGAAATATTTTAAAATTAATTTTTATGTTTGTCATTGATCCTAATCCACCCTGTAGTCTGGTGTTTGTAGAGCATTGCACCTCGTACAACTTATTCTCACACATATCAAACCTCATTTACGAATTATTTTTTGTGTGAATATGAAGAGTCCAAGCATTGCTTTTTTATGTTTACTGTATAGCTATATTTAGCCTTGATATCCATGATTTTTTAAAACAAAATCTCACCGTTAGATTTCGAGCTATTCATGTTTACTCATTTTTCTAATTGGAAAACAATGCAAATCTCATTTTTTCAAAGGAAAAAATTGAAATTCTAAGACGGTGAAAAATCATTAAAAAATACACAGATTCAGAATCCGGCAAGCATTTTCCCTTATTCCTCTCCGTTAAGATGTTTTGTAAGGTGTTGGATCCCTTTAAACAAGCTTGTTTCGTAAGATATTTGGAGCTAAAACATGCATGACATACATCATCTTCTTCAGGAAGAATTATTATGTGCATCGAAAGCAAAATTGGTAGCATAGTATCCAGTAGATATGAGTTTAATAATTCCGTTGACACCAAGGTGAAATATCAAATACGAAATTCTGAAGCTGAACGGTTATCCGAAGTAGGCGCTCGAAGCGCATTCAAAAGTATGGCCGCTCTACACATTCCTATATTGATTCGTGAACTTTTCATTCACGTTTACGTTGTGAAAAGCAGTGCAAGATTAAACTCTCTATAATAAAAATGGTTGTGGTTTACTGCTAGAGAGGATTGTTCAATCAATTAAACGTTTCAGTTTAAGTTACATGCTCGAGTTCGTTATTCATCCTCCGACCCGCCACCTGTTTACACGACATTTCTCATATAGGAATGGTATCCACCTTATATTGAGAGCTTGGCTGATATCCTTGGTGTGAGACCAACACCTTGGAGAATATTCCTCCTCTTCTTCACGGATCCGAAACTTGCGTATGAGCTCACGTTCAGCTTTCCACTCGCTGTTAGCTACAGATTATACGGGCCTGACTCCAACTGGGACGAGGCACGGAAAGGTGTTATTGAAAGTAAGGAGAACCTGATGATACCACTGAGGACCGTGAAATATGATGAGCAGACATACGGAGTTAAGAACAAAGTGGTTGCAGCTAGTATTGTTGTTGGGATGTCAGCTGCTCTTTTGATGTATAAATTTGACAAGTTGCCTTTTATATCACAATTCATAAAAACACCCTGAACAGTACTTGATCAGTTCTAAAGAAGACATACACGAGGGGTGATTTAAAAGTAATGGACAACATATAGGCATTCTTAACGTTACGCAATCAGTCCAAATTTTTCACATACATTAGATCATTCAATTATCTACCAAGTGTCAGATTTTTATTAACTTCAATCAATATTGTTCCAGCTAAACATAACCTTGGTAACTTGGGTAAGCATGGGCGGAAACCACTTTTTGTTTATAGTTGAATATTTTTGTCATTTCTGTTTAATTTCATGTTAATGACTCAACACACATGCTGGGATTATAAAATGCTAAAGCAATTGTCAAGGAAGACTCACATGTCCATCCATATACCAGCAGCAAATCGTGCTGTATTAAATCCCAATTATTTTTTTAAAATTTCTTTCACGAATCACAGAAATTCAGAAAGTGAGTCAAACTCTAATATTTACACACATCAAAGAAATGTGTCAATGTGTAAAACAAAGAATTGTTAAAGTATTATTGGTTATATCCGTCACGAAGGCCAACTTTTACTTCTTGTATTCACGTCGGGAAAGGGTTAAGAAATTATATAAGCTCTTCGGTAAAAGGTTCTGAGAGGGTACTGAATCTTTAGCCATCTGGAAGACCACAAATCGGCCACCTTGATTACAAGGATAACAATATTCATCTTGTAAAAGCCATCTTTAAATACAGTCTGGAAAAGGGAAATAAGTGCCGTCACAGATGATTTTTTGTTACATGCAGATTTTTATATAAAACATTATTATTTATTATTATTTGTGGCAATCAGAAATTGTGTGAGATCACCAGTATTTTACTGGATTTTGCACAGTTATTTCTTTAAATGTCAAAATAATACACTGGGTATGATATATTAGACACATTTCTTGAAATTGTATCCAGAAAGATCGAGTCTAGTTGTAAATGTCTGTAACAATATCCTAGACAGTGTACTTGACAGTGAATTGCATAGTTAACCCTACACAAACTGCGAATATAGTATACTGTAAAACGCGCGAGTACATTTACCTGTGATACGGTAGAACGCAAATTCAAATTCCCATGTTGTACCACATTATGAGTTGGTGTAGGTTTAACTATGGAATTCACAGTCAAGTTTACTGTCTAGGATGTTGCTACAGACATTTACATATAAACATTTGGGTTTCAGTTGGTTGTGCGATTGTGGCATAAACAAGCCAAAAAAGATTTATTTTGAATTTTAGACAAATTGATGCAACTACCTTCAGACCTTTAGAATTGACCAAGAAGCTTCAAATAAATAAGCATTTTAAAGCTCTTTCTTCTTCTATATCATGGGGGTGCATCGCAACCACCTGGCTACGCCTATGGACTGCCACACTTAATTTGGTACAGTCCCTGTGTAGAGGGAACGGATGTTCACGCTCAACACATCAGATGTCACATGCATACACACATTCACACACACAATTAGCTCACTGGTATTTGACTGGTTTTCTGACAGATAATTTCTTTAAATGTCAAAATAACTTAAGTTGCACATATGTCTAGTATCTACTTCAAATGATCTTCACCAACTTCATTATCTTTTTATACAAGTACATACATCTAACCCATCACCGATCTGAGTTTTTGAACTTGGAACTGTCTTTGTTTTACTATGTGAATATTAGTCAAACTACAGTTTACACTCCCCTCCATAAGTTTGGAAACCTTTTTCCCCCATTGAACTACGTGTTAAAGCCTCTTTACCTTTGAATTTTTATTTACTTAACCTGCGATGAAAATACTTATACTATTGATGGAAACGTAATTTGACTTTAATTCCAATACCTCCAAATTTTCTCAATTTTTTTCCTCAATTACAATAGGTCGAAAATTGATGATAAATTTGATGAATTTTTGAAAATCGACATTCCCATGTGAAAATGGTAGGTTTGCCGCTACTCATATGACAGAATATCCATCCATCCGAGTCCTTGCAAAAGATACGAGTGAGGCAGGCAATTGAATTTGCTAACTTCATTTAACAAAAAATTGATATGTTTCTTCAGGTTCAACAAAGTTATAGGGCTTTAAAGTCAAAATTGTTTTTCAAAAAACCTCTCCCATTGAAATAACACAGGAGGCGAAAAATTATTTTCAAACATGAGTTTGAAGCGATGTAACTTTAATATTCATCAAATAAACTAAACACTTAGTGATAAAAAAAGTTAGACAATTCAATTTTCTATATAAAAATAATTTTTGCTGAATCTTTTACTGAAAAGATATCCTGATTTCTGATTTGCCCCGAACCCTCCATTTCCCATTGGATTACATGGGAATGACGATTTTCAAAAATTCATCAAATTTATCATCAATTGTCGACCTATTGTAATTGAGGAAAAAAATTGAGAAAATTTGGAAGTATTGGAAATAAAGTCAAGTTACGTTTCCATCAATATTATAAGTTATTTCATCGCCGGTTAAGTAAACAGAAATTCAAACGTAAAGAGGCTTAACACGTAGTTCAATTGGGAAAAAAGGTTGCCAAACTTATGGAGGGGAGTGTATGTATCTCTTCTTGTATGTAAACCGGTACTTTTTATTTTGGATGTTACTACGATAAAAAGATACTGTACGTTGTCAACACGGCTGTACGTTCATTTGAGCAGTTAATTAAACAGTGAATCAAATGTTACAGGGTTATCATAAAGTTAGATCAAAGGTGCTCTAATTTTTGTAAACATTGATGAATCTGGCTCATTTTATCACAGAATGTTGATCTAATAATTATACATACACAACTTAAATTTCAACACGTAACATTTAATATTCTGCGTTTTTGTTTTCTTAATGGTTTTGAAATACCACCATATTTTGTTACATTCAAAGCATTCTTGTACATTCTTATTTCTCAGATGTTTATTTCAGGTGTCCTGTACATTTGCTATTGTATTCAACACATTTTTGTGATGTTTAATCCAGTCCATGAACACATGTCTGAATGCCATTCGCAAGAAAAAACCAAAGTTGGTAAATCACATCATCCTGCATTGAGATAATGCACTTTGCCATACAACACATTTAATAACACATCTAAGCAATTGAACAGCGTGGGGATCAAACAACTAAACTTAGACTTTTATTTCTGGGGAGAGTTTCCCAAGACAGAAGAAGATCTGAAAAAGGTGGTATTAGACAGAGTGCTTGTTACGAGAGAAGGTGGCTTCAAACATGTGTTCATGGTTTGGATTAAATGTCACTTAAAATGTGTTCAATATAATGGCAAATATATAAAACACCTGAAATGAACATCTGAGAAAATAAGAATGAACAAGAATGCATTGAATGTTATAGAATATGGTGGAATTTCAAAGTATAAAACCATTAAGAAAGAAAACATGACAATATTTCCATTCTTTTTTTGACTGCTCCGGCTACACTCAACATGGGTTTCCATGGCTACCCTAGAACGCAGAATATTAATAAATGTTTCAGGGTAAAATTTATTTTGTGTATGTGATTGTATAATTATTAAATGAACATTCAGATTCATTAATGTTTACACAAATTAGACGACTTTTGATCTTATTTAATGATCACCCTGTTGGCTTATAAATATATAGAAATATGATAATACCATTATTATAATAACTAAATTGGTTAAATTGAACATAGTTTAATTCAAAACTAAGGCAAAATCTAAGACTTCATCCCTTCGATATTAATTATAAAATGAGAAAGATAACATAATGAGTATCGCTAATTTTGCTATGACATTATATTGTTTTTTATTATGAAACTTTCAGGAACACACATCTGACCTTATTCTATATATATCTTCTGATAACCAAATTAGTTTTGACAAAGTTATGGATACAGTGGTAACCATTGTCACGGGTATTTGCGCAAAGTTCCAACGTTACTTTTGGACAACATTTTTTAGTGTTAAAAGCAGGATCACATGTCTCAATGAACTTCTTAGGATTATTAATAATCTATAAATTTGTCGTCAAACTTAAAAAACGTACAGACGCCAAATAGTCAAGGAGATTGGAAGCTAACATCCCATGGTCACAATTAATCACCGCACCTGCACCACTTTCAGGGCTTAAAACAGCCCTCAACAAGATCACATTTAGCTTATTTTAGCTCATCTTTAACATCATCTGTGCTAGGGATACTTGGGGAAATTCTTTGAAAATCACTTGATACTCATTAAAAACCCTTGTGGATTTTGAAATAAGATTATTGCACTTTTTTATTATTACATTAATGAATTTCAGTGAAGTTAATAACGTACAGTTTAGATATTTTAAAATTATACCCAAATACATGTGATTGAATCTTCGCCCGTCCAAATTGTGTACTTTAGAGATATATTCTCATGAAAATAATCGACATTCTTAGACGGTAGGGAAATTAATGGTGATCAATGGAAATGTGAAGAAATTCTAACCAGTCAACTATATGGGTAGATTAACCTACTAGAACTCGAGCATTGCTCGGGAATGTGTGAATGTAATTAGAAAGTAAAAGTATTTCCAGGAGAATACACATGACATTTAACATAAAATCCTTTGTATTCCTCAGATGAACTCTTGAAAACATACATCATCGTTGTTGCTTTGAATCAGTTAACATTGACAACGTACATCTAAAGTATACGACGATATTTTTGTCATTACACGCTGTCGATGGTAAGGCGTGTAATAGGGTTATTCAATGTGGAGTGACCCTGCTGTAGTCATGTTAGATATACTGCTTTAGTTTCTGGAATAGTGCTACGAAATGGTCAAGGTATGTGTTATTGGAGCAGGTGTCTCAGGCTTGGCATCCATCAGATGGTGTCTGCAAGAAGGGTTAGATGTCACATGTTATGAAAAACGCCCCTTAGTAGGTATGTAATCTTAAATAAATACTACGCAGTAAGAAACAGAGTAGAGGGCATTAAAAGTCTAAAAGTGGTCGGAAAGCTGAAGATAACTATATATTAGAAAAATGAAAAAATAGCTACATCAATTATTATCAATTCTAAATGATTTTTAAAAGGTAAACATTAAAAGATGATTTGGATCGAGTGGATTGGATTCATGTAAAAGGTGGATTGGATCGGGAATCTTCAAAATATGCAATTTTCATCTGTTGTTCTCCCTCTAAGCAAAATTTCCATCCTACGAAGTATTTTGTGATCACTTGGGTCCTTGGGTCCTCACTTGAGGAATTAGAAAAAATAAATACTACAATTATTTGATGGAAAATCTACGTATTTAAGGTGCCATGATACTTAACAGGAAATGATGAAACAGGAAGTGACAAAAAAATCTGCATTTTCAGACGTTTTTTGAACAAGAGTTTTGTTTTGACCTCCAGTCAATTCAACTAGTTCCACATACCATTTAGAGGTCCAGGATCACAATATTTATGGTCAGAATGACCATAAACATGATGAAACATTTTAGCTAAAATAAAATAGCTAAAAGTAGGAGCTAGGGAAGGTCACTGAACAGAAGTGAATCTTTTGAATTTTTCAGAAAATGTGCCCAATATAATGCTCTAACTGAATCAATCTTTGAAAATTTTTAGAAAATTGTCTGAAACAAAATTGGCGGTCATAAAAAGGAAAATAGCTCGCTTTTCAAATCAGTCTTTTCATTTTTCTTTTTCTATGAATGATATCAAATTTTCAAAGATCATTTAGAGCATTTAGAGCAATATATTGGGTATATTTTCTTAAAAATTCAAAAGATTCTGTTCAGTGACCTTTCCTAGTTCCTACTTTTAGCTATCTTTCAGTCACATTTTCAGAGGGCTGAAAATGTTATTGCATCATGTTTAGGGTCATTCTGACCATAAACATTGTGATCCTGGACCTGTAGATAGTATGTGGAACTAGTTGAATTGACTGGAGGTCAAAACAGAATTCTGCTATCTTTGTTCAAAACATGTCTGAAAATGCAGAATTTTTTGTCACTTCCTGCTTTGTCATTTCCTGTTAAGTATCATGGCACCTTAACTGCTTTCCCTTGTAAACTTTTCAAAAACATTTTTAAGGCATGAACATAGATCTGTAGATAAAACCAGTAATTCGTTTCTGAAAACATTTCTGGATCTTCAAAGCAGTCTGCCTTGTGATTAATGAATTGCCTAGAATTCACCCTTTAGCCAACTCAAGCAAAATAATATTAAATAACACTGTGGATGTTAGGAGAGCAACAGTCGACAATCAATAGAAATCAATAGAAAAAAGAAATTCTATATTTTGAAGTTTTACGATCCAGTCCACCTTTTACATGGACCCAATTAACCTTTAAATTCTTACGTTTTGAAACCATTTTGGTGTATGGTGCTCCATTTAAGCAAGCAAATGCTGAATAAAAGAAATGAAATCATTAAGTCAACTGAAGATCAACACAGAACTGTTGTCAAAGACAATATATGGCAGCTGAATAATTTATTCAGTGAACCCCCTATAATACTGTATAGGCGTATATCATAGGTGGGTTATGGTGTTTGGAAGACGAGGCGTCGCGTCTTGATGCAAATAATCCAATCGACATTGAATGTAGACCTTATGCAACATGCTACACGAATGACGATAAAGAGGCATACTCATTCTCCGACTTTAGGTTTCCAAAGGTAAAAAAAATTAACTAGTGAACCAATAAATATAGACATTTTCCTTGGTCAATATCATATTTTTCCTCGGAATAAAATTCATACTCCATCCCTCCTCCCATTAAATAACATCTATAATGTAATATTATTCTCACAGGATGCTCCAATCTACATACCCCGGCGAAAAGTCGGTCAATATTTGGAAGACTATGTCGATCACTTTCATTTGAGACCACGTATCAAACTAAACACGAGTGTAATAAAAGTAAAATGTATAAGCAACGGTCCTGAATGGCAGGTGACAACAAAACCAGTTACCGATACAAGCCATGTTGCTACAACCGAAATGTTTGATGCAGTTATTATATCAAATGGCTTTATGAATCGTCAATACATACCTGATATCAAGGGACTGGATGCATTCAAAGGACGTATAAGTCACACGGGAGATTACTACAGACCTGATGTATTCCGGGACAGAAATGTCCTAATAATAGGTAAATTGAAATAATATGATATAATAACATCAATCGAAATAAGACCCGCAATAATAATACATCTTAGTATTTAAATCAGTTTTGTGAAATGGCCTTTTATTTTCAAATCTAGCATGCAGCTAACTAATATCAATATTGCCCATGAGGTACCCATTTTCTGCTAATGATCAGTTTCAAATGGGAAATTGCATGAATCTTTCTTAATATGCATTCTGATACTCAGACCATCTCTGCTATGCACAAGAATGTCTAGAAGGAAACTGAGAGAAGTCTGTGATATCTCACGATGCTTAAAATGATTTACGTATTATTGTTGTAATGAGACCTTAATAGGGGCTATTGATGGCACTGAAAATATAGCTGAGCAGAGGAACAAAGAACAGGGTGAATTTATAAGGATAACAATCGGATAAAATCAACACGGTTTACAACATCAAATATTTATTTACGACATAAAACAATACATGCATGCATGCATGCATTATTATAAAACAAGCTACAAACAATAATAGATAAAATGGAAATACCACTAACGAGATCCAACCCCGGAGCGTCAGAGGGCCATACCACGCCCTAACTTCCGTTATCGTAATGCATCTAATATTTTCAAGTATTTGATCTCAAACTACTACTACTGATTAAGACAAAGGCGTACCACGTCGTGCTATAACTAATGTACTCCCGTAAATCAACTCTCCAAGACTCAAAGAAAATATTATGTGCCCAACAAAAAAAAAGATATTTTACTTTTTGAGATTTTACAACATGGGGTCTATGGGGAATCCGCCCCAACCTGAAAGTCACATTTTCAAAGGAAATTTAAATTTTCAAAGTTGATAATCTCTTTTTAAAACCATATTTCTATATGTCATTTTACATGTAGATTCTAATATGACGCCAGTTTGACTGACTTTTGAAATTTCAATGACGCAAATCAAGATTATTTCTACCTGAGACTAATATAAAATGTTATGTTAGTCTCAGTTTCTATTCGCATCTACATTGTAGTCTATTGGTTGGTAATAAATTAAGTTAAGTTGGTTTTGTACTGTTATGACTAGTTTAGGCCTTAATCATGATTTACACGTTCGTTTTCATTCTATGTTTGAAAGACCCAACATTGTGGGAACCTGATGATTTTCTGAAGTAAGCCTGAATACAATTATGTTATTTACACATTTTGGCCCTGCCCCCCCCCCCCAGATCCGCAAGTGGTGTGTTCTTGTCATGCAATTGACAAACCCTACCTTTTCAATGAAGGACCGTGAATATACACTGTGCACACACGGGTCTCATCCATCTTATATATATTTTCACCAGATGTTTGAAAATGAATAAAATGATATAACGTTTGGGGGGGGCTGGTGTAAAAGACTGGTTAAAGTTTGGAGGGCAATTAAAATGGGACAATTCGTATCCTTCTTATATTAGAAGTAATTAGGATCACACAATATCATATATCAAAAGATGGAGAATTCATTCAGCTATAACAAGACAATATCTTTTGACTAATCTTTAAAGTTGTAATTATTGTGACAGTTTTTGATCGTTATGTCCTAATTCACAATGTTATAATAGCTCTCAATCTCGGAGGAGTCATCACTAGTCTAGCATTTATACAGGAGATTGATTTGTAGTGTTAAACTTTGAGAAACCAACATAACATTGTTCGTGACCTAGTTTGATGCAATGGATCTTTGACATAGAAAATGTTTCTTTTTTAGACATCATGACCAATTTGACCTCAAACTTGAGCTAAATATTGGAGTTAGTTGGAGTTAATAGTTTGGGAAACAATAATTATGGGTATTTACTTTACCGAGAAGTTGCCGTTTTTTAGTCGTTATAATTTCCAAATATGGGGACTAACTTTGTTAAATCACCAAAATTAGCAGTTATGTAGTTCATAGATTCACTCTAGGCTACGTGACTCATGATTCTTATTTCAAAAGTGTGCCTGAAAATCAAAAATGCGGTTTATGTTTTTCTACAAAATAAATTGATGTTTATGCTTAGATAAGTTCAGTTTTGTCGTACTGTTCCTTTCAGACGATGCATTTCAAAATGATTAATTGATTTAATCTTTCAAAGCGAATAAAAGTGATAATTTTATTTAGTACACTTTAAAACATATCTGAAAGTGAAAGTCGTGGCTATATGTCTGGTTAATAGATTTTTGAAACCGTGAACTTTATCAAAATAAACCGCTTGGGATGTACAGATATACAGAATGGACAATAAAAATAGGGCAGATTTTACAATCTAAAAATGAAGAAATTCATGGAAAGGATGTCTTATATGTTTGCCCCTATCTGTGATAATAACACTAATTATTCAAATCATAATCGACCGATTATCGTGACGTAGTTCCATTTTTGTGAGAAACTCTGACTTCCAGTTTTTTTTAACACGGGATGCCAATTAAACGCTAGAATCTAAAATAAAATATCACAATATTTCTGTGTAGATTCACCACTCTGGTGATATATTAATAATAAGTTAAGTTCATTTACTTCAGAGTAATATGTTTTATTTTCGACGTTTCGCTAATCATCCAACTAGCTTTAATTTTCAAGATTCAAAATGGAAGTACACAGTTATATTATTTATGATTTATAAATAATTATTGCTAGTTTCTAAACATAAGTTTCATTCAGTGAGTTTATTCAATAGACATTTAAATGTAAAACATGATTAAAAATTAAACATAATTTATGTGTCTGCTTTTTTATCGTACCTGGGATATACCATTTAAGTGCAAGTACCCTTTTAAGAACCCAATTTTGTTCATGCGGTGCAGTAAGGGGACATATTGCCATTATCTAAAATGCATGCGATGCAGTAAGGGGACATATTGCCATTATCTAAAATGCATGCGATGCAGCAAGGGGATATATTGCCATTATCTAAAATACATGCGAGGCAGTAAGGGGATATACAGGCTGGTCAAAAAATGGGACAAGTTTTTTGTCAACATAAAGAGAAATTTAATATGTCCACTATTCTGATCAAATGTAGCCCTCAATCTTGGCATAAACTTGTTGATATTATCATTGATATGCTTTTGAAAGAATAAATTCCACTTCTCCACAATTGTGTCCTTACAGGACTGAATAGATGCAATGGGTTCATGGTACACCAACTCTGTTAGTTCTCCTCATGCGTGGTAGTCCCAGAAGTTAGCATTAGGTGTTCTGGTCTGAGGGGGAAATTAAAGGGATGATTCAATATACACTGAGGACTTATTCCTGACCTCATATTCTGTTTATTACATTTTCCAACAAGAAGGGGCTCCAAACCATAGATCCCACAAGACAGCAAAATATTTATAGGAGAATGTGCCTCAATTCATACCCCTTTATATTATGGACGCTGGTTGACATGTATTATAATAGATTAGAACTTATGATATACCAAGTTAACGAAAATTAAATTAAATTCCCTATCCACTGGTATGTAATATGGCATGTTTTCTTAAATACAATCATTGTTTATTTTTGAAATACGAGTGCCCTATTTTTTGGACCACCCTGAATTGCCATTATCTAGAATGCATGCGATGCAGTAAGGGGATATACTGCAATTATCTAAAATGCATACGATGCAGTAAGGGGATATATTGCCATTATCTAAAATTCATACGATGCAGTAAGGGGATATATTGCCATTATCTAAAATTCATACGATGCAGTAAGGGGATATATTGCCATTATCTAAAATTCATACGATGCAGTAAGGGGATATATTGCCATTATCTAAAATTCATACGATGCAGTAAGGGGATATATTGCCATTATCTAAAATGCATGCGATGCAGTAAGGGTTATATTGCCATTATCTAAAATGCATGCGATGCAGTAAGGGTTATATTGCAATTATCTAAAAAAAACAGTGCGTCCCAAAAGCCCAACAAGCAAATACATTGTAAAACTACAAAACTAGTGGTGATGACATCAATTTCATTTAGATGACCATGAAGCCATGTGTCTCCTCTTTTAAATGATATGACATTTGTTTATATGTCTGGTTACAAGACTTACACAACACAAGTTTCATATTTGAATTAACTAAGTGAAGAGATTTAGCTTCAAGTGTCTATCAGTATCCATAATGGTTCAGTTAACGTTACAACCATGATTATGAAAAAGAAGTGGCATAAACAGTTAAGTCACAATGATTATATGTCATCGTATTGAAGATTACTTATGAAAGATTCCATCCCATTCCCTTTCACATTGCCACCATTTCTCTTCACACAAAGATTGACTCGTCTGTCCATGTCACGAAAACCTCTTTGAATCATCTGTGGGTTTTGGCGGAGAGAAGCAATCTCATTTGTGATTCTCTTGCAATGTCTTAACTCTTTTCAGAGCAGATTCTAGGCAGATGTGCAAAAGAAATGATTATTTAGTGGTCTGTTGTCAGATATGAATAAATCATGTACCATTGGAAAGAGGAGACATGTGGCTTTATGGTTTAAATTGATGTAATCATCACTGGTTTTGTGGTTTACAATGGTTTTGCTTGTTGGTTTTTTGGGACGAACTGTAGTATACATGCCCTTCAAAATCGAACGATACTGTATAAACAGGGTATTAACGGGCATCCGTTCAAGATAGACGCAATGAAATGGAGATTTAGATACCACCCTGATAAATGTCAAGTCATCAAATTCAAAAACAGAATAACTGAAAACAGTGGAGCTTAAGCTAGGAAACGCGATCCTACCAAATGTAAACACGGTACAACACTTTGGCCTACCCCTGTCAAAAGGAAAAAGTGACACAGACCTAATTAATGACGGCAATCAAAAGGTTAAACATGCTATGAACACTGATGTTGACCAACTACATCCGCAACCCTACAAACCCTTCAACAGCAGCGAAATTGTATTGGACAGTAAGCGTGCCCTCGACATCATATGAATGAAGCTGACCTAACATAACCTTAATTAACGATTACGCAATCCTTGATAAAGGTCAGAGGCATCACAAAAATATTACGAGAACTCTAAACACGCCAGATGTGACTGTTTTCCCACAGAAATGATGGTACAGTCTTGCATCTACCATTGTCATCGCTAAACTTATGTTTCTCTGGGGCAAGCCTAAATCTTGATCTATACCGGCCTTCTCTCTTTGTATATAGAGTGGAGCGAATATATTCATTTAATACTGAACGATTTTCAATATTTCTAGGAGGAAGTAGTTCAGCCAGTGAGGTAGCAAGTGATATAAGCAGAGAAACATCACAAGTAAAATAATTAATATACTTTTGAAGTAGCTTATTTGAATTTAGTATAATTTTCATGAATTCATTATTGAAGACTGCAGACAAGCAGCCGAGAAATTAGCTCAAATGTTCTTTCACATTTTATTCTCTTAACCTTAAAATAGTCAATTCAAATCAGCACGTTCTGCCTGCATTCTTTTTTGTAACATTGCTACGTTGCGTCATTAAAACTAAATATTCTGTTAAGGCATACTTAAGTGCGAGGAATGGGCTCTGGCCCTTAAACCGCTTATATGGTGGAATACCTGCGGAGACACTACCTATATGGTCAAGATATACAACTTGGCGCTACAATGTAAGGTAAATATTCGTCATTTTTAAAAGGCTAGATGCGGCTAGATTAACACGACCGTAATAAGGATTGGATCTGAGTTTAAAATGTGCTAAACTAGATTTACAATTAGTTCTTGTTTAATGGAATTTATAAAGAATACACTTATTGTTTTACAACTCACATCAATTCACCTAGTCTATGCTTTTGAGCGGCCATTAACTGTTTCATCACGTATTTGTTGGAGACGTGCTCTTTATTCACTGTCTCATCACGTATCTCGTATTGAAGTGAACAAGACGATATGTATCTATTGTAGTAAACTAAATTACGTGTATGGCGGATACGTGTCTATTGTGGTGAACTAGACAAGATGTACATGTATGGTGTATGGTGGAAACGTGTTATTTGTTGACTGTTTCATCACATATCTATTCTATTTAACTAAATTAGATGTATGTTGGAGACGTGCTCTTTATCAACGGCTTCATCACGTATCTATTGTAGTGAACTAGTCCAGGCATGCGGTATAGGCGTGCTATAAGTTAGCTGTTTCACCATCTCTCTATTGTAGTGAACAAGGCAAAGGTCTGGTTGAGTCGTGCTTTTTGTTAACTGTTTCTTCATGTATCTATTGTAGTAAACTAAATTAGGTGGGTAACCGGACAACTCATCCACCTTTGGCCAACTTTTAAACACCTTTGGCCAAAGTTTGAGCACCTTTGCCAAACTTTGAACACCTCAAATTTTTCGCGCTCGCTACGCTCGCGATGTCGTCAACGGGGGGGGGGGGGGGGGGGGGGGAGGGAAGGTACGAACAATTTCCAATGAACATGCGTGACACATACGGGATTCGCGTGACAAATCCGAACAACTTGCGTTCGGTTTTTTCCAGCGTTCGTATTTTTACCGTATCGTAAACATATTTCGAAAAAATTTCTACAGAAATATTTTTGCTTGACAATTACCAGGTAAAATGCGTATTTTGCGTGACATTTTCTGTCACGCAAAAAAAACTGGCGTGACTTCAAATTCTTCAGCAAATGCGTGACAAATACGCAAATTGCGGGACAGTTGACAGGCCTGAACTCATCCCCTGGACAACTCATCCCCTAGACAACTCTTCCCTTGGACAACTCATCCCCTGGACAACTCATCCCCTAGACAAGTCATTCCCTTTACGACTCATCTTTTGGCATGCTTGAGTAATTTAATGTAATATTATTATATATATTATTTTATTATTCAAATGCATTTTAAATGTATTGGTTATCATGATCTGAACTATTTGTTCGCTTGCACACATGTGCATTTTCTTAGACATATGATATTCTGCCTACTACGTACTGGAGAAATAAGGAAAAAGACGAAAACCGTACCTTTGAAGCTCTGACATTTTGTTACCGAAACAATCTTTTTACAACATAATCAAGTGGAGTACCAGTGTTCACGTAATATATAATAGTTCAGAAGACAACACAGTCACATATGAAGTTACCGAAGTTCATGTTACAAAATTATGCAGAGAGAAAACTTTCTTTTTTTGTCATGAAATATTAAGTCATGTAATATAAGGAGAAGAAATGAAAGTTTTAATGGCACGTTTGACTGTTTGACCATTTTATTTGTGTCAATAAAGTGAAAATAATATTTAGAATGATTTAAGATGTAACGTATTTAATAAATATTTATTTTCCAAAAAACAATTTGGCTTCATGTGATAGAGGATGAGTTGTCTAGGGGATGAGTTATCTAAGGGATGAGTTGTCCAGGGGATGAGTTGTCTAGGGGATGAGTTGTCCAGGGGATGAGTTGTCCAGGGGATGAAATGTCAAGGGGATGAGTTGTCCAGGGATGAGTTGTTTAGGGGATGAGTTGTCCGTAAGCCATCAGGTGTATGTTGGAGACGTGCTATTTGTTAACTGTTCCATCACGTATCTATTGTAGTGAACTAGATAAGGTATATGGCGGAGGCGTGCGCAAAAGATTCAATTTCAAAGACTACAGTATGGAGCCTAAACGTGGACTTCTGAGAATGGCCATTGCTATAGGAGACGAAATTGAATTTCGCATTGCGGCAGGGGCATTAAAGGTACTAAATGCAGTAATGATCAGTATAATTAATTGCATTCCTGAAAGATATATCATCCATGCATCGACAATATTTGTAAAGTATTATTTCGTCCTATTTCATAATGCATATGTATATTTGTACATGCAAACATGTAGATGAAGGGAGAAGTCAAGGAAATAACAGAGACCGGGGCAATATTTCAAGATGGCAGTCGTATAGATGACATTGATGATATCGTGTTCGCAACTGGCTTTAACCCATCTGCTGAGTTTCTGGATGATGATCTCGGTATGAAGCTGTCAATTCACTTTCAATCAGTCAACCTACGAATGGAAAAGTGATATGAAAGATCAGCTGTTATAGAGAGAACTGCCATTGATATTGTGACATTTTTTCTAATTTTCATCTCACAATAACCTCTCACCCTGGTTTCGATCCGTGTTCTTTATGTGATTGTAAGTGCCAAGAACTTGGGTTAACACTTTTACATTTGTGTTCATTTCAATGGTCTTCGTTGCAGGCACATTAGAGACAATGGATCTCTACAAACACATGATTCCAGTGAACGACGACTCGCGGTCCCTATTTTTCATTGGCATAGCTAATGTTCTTGGTCCAAACATTCCAACGTTTGAGTTACAAGTAAGCAGAATAAAGATTCTACTTTTATCAATGGTCATAGTCTTGGACCTTGGTTAAAATGCTGCTTTATTTTTAGTAAAAACGGCCTTTATCTCAAGAATATCACTCAAAAGTGACAGCTTTTTTGGTGGCAACATGCCATTAGTTATCCTTATATTGAATCGGGTAAGATACACGCAATTTGACACATAGTTCAAACAATCAAATAGAATTCGTGTTGGTAACTAGGTACATTTTACTTTGCAAAGGCCAGAATAGCTGCAAGAGTCATATCAGGAAAATTGGAATTACCATCCAAGGCAGTTATGCAAAGGATTTTGGAAGAGGATCGCAGTAGACTTCGAGAAAGATTCGGGAATGAGTTAGTTGAATACGAGAAATTGGTACGCCTTGCTAAATATTGTTATTTTTCAATACAGAGACTAGCTACGGCACTGTATCATTAAAAGAATAAAAATGTATTTAACAAATTAAAAGGACTGTGGTTTTCTGGGGCTTGTTTATTTTTGCGTTTCAATCACGTTGTTATTCATCTTCCGACCCGTTATCTGTTTACGACATTCTCCTTTAGGAATGGTATCCACCTTATATTGAGAGCTTGGCTGATATCCTTGGTGTGAGACCAACACCTTGGAGGATATTCCTCCTCTACTTCACGGATCCGAAACTTGCGTATGAGCTCATGTTTGGCAGGCCACTCCCTGTTAGCTACAGATTATACGGGCCTCATTCCAACTGGGATGAAGCACGGAAAGGTGTCATGGAAAGCAAGGAAAACCTGATGATACCACTGAGGACCGTGAAATATGATGAGGAGACAAACGGAGTTAAGAACGGAGTTAAGAACAAAGTGGTTGCAGCTAGTATTGTTGTTGGGATGTCGGCTATCCTGTTGATGTATAAATTTGACAAGTTGCCTTTTATATCACTATTCATCAAATCACTTTGAACAATACTTGAGCAGTACTTAAGTTGTATGATTGTATTTTACATGTACTTTATTTTCTTTCTAAGCCCAGAACTTTCTTATAACAATAATTAACGCCCCATTCAGCACAGACACAAGCTTTTATTATGACATATATCATAACACATAAGCGCAAGTACCCAGAACACTACAGAATCATAATTGAATTTAATGCAATTAAAAATTGTGTGAAGTGAGTGTGAGGGGGGGGGGTGACGTGTTATTGTCATCGACACCAGTCATTAATTCTGACCAATCATATGGCTTCTAGGTTTTAAACGTCAGTTGTCTGATACTACCTGGTATACCATCTTCATTCGTTACATTTATTTGTGGCATCGAAGTTATTCCTCTTGCAGGACATTACATCGTACTTTGTATTCACTATACGTTATTTATGAAACTTTATATTATACATCTAAATCTCAAGCCACTCATTCCACTCCACCACCCTTGGTTGTTAAGCCCTATCGGCAAAAAAGTATATTGTTATATATCATTATGTAATTTATAATAAAATTACGTCATCATATGCCAACAACAAACCTACTTAGATGTGTTACTCTTATTTTTGCCTATCAAAGAGCGCAAGTACCCAGAACACAGCTTCATAAATACCGTATATAATATCATGCTAGGCGTTCAATTCAGACTCCAGATGACAGATTTGTGTTTTGTTTATATATAGATGAATAAAGAGATAAAGTTAGATAGATAGATAAATAAATGAATAAGTAGATAAATAAATAATAAGATAAATAAATAGATAAATATATGAATAAAAAATAAATAAATAGAGAAAATTATAGAGAAAAATGAATAAATAAAATAGGTAATCAAATAGATAATTAGATTAATAAACAGATAAATAATTAATTAACTGATCATTAAATAGATACATGGATTGATTTTTCAATATCTTCTTCGATTCTTTTGACTTTCTATCAGGTTACCATCATATTGATTTTTTCGAAATTTTAAAATGGCGTATAATCTAAACCGGTAGTCTGATTTCAATTCGGCTTTCAGATTTGGAATCCTGAGAGAATTAACCATTATTTTGATTCTTCAAACAATAAATTTGAAGATTTTTTTGTTGACCTACTTTCTGGACATTATATTTCAAAACTAGGTCAAAATACCTTTTGACGGCAAAAGACTAACACTATTAGCATACTGTTGGCTACATGTATACTTTTCAAAAAGAAATATTTAAGTGTAGTGTCAGGATCGTAAAAACAACTGAACCGGAAGTCGTATTGAACTTTGATTTGCAGATTCGGATTTCTGAGAAGATTTTGCCCTTAGTTCATAACTCATATGTTAATTTGGTAAACTTTTTAATTTTATCAACTTTTCGGACACCATATCTCAAAAGTGCGTCAAAATACTTTCCGACGGCAAAGGAAGCACACCCTTTGCTACCTGTATACAAAATTTTGAAGCAAATCATTCAAATATAGTGTCAGAATCGCAAAAATAAGGAAAAACTATGAATTTGACCTAGATTTTGACCTAGGCATTTTGGCTGTACTAAGTCTATATCTCGTATTTCACACTTCAAAAATTGACTTAACATGGGGCACCAAATTTAGTGATTTTATTTGAGAAAGATATTGAAGAAAAATATGATGAGTTAGAAAAAATTAAAAGTGAAATGAAAGTATATAGAGAACACTATGTGAAAGGTATTATGACCAGGGAAAAATTAGAATGGTACGAATTTGGTGAAAGGGCGACTAAGTATTTCAGTGGTTTAGAAAAAAGAAATTATGTAAATGAATCAATATGTCAGGTGGAAGTTGATGGGGAACTGATAACAGATCCAAAACTTATTCTTTTGGAACAGAAGAAATTTTGAATAACAATGCCATTAAGACCTTAAGTGAAGAACAGAAACAATCCTGTGAAGGCCTTTGACCGGAAAATAATTTAAATTTGAATTAAAAAGTTCAAAAATGGAAAATCCCCGGGATCAGACGGTTTTAACGTTGACTTTTACAAATTCTTTTATCGCGATATAGGAAAATATTTACTCAAATCGTTAAATGCAGCCTATACACTTGGCGAATTATCAGTGACACAGAAACAAGGAATCATAACATGTCTACCTAAAGTGAATAAAATCAGAAAATACTTTAAAAACTGGTGGCCAATCTCATTATAATTAAATGCGGATTATAAACTCCTCTCATCAGCCTTAGCCACAAGAATGAAGTCAGTTCTGCCGCATATTATTTCTAGAGATCAAAAATTTAGTGATTTTATTTGAGAAAGATATTGAAGAAAAATATGATGAGTTAGAAAAAATCCTGATATTCCTCAGGAATGTAGTTCATAGGGGATTTGAGCGCTCCATTTGTCGCAACTTAATTGAAGCATCTTGTTTTTGATCAAATGCAGATCATGGTTGAGAATGGCATGGTTGAGAAAACCATCAATGAATAAAAACAAAGGATTTAATAAAACTCCATAGACATACATGTGCCGTGAGTTTTGTGTTAGGCATGATGTTTGAGATACCCAAACGCCAGTGTTTATAAAATAGTGTTTTAGGTATATTATTTTTTATTTTTTATTTTATTTTTTTATTCTTCTTTATTCAATTTTAGTACATACAAATTACACATGTAATGACTGCCGAAGTTGAAAAACATTGGTGGTATATTATTTATGCGTCCATATACGTATCAACCTAGTCATAAGAATCTGTGGCGGCATTGAAATTTTTTTTTAAAAATGTAATCAAAGTAGTTTTGACGGTAAGTTTAGACAGCGCGCGTACAACGTTATTTTGAATCTTTCAGGGGAATTTTGATGCAGTTAAACGAGAGTTTATAATAAGTTAGGAAATGCCAAACGACTACAACGAGCAGCGGCCTCGTGGCCTAATGGATAAGGCGTCTGACTTCGAATCAGAAGATTGCAGGTTCGAGTCCTGCCGGGGTCGTGTCATTGTTTTCTTGAATATCAAAGTATAAATATTCCATTAATCCAAATTCAGAGGGTTTGTTAAAAACGTAAATCCATTTGCCGACGCCTAGATATCTAGTAGAAAGTGGTTTCAAGTATATCCGCAATTTTGTCACCAAAGTTGACCATTATAACCAGACTAACAAGTCTTATGATAAAACAAAATGTTTTGTTTTTAACACTTATTAACATATTAAGTCTTATGACGATAGAGGAAGTGGATCAGGCTTTGTCGTCGCTGGTGTTATCATGTTTGCAAAGATCGCCACATTCCAGTCACGGAGAACATTAAAGATCCATTGATTGCTAGATCGAGCCTGGCTGAGAAGAGCCCCCTTCAGAAAGTAGCTCAAGCCCTTGGCCGTATCCACACGTTCTGCAGCCCAAACACTCAAGAACTCCAATGCCTAGAATCAAAAGAAATATTTACATGCTGAAGTTATCCGAGTGCTTTAATTATGAAGTGTCCAAAATTATGTTTTAACTAAACAATTATGTTTTCTGATGGCTTTCAACCAAAATGATTCTTGTTGGCCACAAATTATTTCAGATGGCTAGTCATTAGATATACCTACCCCGAAATCTTCTGCAGCATTTGCAATGACCGCTGCTTCATTGAGGCAATCACAGAGGCCGATTGTCTCATCTAAAGATCTTTGTATAGCATCTACCTGGCACCAATGGCACTCGGGTGGGGCCTGTAATGCAAGTATAGTGAATCTTAACATACATTTTACATTGCTGCTATTGATGGTGATTGCATGCTAAATATTATTTCAAGTTCCAATGTTTAAAGCTTTCAATGAAACTCCTGGACCACATTACGTTTATAGAGGGGCTAATATTAACAATGTAATGTGATATTGGAGTTTCCTGCAAAATACTTTTTGTCAACACTAGTCACTTCTGCGACAATGTGATATTATGCCTAGACATCCTAATGTTATGCTGATGTTCATAACATCTCATGAATTCACTTTGCATCGCAGATGTCCATATGGACAGAGAGGGAGAAGGCGGGCCTTTCCACGAGATACTGCATAGTCAAACGCCACATCGAACCAATAATTCTTAGTACTTGTATAGGGCTAAAAAGTGATTTCGCTTCCAAATCGAGGCAATATCTTGACCGGAGTTCACATTCGAAATATCAATCCCAGGTATCGATCTATTGATATCAAACCGAAAGTGCCACTTTTGTCAATCTAGACAGATACGTGATTGATTACAAGAGCTCAATATAATGTGAGCTAAGAATAAAATTACAATGAACTAAAAGAAGCTTCAATCCTCACTGTAATATCTGGAAACGTGACACACCCTCCCCTTGTATCGACATAATCCCTGATAGCTAGAGTCAGGACAATCTCGTTGTAGAAGGCATTCCTAAACGCCTTAGAAAGACCCATGAAGGCAATATCATCTCGCCGAAAAAAGTATTGCTGAAAGCAATGATGAAAATACTTATAAATATTTTTTATGTTTTAAACATACGAGGCCTGGAATGCTGTCATAGAATATTTCAAAAATTGAATTTGTTATTACTATTCTTTTCATGTCTTGATTTTATATCAAATGTTTCACAAATTAGGTTAAAAACTACAATCTTTATATCTGTATAGCCTTGGTGTTCTGAGGCTGCATGCAGCAAAGTGGTGCAATGATATGCGCCATACCATTGATTGGTAAATATACGCGATATCCATTGCTTTTCCTGCACATTCGTTCAGTTTTGCCTCAAGTCCATTCAAGATGAAGCTGTTTCTAGTAATTGACGAATAACGATCATCGCAAGTATTCACTTGAAGGAAGCAACATTCTAAAAAATAATTTGATAAACAAAAAGAGAAACACTTGGCTCGGGTTAAACGTAAACGTCCGAAAATTCCAAGCGGTCGAATGTTTGAAATCAAGATGGACAGATCTAGTAGGTTTCTACCGTCTGAAATAGTTCGTATTTAACTATTTAAGGGTCATAAGAAAAATATATAGAAGAAATACATGAAAAAGAGCCTCTGAAAAAAATTAAAGATAAAAATATTATTTCGGAATGATAAAACCAGACTCACCAGATTGTCCTGTCGTAAAAGTGTCAGCTAGGAGAATACCTATTGAAAAATAAAAGCATTCAGATAGTTTTACTCGTAAAAATGTTGGACATACAGTACAGTATATGGCTTATATTCTGAGGTCCCTAGCTTGCTTGGTCTGAAAGGTATTTTTTAAAGGTAATTACTTATTGTCAGATATAAATTAGTGAAGGTTCCTGCTTTAGTTCAAATAATTTAAATCAATTCACAAAGTTATAGGTGGTTTTCAAGGTCATAATTATTTGTGATGTTTGTCTATTTTGATAGAAGATATCAGAAGAATGTGAGAATATGAAACTTACTCAACAGCGATGCTTCTACAAATCGCTTCATCTTCATCGTTTCTGTACAACGAAAAACTCTGTATTCCAAGAATCTACAGACGTTCGTAGTTGTATTCTTGTATATTCAGAGAATCTCAAGAGGTTCGTAGTTGTATTCTTGTATTCAGAGAATCTCAAGAGGTTCGTAGTTGTATTCTTGTATTCAAGAGATCCGTTGTTGCTTTACGCTTGGTACTTAGACAATTTCAAGATGTTCATAATTGTTGATGACGACCAAATAAAAAAGTCTGGATTGATTTAAGCTGTTGTTGATCCACGCCTTCTGCTGCGATGGGATTATCCAGAGACATGTGTCTCTGGAATATCATAAATCTAAACAATAACATTAACAATAGGGCTTGAATCTCTACTGTAGAAATAGAACCCATGTACAATTCTTCAATTGCAATTAATATTTTCTTTCTTATTGTATGTAATTTTACCTTTATAGTTGCATTCTGGTGGTAACATGAGTATCGAAACTGCAACATTACGTTTTGATCGGTTACTATATTCAGATATTTTGTATTTGATACAGCTCTGAGAGTTCAAATTAAAATTAAGATCCGACGCCATGAATTGTATAAAATTCTGTAATAACTGCTTTCAATTTTCTACAAATTAAGAAATATAAAAATACGACATAATATCTCAAGTTAATAGCATGGTTGTAGCGATTTGATCTTTACAGGTATTAATACCAAAACATTTCAATATTGTAAACGAAGTAAAAAGCCCTTTATCAAATCGACATTGAGATTAAAAAGTAAATATCTGCTCTGTCAAGTGATAACAAAATGATCTGTTTTTTTATAGAACACAATTGAAAGAAGCTTAGCTGAACGTTTAATCCAATTAAGTAAAATAAACAAAATTATGTTTATCCTGAGGTATACGAGGGTGTGTCATATGTTCTCATAATATCTCTCTAATTTATTTTTATTTTTCAATGTTCTCATGGAATTTTCATTGAATCTGTGGTGTAGAATACTGTATTAATCTATCAAAAAATTCTCCCTGCCATTTTGAATTTTGCAGACGAGAGGGGGATGCGAAAAGAACGGAACGGCCTAAACTGACCAATGAGTGCACTGAACGAAACACTTAGTACAGAGCCGGGGATTTGATCTTGAATATAACCCAGCTGAAGCATTGACTTTGTTTACAGTTTATAGAAGCCGTGAATACAGTCGTGTTCGAATAAAATATATTTAATAAAACAAACTGACAAAGATACTGAGTTTTTCAATAGTTCTATTTCTCCCTTGATGAATCCCGCATCCATTAATGTTATTAGTCTTTGACCTTACTCCGAATAATATTTACATTCAGTACTGTAGCATACAATTTCATTGTATTTGCAAATTAATAATAAATTATATATCTTTCATACTCACTATGGGGACTCAAAAAGCAATAAACTATCAATTCGTAAATGTCATGGGGAAAACCTGTATTACGGAACATCTCTCGGGTGAATCCCATGTCGTTATCGATTTTATTCAACAAAACCGTTTTTTCCCATTAACTCCAAAGTTTGAATACATCCCTATAGTGACATCTACCTACTTTAAACAGTAAAAAGAAATCTTGATGAAATTGATTAAATGATCACTGTATAGTGAACATGATTGAATGAAATATACGAGGATATCTACGATATCTGTGAATTTTCTATGACTGCCTTTTAGAGTTAAGAAATTTACGTTTCTTGTCTAAAAAATTAAATGGCCAATTTGAGATTTTGATAATCTGTTCTATTCAAACAAGTGTGACAAATTATAATTCTTAATAAGATTTGTTTTCGTTTGACAGGAAATGTGTTTGATCATTATAGCTTTGTAGATAATCTGGTTCACAAATAGGTCTCTACTCGTCCATAATACTGCAAAATAACGAAAAATCACACATGTTTGTAGTTACTTGTTAGCACCTACATCCAGTGAACTTTTTTTCTAAGCAAAAACATGTTCACTATACACATGACATTATTGACACTCCTGGTTTTTTCTAAGATTGCGTTTCAAATGGAAAAGACAATCCCATGTGTGAAATACTGTATTGCTTTTTGAATCCCTGAGCCACTAAATTCATATGGACTTCCATTGTAAAACAGAGGCAAGATTATGCTTTACTACTTTGAGTAGCAGACGTTTCACTTGGTGTCTCAGCCTTATCACTTGGTGTCTCATCACCCTTTGCCTCTACTGTTTCAAGATTAGCATTGTCACTTGCATTGTTTGCTGCTTCCTCTGCTTCCTCAATTCTATTCACACTTTCACAAGTCTTAGTAATATTTGCATCACTATTGTCCAAAGAAGCACCTATGTTTGGCTCCTCACTAATGACAGTGCCCTCGCTAGATGCTACTGCAGCAGATGCATCAGACACCTCGTCAGTGACTGGAAAGAACTGTTCTGTTCTAAATATGGTAGGTCTGTTGAATTGTAGTTTTGGCTCCGTCTTAGGCTTGGTAACTGGCTTTTTCTGAAATAAGACATGGTTATAATGACAAAATTGTCAGGGGTCATGAACAGGATGACATTTAGCATTAAGATTAAGAGGGAAATAGTTTTGAAGTGGCATATCAATGGACTATGGCAGGATGAGGCTAACTGGAGTTTGTTTTATCCAAACATGACATGCAAACATAGTAAAGTATGCATTCAGAGACTAACACAAATAAGCTTCTAGTTTATATGATCAAAAATATTGTATTTAAAATACTTTCCTTGTGCTGTCTCATTTTGTTTCATTGAACATAACTACTTTACTGTAATTCCAAGCCAAATGAAAACATGAGGTAAAAGGTAACATTTATTTGATGTGAACTCAAAATATAAGTCATTTCCAAAGATGTAGAACAGAAACTTATCTCCAATATGGCTACAATAGACTAGATGCGAGTAGAAATAATCTTGATTTAAGTCATCAAAAATTCAAAATTCAGTCAAACTGATGTCATATTTGGAATTTACATGTAGAATTACATCTAGAAATGTGGTTTTGAAAAGAGTTTATCAACTTTGAAAATTTGATTTCCTTTGAAAATGTGACTTCTAGGTTGGGGAGATTCCCCATAGAGCCCATGTTGTAAAATCACAAAAAGTGAAATATCTTTTCTTGTGTTGGGCAGATTATATTTTCTTTTACTGGGCATATTTTAATTTGTATAACTATCAGATACAAAAGGGTAATATGAAAAGTGAACCACTAAAACTGATGAATATGAAAGTTTAAGGGAATTCTGTAATACCCTGCCATGTTATTTCCCCCGACTCAGCCACCTGGTGGCGAAACTGTTAACTACCTACTTGCATCTGAGTAATTGATTGGCACTGATGTACATGTAACACCACAATCAATCTTGCAATGTCCCCTTAGCAAACAGAGATAGGTATGATGCAAGAAGGAAATGTGATAAGTATCAGACTATCTACTTACTGAAAATGGAAAAGAAATATTTGAGAAGATTTTCTTGATTGAGCTCATGGATCCATGTTCCGATTCTGCTTTGTTCACCTGAACTTCCATTTTGCTGACGTTCTCTGATACCATGGCAACGAATGTCTGGAAATATATCATTATCATGACTTCACACAAAGCAAGGCAAGGTGTGTTTGATTCTAGCCGATCCAAACACAGTATTTTGTGCAGATTTTGGAAAGCAACACCTTCAAGGAATGGTCATTCCACAGTGCACTGAGTCCAGGGCTTTAAAATCCTTAACTGATTTCTGATATCATTTAGTAAAATTGATACTAATATGCAAAGTATAAAAATGGACACAATTCGGTGTGCACATTGACAAAGCCATACTTTGTGAAAACTCACTTCCTTGTGTTTTTGCAGCCATTTTGGCAAACAAGACACAGGGAGAACAATATTGCAACCTTGAATGAAAAAGACAGCTTTTGAGATGGAAAGATCAAAATGGTCATCTTAACATTGACCCAAAACTAATGCCAAAAACTAATCAGATGAACTTTTAAGATCAATCCAGGACGGAAAATCTAAAATGGCCGCCTTAATAAAGCTAATAAATTCAAAGAAACATCCAAAAAGAAACATCCCTAAAAATGTCAGACCAATCCATTAAATTAACAGCTTTGCTTGAAACATGTAGACAAGACTTTTCAGACAAGATTTTAGGACAGAAAATCTAAAATGGCCCTTAAAGTTTACCCAGAATGCCCAAAAACTAATCAGTTCTAGGTTTTCATACGTCAAAGAAACATCCCTGAAAATGTGTAATTAATGCACCAAACAGTTCACCTGGAAATGCATAAAATAAAGTAGGGTGCCTACTCATCTGCCAAAACACCCAAGAAACTGTCAAAATATAGCATCCAAAATAACAAGATGATGATAAAAAGAAGTTTTCCTTTGAAAATTCCATACATTAGTTTAACCTACCGACAATTTATAATTTGTCATCATATTTTCACAGCATTTCTCTAAAAGTTCCTCAAATTGCAAAATTATTTCAAATCAAAAATATAACAAAGTTAGGAATCACTCATATAAAATTAGTTGCTTTAGCTGAGAAACAACATTGTTTTTGTAAATTCAATAGAGTACTCAGGGAGATTTGCCTGATTGAGTATGGGGAAAAAGAGGTCCTTTGATATTTCTATTCATTTTCTCAAAATGAATACTAGATTCTTATTTTATCCAAAATGTACTTTAATATCCTATTGCACATGTGCATCTACAACAACAACAGGTCAAACCTGGAATTCAACCCCCTTAGGCCCTTATATATTCATTGTACTTTACATAGCTTAAAATATGTGATGAAATACCCACTTACTTGGGGATTAGACATGCAATGTTAATATACTGTAGCTAACCAACTGGGTAGAATATGAAGAGAAAGTCATGGTGTTTGTAAAACATACGTATATGTTATTTACCTCAAGTTGGTCTATGCGTTCAAACACCAGTTGCATTTCTGCACTCTTTGCATAAATCTCTGGCAGTGTCTTAGTCAAGTTCAATGTGCTATCACTGCGAATCTGGAAATTTACACATTTAAGAACATTAACACAGTATGTATCATCATCCCTCATTCTCAACACCTGAACTGAGATTTTCAAATGCTGGATAAAAGTTTTTCATCTTTGAAGCTGAATACTGACTTTTATAAATTATAAGTGACAAAATTGTTAAAACTGTTACCAAGAATGTGAACATTTAAAATTATGGTTCCCTGCTTGGGACTAGATTTTCTCTTTGTGACCTTTACTTGCCTAATTGAGTTTATTGAAATAGGTCCTTCTATAAACCATCTATTTTCTCAGAATCGTAGATTCTTATATTATCCAAAAGTGTACTGTAATATCCATCTGTATGTGCATCTACAACCTACATTTTACAAATTCCAATAAATCTACTAAACTTCTCTCAATAAATAAAAGACAAATTTAATAAACTTACCAGATCAACTAAACCGCAATATTCATCAAGTCTTGTAAGGAGATCTTCAATAGATTCCTCAAACCGCTGCTTCTAAAAGCACAAATGAGAATTATTTACGTGTACATTCATACATATTGCAAGGTTCTACTTTGTTATTATTGATGGCATCTAACAGTACACCACAACTTTTTTGTTAGTTAGATAGGTAAATATTGGTAAATACATGTATGTGGTAAAACTCATTATGCAAATATAGTCCAGAGGATCTTGATTGTGCTCTCTTATGGTATGAGGTCTCTTTAAAAAACCTTGACGAGCCTAGTCATTAGGTCCACAGGATATAGTGAGCAGGCCTTAGTCTGTTAGTGGGGAGGTGAACTTTTTGAACTCTTGTTCCTGGGCCTGTGTTCTACAACTACAGTATGCTGTACATGTAGAGTGTGGGTGATCTTTTGAACTATTGTTGCTGGACCTATGCATCTAGGGCTATTGATTTTTTTCGAGCTCCCTCTGCCAAAGACAGTGGCACTGTAGGAGCGTAGGTGACTACTTTGTGGGAGAGCTTGATTCATTTATCATGTTTGCTCCTGTAATAATTCACATAATTGTATTTTTAAAAGTCCTCTATAACGTCAAATGAAGCCAGAATTTAGCTAAAATTATGCAATATCATAAATGGTATACGTTTCAAACCAGGACATCATATTACAATCTTGGTAATGAATTCTTAGATTGCATCATCTGTAATGTCAGACATGTATTGCCCAATCAAGAACTAAACAAATAAAGACCTAACTGATTGGTTAAAGTTTCTCCCCATCGTTTGTGACGTAATAGGCATGTTACCTAACCAAAAAAACAAACAAGCATGATTTTGTTCAGTGCCTAATAGTTGCTCTTAATGCACATTGAGTCAATTGGTTAACATAAAACAATTGGGATAATCAACCAATATATCAGGGCCTATATAGACTGTATCCTTCATCTGAATAAATTCAAACTGTAAGTCACCTATTGTAAAATGTGGTGTTGTATAAATGTTACAAATAAGTTTGTATAATGATAAAATGATTACCTTATAAAGAACTTACAATATTATTTTTTCGTATATTGTCCTCTTACTGACATATTCAGAAAATATACAGACGCTTCTTGTACATGTTGTAGCAAAGGCATTGATTAGGTCAAGCCAGTTTGGCAATTCCAATTCCAATCGATTTAACCAGTGACGTCAGTCTATTTGTAAACAAATAACACGTGGAGCGGGCAGAGCAACATTACAGAGGCATATTTATAAATTCAATTTGTGCAGGAATTTATCACTAAGTTATTATCATTATCATGAACACATCCTGAAGTTTTGGTGAGTCTGAACATTTCATTATTTTATATCAACTTGTACCCGCCCTATACAAATATTTTTGCTTCTAGTTTAAGATGAACATCTCTCCAACATATTCACCAATTTTCAAGGTGAACATTCTTGTAATAAACGAGAAATGTATGTGCACAAAATATCACCGAGATTTCCATGCGAAGGGTATCAATCATAACAGACCAAATATTATATTCTGTCTGTTGGATACATACAGTGGGAAACATAAAGAATTACAAAAGCTATGAAAATTACATACATGCTGTTGCACATGTAATAAATTCTTACCTCAGTGTATTCAGTGCTCTATTTTCTCCGTCCTAGTAAGTCCAGATAAAGTGGAATTTGTGTCCATAATGACAAATAAGAACTTCAAAATTTGAAGTGGATATTCACATGTTAATACCGACTCATCAAATGTTGAGGTGATTTTGGAGCCCGATTACGCCGCAATGTGGAATGTCTCCAAGAATGCAACATGACACGTGCCAGCTTTCAAAATGCTGTTCCGCCATTTTGAAATCTGTCACAAGTAAATAAGGTTAACTGATGTTGTATTCTGGGAGTCAATTCTCCTTGGATCACAAACATGTCGATTCATGAAAACATTTGTTCCATTTGGTAGGGATTTATCCACCATTTGCAGGTATGAAGCTTTAGATTCATTTATTGTGCTACTTAAAGTGAAAGGGAATTATTTTTCTACCATTTGGGAGAGTTTGAGACACAAAACTTAGAATTTAGCGCATTGTGACAACTTTTGATGGTTGAGGTTTATTTTTGGTCCCCACTTTAGGCTACTGTAGGCAACTTTTTGACTTCAAGAGCTCGACTACAAGGAGTTTGCTGCATTTTCTTGTTTAATAATCATCATAAATTGAATTAATTAATTTATTGAAATTAGCCTCAGTTAGATTATTGTAGATACAATAAACCTAAGGATAAATAAATTGAAAATTTTTCAAAAAACAATTTTTTATTTTTATTTTGAAAATAATCTTGTACTTTCTGGTTACATACTCGGTGACAATAACTGTATTATGGTGTAACAAAACAGGTAAGTACCTCTTGACTTGCGTCGATTGTAAGATAGGTTCCATAATCATCAACTAACTCCTCAACCAGTTCTTTATTGGATGGAGACACTCCCACCTCCGCCTCTTCCATTTTGTTTTCCTAGATGGCAGCACCTACAAATACGTTATTTCAGCAAACGCCATTTCGCGTGATTTAACTATAATAAACTAGTGAAAGAAATGTGGCATACAAAAAAGTATTATTCGATTCATCATATGATATTGAAATGAATCATATGAAAATCTCACTGCTTCTGGTCCTACATCACCTGAAATTAGTCGATCTTTAACTCTCATTTTTTTGTCGTTCGTTATTTTGCTGCAGCAACACTTACTTCCGGGGGCGATAATTTGAAAAATGTGGAGAATATTTATTGACTGACTTTATTGTAAGTTTTACTTGTTTAGTAGACTTACAATCCTATTCTAGCAAGTGTATGAACTTAATTCAGACGACGCATTGAACTTTTGATACAATCATATTCTGAATATATTGAAAGAATGTGGAAAATGATGAGACCAAGTTTCACAAGAGCTTTCAAATTTATGAAGGCCGAGCAACCAGGGATTTTACTGCCAAATAGACCAATATCTGTGACATCATCACTTCTAAATGATACAAAGGAAGACCTAGAAACCGTGAAATCGAACCCTTTCTTTGATAAGTATGCTGAAAAACTTGCAAAGATGCGAGGTGAAAACCCTGACGAGTTCAAATCTAAGATTGAATCGCTCAAAAAGAAACAACAAGAAGAACATGATAAGAAAGAGAGTGACGTTAAAGATGCTATTGCCCAGGCCAAAGATGCTATTGGCAAGCCTAAGAAATTAGAGGATAAGATGAAACTTGAATTGATAGAAGGTAAATCATCAGAAGAGATAGCAGAAATATGGATGGAATATCACCATAAAAGAAACTGTGTTTATGGCGTAGTCCAGAGCGTTGATTACAATTTCATCCTTGATCGGGTTAAATCCTGCCCAAGAATGTTATTTCCACTGAAACGAGGAGATGGTCATGAACTTTATCTAGCAGAAACAGCCCATAATGGAAAGGAATGGTATTTCACGCCTCTACTTCTCTGGCAGCTACATAAAGAGAATGCTCCACACTGTCTACATCTTGTACACTATCCTGAGCTTGCTGAAGACAAGAACATTGTATTGTTTGCGGGTGAACATGATCCTAACATCATATCTGTTGAGCATGCCCAGGCCCTTACACAACAAATGGCTCTATTCTATGGACGTAACAGCGGTGACCGATACTTACTCGTCACAAAGTTCAATCACACGCCTGACAAGTTCAACTACACTGATTTGTTCTATGAACATGATCAAATGTTGAAATGGGGACTTGTTGTGGAGACAAAGTAACTTCTATTCATTTTATAAGAATTGAATAGCTTTTGGAAGTAAGGGACAAGTTGACTCTGTTTTAATGTTCTGTATGAGAGACTCTACAGTATGTCATTGTAACCTATAACCAAAGTTTCCTGCTCTAATCTCAGAGCAAAGTTTTGAAGTAACAATACTAGTATGTTAGAGTAAAAAATGTGAACTTTCATTTTCATTATTATCATATTTTATTCATAATTGAATTCATGATAAAAGCTTTCAAAACATTTCAATCCATAAGAATTGGGATGCAAGAAAACAATTCTGTGATTGTCACAATTTTGTCTAGGCCTAATGGCACCAGGAAACTAAGAGTGAAAAAGGCCTTTGTATTTCTTGTTGAAACAACAAGTACGCAGTACAAGTGATTTTAAAAAATCAAAGTAAGAATTGTTATATTTAATCATGTATTCTTCATTTGGAACACTCTTTCATTTGGAGTGTTAATAAATGTTTGCCAAATTCCACATATATAGTGTTTGAGAGTATTTATAATTCCAGTGTAAGGGAGCTCCAGCATAGGGCTTAAATAATTGATGCATTCCTCTACTCTGAAACTTTAAATGTTAAAAATTATGCTGTCTGCCAGTAGGAATTTACTGCATGTTGTATGTCACGTGGTATCAAAGATTAAAACTCTGCCATGTATGGTTCCTCTATTGATGACGTTGGTGCAAGAGCCTTCCTACACTTAACTGTTTTTAGAAGAGTTCAATGCCTCAATTTTAACACTGTATTAAAGAAAAAAGAAAAGAAAACTGTTTTGGTGTCGCGATGAGTAGAGTATGGCACATTCACCTGCGAAATATCACATATTCACCGGCGGTATATGACATATTCACCAGCGGTATATGACATTCATACCATTAACAGGTGATCCATTCTGTCATCCCCGCTTTTCTGGTCACAATTTCTACTCAGTGATCACATTCCATAGTAATGTCAACGAACCTAGTGCCAAGGAATGGATCACTTGGAAAAAGTGTATAATTATTTGTATCGTGTGTACCGCATTGCGTGAATAACACAATAAGATCAAAACATTAGCAGGCATTGACATCGGAGGGACCACCGGTGTAAAAGGGTAGGAGGTCCTATTAATTGATGGTCCTACTCTCCGTTGATTTATATGGTCACCTCATTCCCTTATTATCTTATACACAATCAGGGCCAGTAAAGGCCGTTGAGAAAGGGAACCATAATCCCTGGGGGACCATAATTTCTTTCACACCTGTTTCAAAGTTTATGGAGGGAGTGTATATTGTTAATCATTATCAACTTACAAGGATATAGATCGAGTATCAGCTGGGGGAAGATATATTTGATATGTGTATTTTGGCAACAAATCCTCAAACCATCGAATATCACTTCTTAAAATGTGATATCCCATGGTTTCAAAAGGGATATTCGATGGTTTCAAAAGTGATATTCAGATATTCGATGATTAGATTTTTTCAAAGTTTTCTCCAAAATTCTTTTTTTATCAAAACGTTTTCGCTGGATAATGATTTCCCATGGAATAAACGGACAACCTATGGTTTTTAAAAAATATCGATTATATCTGCGCTCGCCCGTGAATGTTGACCCGTCAATATCCACTCATCGATATAAATGATGTTTTTTCAAAACCATAGGATATTCCTATATGATTAACATATTACCGTTATGACTCGATTTTACATGTTTTATTCATACTTTCTCTTTATAAATAGTAACATTAATAGTATAATGGTATAGATATACGGTAAAGTATATAATGTACAAGAGTGCATTTACGTACTGATTAAAACTTCAAAATTTCCTTAAATATGGCAAGTTGAATTATTGATTTCTAAATTATTGTGGAGCAATCGCGTTTATCGACTGTCCATTTGCAGATGATGTCCCTGGTTCTGTTGCGGAGTTAGACGCGAGTATCAGCTTTTCCTCGTCCACATAATAGATGGCGTAAACTTTTGGCGCGAAAAGACATAACATCAAAACTGTAGCGTTCATGATGAGAGCAATTGAGAGGAGAATTACTTTATGATATGCGTGAAATGTTGCAAAATATGTTGAAATGAACGCAATCCAGAGAAACAATGTGGCACACACACACAAAAAAATATATTTAGATTCGTTGAAGTTGTCTGGCAATCTGCGAGTTTTGAATCCATAGATGGCGCTGAGAAGGATTAAAACTAGATTGTAGGCAAGAGGTGGAATGAAGCCATCCAGGGGCAAGTTGCAAAATAGCTCCACATATTTCTCTGTTGGGACAACCATACGGAACTCCGCTGGAGAGGGTATGAGTACCGATGTCAGAACAGTTATGACGACCTGAAACGTAAAATAATTTTTTATAGTCAATTCTAAAATGACATGTTGTTTTTCAATTACTAATGGAAAGTGAATTATAATATCGATGCAGATTTTATTAAAGATGTTCTATAATATATAAGTGAATAAATATGCTCTTCCGCGTCAGACGCCACACTTTTAATACGTTCTGTCATGTTACTTTAACTACTGTAGCTATCTAGCCTACGTCTAAGTAGATAAGAGGATCTGACACTAATGAAAAGTATAAACTTATAATTGGAGTGATGGCCGACTGTAATTACACTAACGAGTAAAAATGATGTTCGGCTATTTTATAACAAATTTTCATAAATCAACACTTTTCACGAATAAGACTTGATTAAATGCAGAGTTTGGGGGCATTTTATCTCCTTTCCAATTTTGTTTCCATCTATTCAGTCTTTCATGTTAATTTCTAGTTATAACGTTTTCAAAGACATAGAGCAGAAGAATGTTACACGAAAATGGTAAATCATTTATACCATGGGCGTAGTCAGGTAATAAAAAAAAAAAATAAAAAAAATTGCTTCAGCTCTAAAAATTGTAAAAAACAATTTTCAGACTATATTTTGTGAAATTGTGAAATTGATGTTCAACAGTCGCATGATGCACTTTATGTAAAATCTCGCCCATTAAAATTTACATCGTTTATTATTTTTATACTATAACTACCACCCCATTAAATGCTAAAAAATTGAACTGATTTTCAAAAATACCTGTATAGAGATGAGAATGCTGGCCATTACGATTTGAGCCCTATTGCTTATAAAAGGGGGTCTTTGTTTTGTCTTTTTCCCAGATTCGAAGATTCTCCACACCCTGTTTGTCTTTGTTAGAAGCGGTCCGTACGCCAATGCAAAGCTGATGCTGAAGAGGAATCTGCTCACTACACAAGTCACATCAGTGGGCTTGCTGATCAGAACGTAAACAGTCGTTAGCGCTAGAATATTCGCAATCAAAATAAAGAAACTGAGCTCCCTGTTTGATGCTTTTATCAATCGTTGATTACGATGCCGTATGTAAAACATCACCAATACGATGCTAATGATGATTTCGCATGTGGCGAGGATCACCAAGACGATAGCCAGTGGCTCGTTCCAGTTTATGTAATCGGGCTCGATGGCCTCACAGAATTCCATGGTATCTTTATTAGGCCAATGGAAGGGAGGGCATTCGTGGCATGTGGTTGCATTCAAGGCTGTGATCTCATTCACCCTACATTTTCGGCACTCCCAGCAACACTTGAGTTCCAGTTGAATTTTAAACTCTCCTGCCCCGCATGGGTAGCTACATACTGCATCGGGAACCCCGACAACTTCTTTGATATACCAATCTAACTCAGCCTCAAGTAGATGCACAGACAAACTTGTCACATCAAACTCTCCCACCCGTCTCAAGTTGTAGCCCTGCATGGGATCATACTGTAATTGTTTAATATTATATTTTCCTAATAAGTCACCATTTTCATCAAAACCAATCGTTCCACTGGCTTCAGTAAATGAGGCAGTTCTCATATAATGCCACAACTCTGGTCCAGTAATACAAGCTCTAAGTGCTGTTTTATTATCGCGTGTACCATCACATTTATCTTTTATAAGAGCATCCAGACCATGTGCGATGGTATAAACCATGTTCATAACTTGAGAGGGTTTCGAGCTTAATTTGACTGAGGTTACGGGAAAGTCGGAACAGGCAGTCTGTCCTTGTGATATTTGCGTCACATTCCAACTGCAATCAAACTGTTGCTCCCAAAACTCGGGATACCACGGATTCCTTGTGTTGTTTTGGGGTGTAAGGCTGTTGTAGTACTTAGCGAAGTCTGATCCACTGATATCTTCAACCTATGGACACAAAAGTAAAGAATTTGGGTACAGTAGTTAAGTGTGTAAGACCGACAGGAATTAAATGACGTCCTAATTTAAGTCCCATGTTATTTTTTAGTGCACGTACAAAACTGATTCCATACATGGTCTACATCTTTCAATTTTGCACAGAGTTTAAATTATTACATGTATCTACCAAGATTATAAATTATGAGTTAATAATTTTCTACAATGTATGAAAAGTCATTGACCTACTTTTAAAATGTCACGTCACTTTTATATATTTAAGTATATTTATTAATGCTCAACTCAAAATCTAGGTAACGCAATTTTTAGGCACTTAAAGTTGTAGACCATGCATGAAATAAGTTATAAGTATCTGAACCTGAAAATAACATGAAACTTCCGAACTTCAACGCAGATTATCTAGAATTGAACACCCTAGCTAGAATCACATATTAATGTGGGTGCTAATTGTACACCCTGATATGTTCTATTGAGATGCTTGATTGTGTTTATAAATTCATTTTGCAGGCTCTCTGGCTCATAGTTATCATAGTGTCATCCTTGAATCACAGATCACTAATAAACCACTCTTACCTTTATCTCCGGTGCAAATGCTCCCAAGCCTATCTCTTCCAATCCACTGAAATCCCCTAGAGTGTTCATGGAGTCACTGAACATCATTATGAACTCCCCAGTCACATTTGCTCGCTGGAGCGCTAGCAGGGTCTTCTTGGCGTACTCAAAACTCATGAAGATGACAACAACACGTGTCTTCAGCTTCCCTATAGAAATACAGGGTGATCCAGTAGTAAATATCAGATCTTGTCACGCTTTGGACGTTTTTAGCCCCCTGCACTGGTGATCCACTCGATTACGCTGGTTACCAAAACGAACCGTTTTGGTAACAAAATGTCGGAACGTCGAAGGCACGATTTTCCTTTTTTTCCTTATTTCACGCGTTGTAGGCAGAATCCCCACGACGTTTTTTCTCACAACGTGCAGCAGTGTCATATGTTTTAGAAAATGTACATGTTTGCGAAAAAATAGCTCAGAGGACAACAGAATCGTCGATTTACTTCCTCACTTAAGTTACATAAACGGTTTTTGGAAAAACAGTTAAGATCTGCACTTTTAACCCAAACCGTTTATGTAACTTAAGTGAGGAAGTAAATCGACGATTCTGTTGTCTTCTGAACTATTTGTTCGCAAATATGTACAATTTCTTAAACATATGATACTGTAACAGTTTGGCCTATTTTTGTGGATATGTGGTAGCGTGGCTTATAATAGGCCCACTGTTTAGTAAACGGTGTTTACTTGGTGAGTTACACGGCACACGTTAAATGTGCGATTGTCCCTAAAGAATTAAACAGACATATACAATTAAATATAAAATATAAAACAGTATATTGTGGCGTTTATAAGCCCAAATAAAGATGTACATTAAATTTCAAGTATGAATGTTAAAATACTACTATGCTAATATCTCTCTCAAAACTCAACTCAAGAGTCCATATAAGCTAATAATAATCACTAATAACACAATATCCAGAGTCCATATAAATTGAAGCTGATGATCAATATATCACTGTTGTATCTCCAATATTAAAAGTTCATATATGTTGTAATACTTGTACGTCTTGTATTGTACTTGTAACTTGAACCTGAAATAGTAATCTCCTGGATCCTCTTCTATGTAGTGTAGTATGATTCAAGTTTGATTATGTGAAATCATCTAAGTCAACTATCAGCTCGGTAAACGTAAACCTCCTGGATCCTCTTCACTGTATTGTAGTATAATTCAGCTTTGATAATGTGAAATCATCAAGTCAACTATCGGCTCGGTAAATGGCTATCTCCTGGATCCTCCTCTCTGGGTTGTAGTATAATTCAACTTTGATTATGTGAAATAATCTAAGTCAAACTATCAGTTGTGTAAACTCCTAAGTCCTGGATCCTCCTCAATGTGTTGTAGTATAATTCAACTTTGATTATGTGAAATAATCTAAGTCAAACTATCAGTTATGTAAACTCCTAAGTCCTGGATCCTCCTCAATGTGTTGTAGTATAATTCAACTTTGATTATGTGAAATAATCTAAGTCAAACTATCAGGTCTGGAAATGACTATCTCCCGGATCCTTCTCTCTGTGTTGTAGTATAGTTCAACTTTGATTATGTGAAATAATCCAAGTCAAACTATTGCTCTGTAAACGGTTATCTCCTGGATCCTCCTCTCTGTGTTAAAGTATAATTCAACTTTGATTATGTGAAATAATCTAAGTTAAACTATCGGCTCTGTAATCCTGGATCCTCCTCTCTAAGTTGTAGTATAATTCAACTTTGATTATGTGAAATAATCTAAGTCAAACTATCAGCTCTGTGAACGGCTATCACCTGGATCCTCCTCAATGTAGATGTATATTCTAACTTCAATGACACAAGATCATCAAAGTCAAAATATCTCGCTGGATAATCTGCTAAGTCCTAGAACGTCCTCTCTGTAGATGTATATTCAAACTTCAATGACCAAAAATCATCAAAGTCAAAATATCTCGTTGAATAAACTGCTAAGTCCCAGAACGTCTATCTCTATAGATGTATAAGTCAAACTATCACAATCTTCAAACTACCAAGTCCAAGGACATCTAAAACACGGCATCAACTGCTAAGTCCATGTAGCCTGCTTCCTTCACAATTAAATAATAAGGCTACCTACAAATATAGCATGCACACAACGACATATGCAAAAATATAATATGTGAAAATATTTGACCTCTAAAATGACTAAGTTCATTTAATGTTAAGTGATACTGATATTAAAATATTCTAAGTTCAATATTTCTCTTTCCAAAAACAACAAAGTCCAAAATAATGTTTCACCAAATATTGGCTAAGTTAATTTCATGCTAAGTTATACTGATGTTGAAATATTCTAAGTTAAATATTTCTTTCTCCAAAAACAACAAAGTCCAAAATAATGTTTTACCAAATATTGACTAAGTTCAATAATGTTGTAAATCGTCTAAGTTCCTTGATGATCAAAATAGCTTAAGTTTTTCAAACACAAGTTATGTCAGCATTTCCTCTCAGTCTATGAAGGCTGGACAATACGTCTAATGCTTTGCGCTGGGGATAGCTTCACCCTGTTGAAGTTTTGTCCAGTCTTGTAGATCTCCTTTACTTCCAGTGCGATAAATAAACTAAGTCTCACACACTTAGCTACATCAAAGTTTCCCAAAAATCCAAGTTCCAAAATAAACTAAGTTTCGCACACTTAGTTTCCTCAATCTGCCCTTGTATACTGCAAACGTATAGCTTGGCTCATCAGATGTATTCTACTAAGGTACAGCTTCTATCTTCATGTGTATACTGCAAACGTATAGCTTCAACTCCACAAAATTAACTAAGTTCTATAAAACTTAGAAAATTTTAGCTGTTTCCCGAAATTCCGCTCTTGAGGTCCTTCCTCGACAACATCTGGCATCGCACTGACGAGCCTTCAACAGCGAGATACTTATATAGGCCCGATGACGTCATTGATTTTCGGACAAGATTTCAACTGTGAATTACAGCTTATTTACGCCATATTTCGCTTCAATATTGATCATACAGCAAGATTATAATATTGACTCAAGAAATATAACAGTAATTAATCACTATCTAGTCTAATTTCACTTCGATTCCATCGAATCAAAACCAGGAAGTAAAATAATAAAGGTGTCATTTTAGACTACCGATCAACTACAAATTAGACTGCCAGATAAGACTGCCCGATCAACATAAACAAAATCGTGATCAAATAAATAAAACATGTGAACTATTTCACCTCTGTAAGTACAACCTAAGTGCTGCAAATGATACTACATTTATAAATCTTAATAATCTCAATGGGAAATTACTTTTCAAGTGTAATAATTACCTTATATACAAAAACACAGCACTTAATTAAAAATCAAAAATTTTACATTTTAAATTCCGTTACACTCCCCCCTACCAAGATATTGGTACGTCCTCGTACCAAACTAAGACATACATGTACTTTCTAACTAACTATAAAAACTTAGAAAATATCTAACTTGCCAAAAATGTATAACATGTCAAATATGTTTAACCTGTCAATTGTGTTCAACCCCGGGGTTAACTAACTATCAATACAATGTTGAAGTTTCTAATTACTTGAATATCTAACTATCTAAAGTTATCTAGATATCTAACAAGTTAACACCTAACTATGTTTCACTTCACATATTTAAAATTATACTCATGTGAATTTACTCTCTCTTGTAGCGCTTCCTGGATGATTGAGACCTGGACTTCCATCTACTGTCACGAGATCTGGATCTCCAATCACGATCCCTGCTAAGCCTTCTGTGACATGGAAAACTGTCCAAAAGGTCTGCTTCACGAGTATGGTTTGACCTGTTAAGCTCATTTGTTGCTCTGTGTCTCAATCGGGAATGTCTATCAGAAAAATGAGCTGATCGCTTTCTGTCATGTCGGTATTCTGATCTCCAATCATGTCTGTAATCAGGTGACTTTGAATACGGCCTCAACTGTTGACTATCTCTGCTTGTTGAAACCTCAGCCACAAAATTACCCAAGTGTCTGGGACGTTTGCGTTCCCTCCTGGAAGGTTTGTCATCCACTTCCCTCTTGGGTGATGACTTAACAGTGTCCTTAATGTCTGAAGTATCATCCTGTTGAATAGGCATAACGTCTCTTTCGGGCTCGCCTTTGGGCTTTTCTCCCTGTTCTGTACAATTCTTAACATTTCTAGAACTCTCTGTTGTAAAAGTCAGTTTACATTTCCCATAATCTAACATGGCTTTAGAAGCAGCTAGATAATCTGTCCCTAAGATTCCCTCCGATATAATATCAGCCACAACAACCTCTAGCTGCTTTACATGTCCACCAATATTGACCTCCACTTGTGTAACACCCTGCATATGCAAAGGTTTCCCACCAGCTTGCACAAAGACCTTCTTAGGTGGTTCAAGTTTGGGTTGCTTGTGTTGAGGCATCTTCCTATAGACGTTTGAACTAACAATAGTTTTTGCTGACCCAGAATCTACTAAAAAGTCAACATCAGTGTCACATACTGTTCCACTGACCAATATGTTCTGCGTATCGTCTCTCTGTGGGGATATGGATCTAACTGTAGCAATCTGGCTAGATTTCCCAGGTACTTCCCCTTTTTGCTCTTCAACACGCTTCCTTAAATAACAATCAGCTATTTGATGTCCAGGCTTCTGACAGTAGAAGCACTTGCGTCTGATTCTCATGTTCCCATTATTTATTGACTCACTGAAGATGCCTTTCTTGATATCACTCTGTCTTGTATGACATTCAGACTGATAATGTCCTAACTTGTCGCAATAAAAACATTTGATGCCTCTGGACATTCGCTTTTTCTCTCTTGACTCTTGTGTGTCTTTCAACTCTTAAATCATTGTCTTAAGATTAGCTGTCAATTCCGTGTGCATTTCTTGCACCACTTTCAGTAAATTAGCTGTAGATTCTTTATGCAGCTCTTGAAATGCTTTCACCACTTTCAGCATCTCATTTTCAACCTGCTCCTCTTCTACAACATTAATTTCCTCATCTTGATATCTTGGTTTTAAGCCTTTGCTGATCCTTTCAGACTCAAGATAAAAATCCTCTCGTATGGCAATTTCGATAGTCTTGTCCAAAGTGTTACAATACTGGCTTTTATTATGAATGGATCGCCTAATCTCATCATCAGGGATAGCCTGAGCAAAACGTTCCCTTGCCAATCGATCTTGAGCAGCCCGAGGTAACTCAGGATATGCTAATGAGGTTAGCCGTCTGACATCTTGACCAAGAGTCTGTAGTGTTTCCTTGGGCTTACGAGTTCGGATCGCCCATTCTGCTTGGTACACGTCTGCTTTCCCTCCTAGGCCAAACATTTTATCTAAGGCAGACACCAATTCATCATATGAATAACCTGGGTCCATCTCATAGATGAGCTGTTGCGCTTGACCCCTAAGGCTAGTAGCAAGAAACTGTTTCTTCTCTTCATCACTCCATGAATTAGCACTTACACACATGGCAAAATAGGCTTTGTAGTCAATCCATGGTGTAGTTCCATTGTATGTGTCTGGTTTTATCTTTGTCTTGCACTGTGATGGTCTATTATTACTTGGTGAATCATTGAGTACCTTCTCAGCTAATCGAACAACCATAGCAGCCATCTTATCTGATGCTGTCTCTGATGGCTCCTGTTTTGTAAGAGGTGGTTCACCAGTATCAAAATAATGAGCCCTTCGTTCATTGGAACTATGTGCGTCTCCATCTTCCAACTTGACTTCATCCAACTGATGTCTAACAGCTGGCTCTGGATGATACACCGATTCAGGTAAAGATACTCTTTCACTTTGCATTTCGAAAACCTTTGTTTCTCCACATCTGTAGTCATCTTCTGGAACTACAGTTGTAAATCTCCTTTTTGTCGGAGGACTCTTTAATGCAGGTCTCTTTGGTAATCCCGGAAAATCTTCATCAGAATCAATTCTCTTCTGACGTCTGAATGGCCACTTTGGGGGTGTTACCTCTCTATCTCGTTTCACAGGCAATTCTTTATTAGCCGCCATGCTCCCCCCTACCAGTCTCTGCTGGGGGTTAAATGTAGAAGCTACTTCTTGAGACTGTAATCTTTGAGGGTTTACACTTGACTTCATCTGTAACTCTGTCCTAATCCATGGATTCAATCCTAATGTAACTACAGGACTTGAAGGTCGGACATTACTCTGTAATACTGGCTCAGAGCGAGAAGTTGAACTTTGTAATACCATCTGTAATGTCTGGCATAAGTTGTTCACCTGGTCTTTCATCTGTGTTACATCTCCTCCAAGGTTTTTGACCTGGCTTCCCATGTTAGACATGTGTCCTTTCATATTAGCCACCTTAGTTATCATTGTTGAGGTGCGAGGCATATATCTATCTCCTTTGGGTCTGGCTCCCCATGCTTGACTCTGTGGACTATAAACACCATCATGTACTGCGCCTGACCAATAGCCAGTAGTCTGTCCGCTCCAGGCTTTCTTAAACTCGGTTTCTATCCCAGTCTTATCACTAGGGTAGATTGCTTCTGCACCACCAACTGTAGGGTGTCTCTCATCTGGATCTGCCTCACTTGGCAACCTCCATTTCTCCATCGCTGGGAGTTTTGTAGCCATGTGTTCCGTAGCCTTTCTTCCTGTATATTGAAGAGTGTCATCCTTGGCTATGGGATTATCTATCTCACCGTCTGTAGCTAACTTTACAAAGACAGTCTTTTCTACATCTTTAGACTTGTCTGTATTTGTATCAGAGAGATCACCACTCTCTATCGACTTTGGATCCTCTGTATCCATCTTTATGGTGCTATAATGTGCCTCTGGTTCAATTCCTCAGAAACAGTCAATCCCAACACCGCTGCCACCAATGTAACAGTTTGGCCTATTTTTGTGGATATGTGGTAGCGTGGCTTATAATAGGCCCACTGTTTAGTAAACGGTGTTTACTTGGTGAGTTACACGGCACACGTTAAATGTGCGATTGTCCCTAAAGAATTAAACAGACATATACAATTAAATATAAAATATAAAACAGTATATTGTGGCGTTTATAAGCCCAAATAAAGATGTACATTAAATTTCAAGTATGAATGTTAAAATACTACTATGCTAATATCTCTCTCAAAACTCAACTCAAGAGTCCATATAAGCTAATAATAATCACTAATAACACAATATCCAGAGTCCATATAAATTGAAGCTGATGATCAATATATCACTGTTGTATCTCCAATATTAAAAGTTCATATATGTTGTAATACTTGTACGTCTTGTATTGTACTTGTAACTTGAACCTGAAATAGTAATCTCCTGGATCCTCTTCTATGTAGTGTAGTATGATTCAAGTTTGATTATGTGAAATCATCTAAGTCAACTATCAGCTCGGTAAACGTAAACCTCCTGGATCCTCTTCACTGTATTGTAGTATAATTCAGCTTTGATAATGTGAAATCATCAAGTCAACTATCGGCTCGGTAAATGGCTATCTCCTGGATCCTCCTCTCTGGGTTGTAGTATAATTCAACTTTGATTATGTGAAATAATCTAAGTCAAACTATCAGTTGTGTAAACTCCTAAGTCCTGGATCCTCCTCAATGTGTTGTAGTATAATTCAACTTTGATTATGTGAAATAATCTAAGTCAAACTATCAGTTATGTAAACTCCTAAGTCCTGGATCCTCCTCAATGTGTTGTAGTATAATTCAACTTTGATTATGTGAAATAATCTAAGTCAAACTATCAGGTCTGGAAATGACTATCTCCCGGATCCTTCTCTCTGTGTTGTAGTATAGTTCAACTTTGATTATGTGAAATAATCCAAGTCAAACTATTGCTCTGTAAACGGTTATCTCCTGGATCCTCCTCTCTGTGTTAAAGTATAATTCAACTTTGATTATGTGAAATAATCTAAGTTAAACTATCGGCTCTGTAATCCTGGATCCTCCTCTCTAAGTTGTAGTATAATTCAACTTTGATTATGTGAAATAATCTAAGTCAAACTATCAGCTCTGTGAACGGCTATCACCTGGATCCTCCTCAATGTAGATGTATATTCTAACTTCAATGACACAAGATCATCAAAGTCAAAATATCTCGCTGGATAATCTGCTAAGTCCTAGAACGTCCTCTCTGTAGATGTATATTCAAACTTCAATGACCAAAAATCATCAAAGTCAAAATATCTCGTTGAATAAACTGCTAAGTCCCAGAACGTCTATCTCTATAGATGTATAAGTCAAACTATCACAATCTTCAAACTACCAAGTCCAAGGACATCTAAAACACGGCATCAACTGCTAAGTCCATGTAGCCTGCTTCCTTCACAATTAAATAATAAGGCTACCTACAAATATAGCATGCACACAACGACATATGCAAAAATATAATATGTGAAAATATTTGACCTCTAAAATGACTAAGTTCATTTAATGTTAAGTGATACTGATATTAAAATATTCTAAGTTCAATATTTCTCTTTCCAAAAACAACAAAGTCCAAAATAATGTTTCACCAAATATTGGCTAAGTTAATTTCATGCTAAGTTATACTGATGTTGAAATATTCTAAGTTAAATATTTCTTTCTCCAAAAACAACAAAGTCCAAAATAATGTTTTACCAAATATTGACTAAGTTCAATAATGTTGTAAATCGTCTAAGTTCCTTGATGATCAAAATAGCTTAAGTTTTTCAAACACAAGTTATGTCAGCATTTCCTCTCAGTCTATGAAGGCTGGACAATACGTCTAATGCTTTGCGCTGGGGATAGCTTCACCCTGTTGAAGTTTTGTCCAGTCTTGTAGATCTCCTTTACTTCCAGTGCGATAAATAAACTAAGTCTCACACACTTAGCTACATCAAAGTTTCCCAAAAATCCAAGTTCCAAAATAAACTAAGTTTCGCACACTTAGTTTCCTCAATCTGCCCTTGTATACTGCAAACGTATAGCTTGGCTCATCAGATGTATTCTACTAAGGTACAGCTTCTATCTTCATGTGTATACTGCAAACGTATAGCTTCAACTCCACAAAATTAACTAAGTTCTATAAAACTTAGAAAATTTTAGCTGTTTCCCGAAATTCCGCTCTTGAGGTCCTTCCTCGACAACATCTGGCATCGCACTGACGAGCCTTCAACAGCGAGATACTTATATAGGCCCGATGACGTCATTGATTTTCGGACAAGATTTCAACTGTGAATTACAGCTTATTTACGCCATATTTCGCTTCAATATTGATCATACAGCAAGATTATAATATTGACTCAAGAAATATAACAGTAATTAATCACTATCTAGTCTAATTTCACTTCGATTCCATCGAATCAAAACCAGGAAGTAAAATAATAAAGGTGTCATTTTAGACTACCGATCAACTACAAATTAGACTGCCAGATAAGACTGCCCGATCAACATAAACAAAATCGTGATCAAATAAATAAAACATGTGAACTATTTCACCTCTGTAAGTACAACCTAAGTGCTGCAAATGATACTACATTTATAAATCTTAATAATCTCAATGGGAAATTACTTTTCAAGTGTAATAATTACCTTATATACAAAAACACAGCACTTAATTAAAAATCAAAAATTTTACATTTTAAATTCCGTTACAATACTGATACACGTTTGTGTTAAATAATATCGTGGGAATTCTGCCTACAACGTGTAAAATAAGGAAACGAGAAAATCGTACCTTCCGGATGTTCCGACATTTTGTTACCAAAACGGTTCGTTTTGGTAACCAGCGTAATCGAGTGGATCACCAGTGCCCTGGTTATTGAAAACAAAATGAAATTCTGCGCTATGAGCTGATGTGAAAAATTCAGTACATCGTGTTGTGGGGATTGAACCCAGGTTAAAATAGGCCACATACCATTAATGGGTTTAATGGAATTTGAGAGTAGGCTGTTCAATTTTATTCCAAGAGGAAAGCTGGCGATTCTGCCCTATTACGTGTTTAGGGAGGATAAATTATAATGATGATAATTGCACAATGGCTATTCATTACCACTAATGACGCAATTTCGTAACTAGTAACAATTTGTCAATTTATAGAACGTGTTTTTGTCGCAATTTATCACACTTCAACTTCTGGTGAGAGATGTGTTAAATACAGAGTAGGTGCGATTACTAGATTGAGTGATTAATGTAAGATTCATGATTATACGTTTCTTTATTTAATCATCAACCGATTGGGAATGGAAGGTTTTCCAATATTTCATCTCTGAGTCAACATAGAATGGGATAAGACCATTCATTGATTAAGCCATTGCCTCAATTGTCTTGATACTTTTGCTGTGACCTTGTTAGCAAAGTTGGTGTATCCTCTTTGAACTTGATTTTATGCAGTATGCCATTGTGTCGTTTGTTTATAGTATCAATTAAATGACCTCGTTATTTTTGAATATCATGTCAAATATCAAAAGGGAAGATGTGTCATAATATGCAGGTCCATAATCATTTCCAAGAATCGATGAAGAGATTTCTTCCTTTCAGAATTATTGACAATACCAATTGTAATATGAAGTCTAAATATGGAAGCAATCTACTTGATGTTTTCCACCATGGACTATTTTCTCTGAATAAACACATTTTTTATATAACTAGTGATTATTACTGTTAAATTCAAATACCTACATGTAGGTATCGTCACCGTTTGAAGCAATTAACAATTGAACTTAATGCAAATTTGCCGTTCGGCTAAACATTAATTTTGTCACAAAATGAGCATTAAGGTAAGAGTCGGAATTGTGCAGCATATTAGTAATTACTATTGGCATTTACGATTTTAATGTTCTCTGAAATTTGAATAAGCCGCGGGGTATATTCAATCGTTTCTTCAAACACTCGTCTCGTCAGTAACAATATTCTTATTTAACAATTTAGAAATAAAAGTTGCTTCGTTACTCAGATCAATCTGCTGAACAAGGATATTAACATTTTCTAAAATCTCTTTTGAGACAATCTTATTCAGAATCAGTAAGATTTTCCGGCTAGAATACAACGACACATTTCAATTATGTCACTAGCGTTTGCAATCTTCAAGACATGTTCATGCGTTAGGGAAATTATATAAATAGACATACCGGATGCCCAACGTTTATATGAACAACGACAGTGTCGATACCAAAGACGAATCACAACTCCCAATGTAAAATCAAAATATTAAGGGGTATAAAATCAATCCCCGATAATAATAGTGCTCTTTAATTTTCAGAAAAATGCAATTACAATCTTGTATACGCCATAATGTATGGTTGCCAGCCCATAATGTACGATTTTGACTGAAAATGTTATTGAACGGACAAACTCCACTTTTAAAACATAACGTTACATTTGCCAGAGAATCACTTTTCGTACATTCCCCTTTAAAAGTTTGGCAACCTGATGTTTTCATTCCAGATACCTTATCAAAGCATCTCAATTGTTTTAATATCAATTCTGTTTTTCAAGAAATATTCATGAATTTGATGAATTTTCAAACTAAGATAAGTGATTCAAAAGGGGACCTACAGTTTCCAAACTTATGGTGGAATGTGTATGTAAAATGTAAACTCACGCATTCTTTGCACAATATCATCGTACTCTTCCTCGGTTGTTAGGGAATTAACTTCTTTCGCGTATCCAACGCAGATTCCCCTCTGTTTAGCCAGCTTCTTTACAACACTAATTCCTCCCGACCCATATGCCCCTTCAGAGTTGAGAGCGGAGATGTAGTTCCAGTTGAAGTAGCTCATAATATCAACCATTGTCCTGGAGAGATACTTATCGGGTGGAGAGGTTCTCATGAAATATTTGTACTTTGATTTGTCGCTCAGGACGTCGCTGGTTGAAAATGGACTCACTTGAGGGATTCCGAATACTGTTAGCAATTGAGCGATTGATGTACTTATTGAGCTTGAATACGGCCCCATAACGCAGACGACATCGTAGACTGCCTTTGGGATTTCATCACCCGTGTCATCACAGGTGTGTGGTGCAAAATGTAATGCTTGAGCTAGAGCAGTTGTGTCCTTCCTGCACATATCCAAGATGACGAACCCGAGCGTGATATTCGGAAGGATGTCGTCTCGACTGTTCAGTTCATCGACGGTATAGGCGACCGCTTCAATATGTTGCAGTCCGATACCATTGAAGGCCAGCACGTCCGAACAAGCATCGTTAGACGAATCATACACGTGAGCGGGCAAGAGACCTCCAAGTAAAAGGTCGCCACTTTGATACATCAGCTTTTCTGGGAGTTTCACCTGGGCAGGGACGAATACGCCTTCTGCACATACGAGCGCCGTCAGAATCAATTGCAATTTCATATTTCCAGACTTTCAAAGAATTGTCTGTTCATTATAAATCTGAAAAACATTAATGAAATCTTTCAGATTCTGTTTGACACTGAAACGCATTTGTTGGTAGCTCCATTTTCCGTACTCCCCTCCAATCGTGTATGAGATTAAACATATTGTCAAAAGTGACTCTTCTGCCAGTGCTGAGTTTATATAGCTCCTAGTTACGCTAGGAATAGCGTTGTTATTGGCACAATACATTGAACCCACTCCCTTGATCGATGATATAAAAACATAAATTGCCTTATTTATATCATAATGTGAATTGAGGATCAAAATCTAATACGTGGCTACTCAAATTTCTATGGTAAAAGCACAATATTAAATCAAAACAATAGATTCCACCCTAATCAACGAGAGTAGCACCGCACTCCTAAAACAGATCCATTAGGAAATTTGAATAGATATACAATACTACGTTGATGAATCAATTGATTAATTGGTTATCAAAGCTATTGTCTTTAGTGGCCTTATGATGCATTTTTGAAGATAAAGGGTAGCCAAAAGGTAACCCAAAAATTCGGTCATTTCAAAGTTATATTTAGCATTTCAAATGTTACAATCTTTTGGCAATTTTACGATAGAACAAGGAACAAGGTTTATTGTGCCAAATATATTTTAATCCCATGCTAAACTGAGTCATCAACAATTGTTTGGATTTCCTATTGATAAAATCGAAAGGAACACGTTATATTTAGGCTCATTACCTCCAAGACTTGCAACGTTGAGGAATGTCAAAATCATGAATCGGATGTCAATGCTCGGGTACAACGTCAAAGAATGTCAAAATGGGATGTTCAGCAATCTGCAAGTGCAACGTCAAGTTCGGAATGTCAAAATGGGATGTTGAAAATTGTTCAAGTGCAACGCCAAGGAATGGCAAGATAGGATGTCCAGCAATGTTCAAGTGCAACGCCAAGGAATGGCAAAATAGGATGTCCAGCAATGTTTAAGTGCAACGCCAAGGAATGGCAAAATGGGATGTCCAGCAATGTTCAAGTCCAATGTCAACGAATGGCAAAATGGGATGTCCAGCAATGTTAAAGTGCAACGTCAACGAATGGCAAAATGGGATGTCCAGCATTGTTCAAGTCCAATGTCAACGAAAGACAAAATAGGATGTCCAGCAATGTTGAAGTGCAACAGTAACGAATGGCAAAATGGGATGTCCAGCAATGTTCAAGTGCAACGTCAACGAATGACAAAATAGGATGTCCAGTAATGTTCAAGTGCAACGTCAACGAATGGCAAAATAGGATGTCCAGCAATGTTCAAGTGCAACGCCAAGGAATGGCAAAATAGGATTTCCAGCAATGTTCAAGTGCAACGTCAAGGAATGGCAAAATAGGATGTCCAGCAATGTTCAAGTCCAACATCGAAGAATGTCAAAATGGGATGTCCAGCAATGTTCAAGTGCAACGTCAACAAATGTCAAAATGGGATGTCCAGCAATCAAGTGCAACGCCAAGGAAAGGCAAAATAGGATGTCCAGCAATGTTCAAGTGCAACGCCAAGGAATGGCAAAATAGGATGTCCAGCAATGTTCAAGTGCAACGCCAAGGAATGGCAAAATGGGATATCCAGCAATGTTCAAGTTCAATGTCAACGAATGGCAAAATAGGATGTCCAGCAATGTTAAAGTGCAACGTCAACGAATGGCAAAATGGGATGTCCAGCAATGTTCAAGTCCAATGTCAACGAATGGCAAAATAGGATGTCCAGCAATGTTGAAGTGCAACAGTAACGAATGGCAAAATGGGATGTCCAGCAATGTTCAAGTGCAACGTCAACGAATGGCAAAATAGGATGTCCAGCAATGTTCAAGTGCAACGCCAAGGAATGGCAAAATAGGATTTCCAGCAATGTTCAAGTGCAACGTCAAGGAATGGCAAAATAGGATGTCCAGCAATGTTCAAGTCCAACGTCGAAGAATGTCAAAATGGGATGTCCAGCAATGTTCAAGTGCAACGTCAACAAATGGCAAAATGGGATGTCCAGCAATGTTCAAGTGCAACGCCAAGGAAAGGCAAAATAGGATGTCCAGCAATGTTCAAGTGCAACGCCAAGGAATGGCAAAATAGGATGTCCAGCAATATTCAAGTGCAACGCCAAGGAATGGCAAAATGGGATGTCCAGCAATGTTCAAGTCCAATGTCAACGAATGGCAAAATAGGATGTCCAGCAATGTTAAAGTGCAACGTCAACGAATGGCAAAATGGGATGTCCAGCAATGTTCAAGTCCAATGTCAACGAATGGCAAAATAGGATGTCCAGCAATGTTGAAGTGCAACAGTAACGAATGGCAAAATGGGATGTCCAGCAATGTTCAAGTGCAACGTCAACGAATGGCAAAATAGGATGTCCAGCAATGTTTAGGTGCAACGTCAAGGAATTTCAAAATGAGATACCGGGACATGTCCAAGTGCAACGTCAAGGAATGTCAAATTAGGATGTCCAGCAATGATTAAATGCAGCGTCAAAGAATGTCAAAATTGGATGTCCAGCAATGTTCAAGTGCAACGTTGAGGAATTTTAAAATGGGATGTCCAATTTTCAAGTGCATCGTCGAGGAATGTAAGAATGAGATGTCCATCAATTTTAAGTGCAACGTCGAGGAATGTCAAAAAGGGATGTCCAGCAATACTAGTATTCAAGTGCAAACGTGATGGAATGTCAAAATGTGATGTCCAGCAATGTTAAAGTGCAACGTCAACGAATGGCAAAATGGGATGTCCAGCATTGTTCAAGTCCAATGTCAACGAATGCCAAAATGGGATGCACAGCAATGTTCAAGTGCAACGCCAAGGAATGGCAAAATGGGATGTCCAGCAATTTTCAAGGACAACGTCAACGAATTCCAAAATGGGATGTCCAGCAATGATCAAGTGCAACGTCAAGGAATGCCAAAATGGGATGTCCAGCAATGATCAAGTCAAACGTCGAAGAATGTCAAAATTGGATGTCCAGCAATCAAGTGCAACGTCAAGAACGTCTAAATAAAACGAATGTAAATTTAATATGCCAATGTTTTTGTATAAATAGATGTGGGACCCAGCAGATATAGTATTCATAATATGATGATTATATATAATATTAAAGTTATACATGTTGACATCACATTTATATAAAAATCTAAGCCATTGCTTTAATAATTACAATATATATGTACATGTATATCTTACACATAGGATTACTATACTAGCCAATGATGTGTCAAGTTTTCCATGTGTACACGGAACATAATATGCCATTTCATATTATATATTCAAAAAGATCGGATTTAAAATATCGATTTACTCTTATCTTATTTAGTACAATTTCGTCTTTTCTATCAAGATTCTGTATGTAGGAGGTTGAAATTGTAGGTTCCATTAGTGAGATGATCGTTTAGTTGTTTTTTGAAAAGTGAGAAGCTGTTCGTTTCCTTATGGTCTCTAGGAAGACGGTTCGACAAGGTTATCATTGAGCAAACTGTTCCCGTTTCCAGTTTTTTACTAATTGAGCCTGGTAATTTGTAGTCGTTGGTTGTTCTAAGAACTCGCGTCTGAGGTGATTTATATCGTTGAAAAATCCCTTTTACGTAAGGTGGTACCAAATTGTTTTGAATCTTGAACATAACACGCAATTTCTGTTCATCCCGTCTATTTTGAAGATTACCCCAATTTAATATTGCAAGGTTTTTTTCGGTGCTTGCACCTTGCATAACACCAGAACAAATAACAGCTCCCCTATAATGTAGCTTGTCTAACTGCTCTAGGATGGTAGCTGGAGCAGCGTCATAAATGATATCACAATAGTGGGATGGGACAGGATAAAGGAAGAGTAAATTTTTTCCAATCTATGTAAAAGTGCCATAAGTGGATTTAACAATTTTTTGAACTTTACCTTCTAGATATTCAATATGGGTTTTGAAAGTTAACTTTTCATCAAGAATTAGACCGAGGTGCTTATGATATTTAATTTGATCTATTGGAGTGTCATTGAAAACAAAGTTTGAATATGCTCTCTCAATTGGTCTATTTGTTTTAAAGATCAATTCGTGACTTTTTTGTGGTGCGAAGGTTAGTCCCCATTTCTGGGACCACATTTGAATATGAATTAAGTCCTCTTGAAGGACTTGGCTATTTATTTGGTGATTTCTTGGGTCAACAGGACAAAAAATTGATGTGTCTTTCGCATAGATAAAACATTTTGAGTTTAAGTCGTCTGTTATGTCATTAAGATATAACAAAAAGAAAATCGGTGCCCATATTGAGCCTTGGGGGACTCCAGAGTTGATTTGACCGACTTTACTAGACCTTGACAATTCATCATTGATCTTAATTTTAATTGTTCTGTTTGTGAGGTAAGATTGAAAAAGGTAACTTTATATATCCCCGATATCGTGGTAAAATGAACTTTTGGAAGTGTGAACTGTGCTCTTCATACGGTAAGATAGCATATAAATATGTCTCAATCGAGGAAAATGGTTTGATTACAACTTTAAGTTAATTTCTAACGGTGTAATATTTTTTTCATGGACCTAAAATTCTGCTTATTGTTTAAACTGTTAAACTTATACTGTTTGGAACAAAAATAATGATACGTGGATTTGCTGAAGTGAGGATTTCCCATGTTAAAAATAAGAGAATTTTCAAGAGGCCATACATCAGTGGGTGACAGTATACAAAATGTAAAATATACACATTTTAAGGGATATGTACAGTATCTTGACAATATTTGAGACTATATGGCTTTCAGAACACCATGGTTTGGATATGGTGATAAAACTGTGTTCCAAACTGTATTTGAAAACTTATCTGACTGAAATTCTTGCTCAAATGCACAGCCCAAAAAATGAGGTGCCGGGGAGTTCCTAGTGGTCCTAGTGGTCTGCTTGCAACCCTGGGGAATCCTATTGCTTGCAACCCTGGGGAATCCTATTGGTTCACATAAAAACTGCTAAAACTTGCAAACAAGAACCATAACATTACATTACTGAACATGAATTTCCGGAGACTGACACGTCAAGTTAAAAGGATTCCAAGCTTTGAATAACCCACATCCGGAGTGTTTTTTTGTAAATGTATCTAGATACTGCTGAGTTCAAGAAAGACAAAATTTCCAATCTTGTTTGAGAAGACAATATTACCAATTATTTTGTTTGAGTGTGATCATTTTTCGTAAAAAAACATCATTTTTTCATATTGTTAATTTGATACAAAAGGGCATAAGCGAAAAATAATGGTAGTCTAATGGAAAAATCGAATAAAAAGTAAGCACATCATTAATCTTTCTATCATTAATAATTATGCATGTTGTAATAAACATTTTATTATCACCGATTGGGTATCTCAATCGAGGCTTTACACGCATTTAGCATTATTACAAATATGTTTCGGAAGTCCACACCGGCCGCTGAACACCGTCCACAAGAAAGTTGGAGACTTTCTGGTGGTAAAGCGAAAACCAGGGACAATTACCCTCTTACCCTCTGATGACGCATTTTGCATTTTAATAAGGACTTCTATATAAGTAGCGAGGAAGGGTCTCCGTGTACCCGAAAGATATACATTTTTAATTGAAGTTTTACATCGACATAGAAAAATAAAAATCGCTCCAGAGATGACAATGTTTACATCAAAATTCTTTAAGTAGATAACCTCTTGGTGTAAAAAATCTAAAAAGTCTATTAGTCTAGATGCGAGAAGAAATAATAATTTACGTCATTGAATATTCAAAATGTCCCATTTCATTTTTTTAACTTTTCAATGGCACAATATACTTACACATGTTTTTAGTATTAATGATCATAAATAATTTTAATTTATAAAGTTATTAAGATAACATTGATATAAAAATATAAAACCATTGCTTTAATACAATAATGCATTCTACACATCTGACTATAGAAAATCGTGGATGGGGTAGCCTCCGATTATTTTACCAACTTAATCTTAATCGATTGGACGCAACAATTTGCCTGTTCCAAAATATGTTGCTCTTCCCCATTGACGGGTACAAGAAAATACATATGACCAACTGCTAATAAACGTTTATTCTTCCTATCCAAGATATAAATTACGCCTTCCTACTTTTTTCAGATGAGATATACGGGTATTATAGTCATTGATATTGATACTCACCAACCGTGAAATTCCTCACCCCAGTGTCTCAGCACCATTAACGCTATTCTGCCCGTTAAAAGCACAAAGCCTGTGCGTGGCCTTTGTAAGACGAGCTCCCCTTTCCCATTCCCACTACCGGACTATATATACCGAGAGCATAGGCAGGGACAGTAATCCGCCACGCCCTATCCATGCATCAATCGGCTACTTGATGTCCATATATTCCTTGTCTTCAATTATCTGGTCATCTTTAGTTATTAATTATACCATTTGATCTAGTTTACCAATTTCAGGCAAGTAGCTGATAGGATTATGATTAATGGGTTACCAGTTCTGTTTTATTTCTGCAAGTAATTGATGTAGATATTAAAATACATTATGGGTACAATGGAAGTAATGTCTATGTTGTATAATTAATATTGTGCAAATGTACGGGTTGAATTGGGTTATTTCTCTGTCCGGTGATGCATAAATAATAGGGAGGTAAAGATAAACGTTTTAAGGGAACTTGTTAGCGAAGGATTAGTATTGACTTGCCCGTAGTATGTTTACTTGTCCGATTGAGTATTATAACGATGTGAGGAAAATAGTTTCACCTGTAAAAAAGAATTGAGAGGGACGGTAATCTTTGAGGCCAAAATATTACAACCTCGTCTGCAGGTGTAGCTAGAAACGTGTTGCTTATCCACCTTATTATAATACGGGCTCGAATATGTAACTGATAGTAAAACAATATACAATGAAACCAATAAAACCGAGCTCCTTTCTAATCCAAACAATTCTCAATGCGAACGTGTTTGGTCCAAAGTTAGTTATCTCCCATCATATCGCATAAACCTTGAAGAAATGTGAACACCTGCTTATCCAAACAACTGCAAGTTCTAGTCTTTCAAAACGTGACAAGAGATTGGCGGGAGTATATTTTCTGTAAATTGATAAATTCTATCAGAAGACACTCATAATCAATTCTCCTCCAGGCAATGATATTTATGTATTACCTTTTAAGATCAATTGAAAGTACTGGACTTGAGTAAACTAAGATTACTGTTATCAACGGACTTATGGATGAGATGGGATTACCTTGCATCGGAAATAAATATCTTAATGAGCTAAAAGCTTTATGCCAGTGATTAAACAGTTCTTAAAGTTATCCTTATTTCTTACCTTCATCGGCTGACATGTGAATGGAAGTCATAGACATTGGTTTTATACATTTCAATGTGTTGTCCCTACATGCCAGCATACTCAAATTCATTTGCATATGATTATTTATGTGTTATTTTACATGTATTGGTCTGAATGATTATGACGTTTAATTCACGAAGAGATGATGTTTTAAATTAGAAGAACTTATGTTATTGATTCTATGATAACACCTTCATATATCAATCATTATGCGTGGACGAACATTTCAATCTACTAGTTAGGCGGAGGAAGTGTAACAAACTAATAGGCCTAATACAGTAAACCCCCATAGGGAAGGTTTCCTCTTATCCATAATATGGAGATTGTTGACTGTTTAAAGGGTAATAATCTGAGATTGTGGGATTTGAGATTTAAAAGTGGAACGAGTATTGTAGTTACTAAGTTCCATTCCCATCACTTTTGGGAATACTCACTGCAGGGGAAACAAGATTGGCAAGCTCAAAAACGCGACTTCCTAAATGGCTGTACAGTGTTGATGCTCTAAAATCTACTACGCGTACATTGGATAAATGTCAGCCAAGTTTATTAAGTTATACTCTTGCATTAAGAATGCTTATTCAAATAAGATCCAAAACTAAATTGGAATTTCAAATTGTCAGCAGATATCAATGAAAAATTAATGTATACAGTAGCATATTATATCCACCATGGTAGAGATCTATTGAACACAATCAATTTTTCAAATTTTACATCTACATTCTCTCTGATCAAGGCGATAAACCTGACATATAGTGAAGATATATGAGCTTAGTGTATGTATGTATGTATATATTTATTGCCCTTTACATTTAACGATAAGATGGCAAGAAAACAATTCAATGTGTAAAATTCATAATATTCCTACACTGCAATGTCTCGCGACTTATTTAGTTTTGTTCATTTGTATTTCTGGAATTAAATATTGATTAGGATTAATTAATAAAAAAATGACATGCCATGAAAAAATACATGCTATAAAATCATCAATATTCAATCCTCCGGTAGCTTCCATTTGGGTAATTCTAAACACACCTGATCTGCTATTATTGGTGATAATGGCTATAATATAAACACTAGCTCAATGTAGCATGCCATTCGTTGATTATACGTACATTTTGAAGGTTAAAGCTTCTCCAAATATGTTGCAAAGTTGTATTTCCATTAGTTGCTCATTCAAGAATAATTACATTGTTGTTTGATAATTGTTAAACTGTGAGGCCTACAATGATATTTGTCAGGAACTTTTGAGCAAAATCTTAATTGTGACATGCGCTGATTATGCATACTCTATCCATACTACTATTTAACACATCGTGTACTATATCTAGTATGCCGCCTTTCAATATGTTTGTGAACTATTTTGATTACACATGACAAGGTCACATACTCTTTTAATAGTTTGGGTCAAGATTTTAACTTGCTGTAACAAGTAAAATAGTTCTCCCTATATATTATATTTTCTAAACCATTATACCGACTCAGTACATATTTCATATACTGCAGTAATTCTGAAAGATAAATATGTAACCTTTATGATGCAACAGGTGTCTGCTACATATTTGTAGTATCTTTGAAGTTATTGGGAAATCAGCAAGGAGGATTGGCTCCCAGAGTGCAACATCGATATTCTGTCCCATATATAGGCATGTCGTGCTACAAAATTTGAATTCCAACGACCGCCATTTTGTTCACTTCAACATTTGAATCGTGAATTTTGGTCTTATTTCCTAACGAAAAATTCCAAAACTCACAGGAAATGATCAAGATTTTGGTTCGAATCTTTTGAACTGTTTATTTTGAATTTATAATCGGTTTTAATTTCAGAAAATAACGACATTTCGGTGTTTTCATCGTTGGAAAATATCGAGTTCGATTCTGGGAGCCAATCCTCCTTGGGAAATCAGGAAAAGGTTGAAGATATTTCAGAGGGGGAGAAACACCAGGGTTCAAAGATGACATACGCTTATAATGTAAGTAAATCTGTATTGAGATGACATCGTCGCTGATTGGTTAAAAGTCGACAAACAAATGACGTCATCAATGGCGGTTTCAAAATTTTCGAAATATGCTTCGAATGATATTATCTTCATTTCTGGCGTGTTAACCAATATCATAGCTTCTCATTTCACATCAAGATAAAGAATGGTGTACGGAATATGCCTATATCAATTTTAAACATTCCATCGAAGTGTAGTATTTGATAACTAGCCGATGAAAATGCGAACGAACGAAGGTGGTAAGCAAGAGAGGTAATTATGTCTGTCATCTTTAAACTCTGGGGGTTTCCCTCCTCTTAAGATATTTTGTACAATTCGACATCCGCCATATTGGATTGTTTTCTCTGTCTACTGAACCATGTGCTTAGGATTCACAGTGTGAGGTAAGCCCTAGTTGCTTTACCCAAACCCATGCTCACAGCATAGCAGCCTCTGTAGTCAGGTAAATTATTTCATCACTGAATTTTGTATTTGTAATTGCTGGCACATAACAATTTTATGTTAGTCTCAGGTAATTGTAAAATCACTTTGACATTGTACAAATTACCATGACATTTTTTAAGATCAACGTGACGTTTTGATGAAGTCATGAGTCGTATGCACTCAATGTTTTTTATGCTTCGGGCATTGATTGGGGATGCTCTAGTTTCATTATAATTTACTTAATCCCCATTTCAAAAAATTGTTTTGCCGATTAAAACATGAAACATTGATATGCATAGGAGATATGATTTTTTAATATATTGCTGCTATTTATATTTTCAGGCTAACCAACACCGGGTACCACTGGTCACTCGTCTTTGTTTTATTCTTTTATGATATGTAATGAATGTAAACATATTTAGGAAGTTTATATTGTTTGAACTGATAGAACAGAATGTAAACAGATTAAGGTAGTTGCCTTAATTGTACATGGTTTGAACTGATAGCTATAGAGTATGGTTTAGACTGAGAGACTAGATATATGAATATTAAATAAAAAAAAGTTTTCTGTTTAATTGGAATAAACGCCCCTCATAAAAGTGTCAATGTTTTTCAATTTAGACGTTGAAATGAAATGTGAATTTGTGATGAGTAATTCAGACGTTTACTTGTGGATTGCAAAGGCCTGCTGCCGTACTCTTAGGGACCAGGAAAACATAATTTATAAATGATGTATATTGTAGTATGTTATGTATATTAATGTTCTTTATCGCACAAATAGTGACTATTTGTAAAAGACTTTTATCCAGGACTAAGTGTGACATTTTACCTTAAACTTATTGTATGTAATTATTTACTATTATATTAATTCTATATATAGTGTCTTATAGATAGACCGTCAACGGTCCATGGTGTTTTCCCAGGACAAAAATAAACAATCCAATACAAAATACAAAACAAAACGGGGCGTATAACAAATCATTTTAATTCCTGCAATCACAGGACGTTCATTTTCTCAATCATATGTAATGGTATTACTGAAAATATATTATGTTGCAATTGTTATGAATTTACTTATATTTTATTTATATTAGCAACTGTGTATTAATAAAAACAAAATTTATATAAGGTGTTTTTTCATTCGTAATTATATTTTGCGTAATGCTACATTGTCTGTTAATAACTAAGCAGCCAAACCAAGAGTAACATTATGATATATCACTGCCCGTGTTAGGATACTCCCAGTGTTTGTGAGACGTTAGTGATATAGTACAACATTCCCGTCTCCCTGTGATGTTACTTTCATCACGATCGTGTTGTCCGGTGACCTCATGAACCTAGTTGTGGAGAAAATGATTCTTATTTATTAGTGAAGACAAACAAATGTAATATTTTTCTTGCCTTTGAGGACGTTACGGCGTTGTTCTATCCTGATCAAGTTGAGAGTTTTATCACTCAAAATCTGATATACTCAATATACTATACGGAGCGCGTGGCTCCAGCTATACCCATGGAAGGATGTGGCTTGGGATTCAAGATTTGTTCATAGGCATTATTAGTGAGTTGATCTTATTAAAATCCCTACACTGACATTATTACTTGTATTTTCACCTACCACTACACTACGGCCAACAATATTGTACGGTCCAGCAAGAGCGATGTGCGTTTTGAGAATGTTCTGCACTGTCAACTTTTCTCCAATTACATTTACCACTCCTAGTAAGCCAAATGACCTTTAAAAATATAAATTCGATTATTTGATTTTTATAGAAATCTCTTAAATACAAAGGTTTTAAATCCGTGGTGACTCTTTTGATAGATTGTGATGTGTACATTCATAAAAAACAAAAAAGTACATTTTGAAACCAAATAAGGAATCGATGAATAGAGCGAGAAGTGCTCTATGTTGTTTATTCGTTAATTATGCCCTCATACTGTAACATACCTATGACTTCCGGCAGTTGGTTTAAAAATCATACCAGTATTTTCGCATCCATCCCAAACTTCTCCGTATTCGTGAATGTTGAATTCAAATTGAGATACGTCTAAGTTTTCGGAAGTTTCCAGAGATATTTTGGTATATGTACGGCCTCCATTGGCTAATTGTTTGAAATCTACTGACCCACCTACAATTTTGGAACCCTCTGTTAGCGTAGATTTATGGCGGCCAGGTATCTGGAGTCGGCAATGTGCGTAGATGTACGCTACAATAACGTTTTAAATATATACAATGTCATGTACATATAAAATGCTGCAATTAAGAATATCAATTCAAAACAACATGCATGCAAATCACAGAATATCATCTACTCACGAACACATTCTATATGGTACAAGGTATCCACTTCCTTTATGGTTGGGTCTGGTCCTTTAACACACTGGCAACTTTCACGGTTATGCATGAACTTTGACATTCTTGGGATATGTTTTCCAGAAGCAGGGTGACTACAACCTGAAATTATATAGCAATGGTCTTTGACTTTTCAACATTTCACAAGTTTCATAACATTTGGTCTAATGAGGAATTCCCTCGGCCTCTAAAATAGATTTCCCAAAATACTTAAAACCAACCTTTTAGCTGAATGTTATCAATTTCAAATAAGATACCACTGACTCTAACTAAATTTTGAATTACAAATCATTCAAATCAAAGTCCTTTCTAATGGTAGCTATTTCCTATGCTAAGATTAGATCATGATTTTGCCCTAAGCAATTAAGTGTTTACAAATGAGTTCTGACTAGGCCCAAACAGTTTTCGTGTGCTAGAAATGAAGCAGTCTGGCACAACTGACAATGATTCTTAAAATGAACGATTGCAAAGCTTGTCAAGAGCAAGCCCGACTCTATTAAAACGAAAATGGAAATTAAAGTGAATTAATAAACCCAATAACGAGACAAAGATCCTTTATTCTGCTAGTCGTGTTGCTACAAATTATTAGAATCCTAGGTACAGCTTTTATCAACTCTGGCTGGGGAATTGAATTAAGTTTATCAACCAAATGGCAACGGAATGTACCTTTAGAATTGAACATTAATACTATACAAGAACTGTTCAGAAATCAATATACTAAATGGAAAAATAAATGGTTTTAGCTACTATACAATAATTTCTTTGATGGCTCTGTCAAACAAAGCGGTTAGAATAAAAATAGAAAAATAGTTCTAGTATGTAATAGAGTCAATTACACTAGTGTACAAGAACTTGAGGAGCATATCTTAATTTTATTTTCGAGTATATTTTCATGAAAAATTTAACAGACACCAGGGCTGTCCTGTTAAATGTCAATGCATTTCTATTGACAGAATATTATTTGTCGGAACAGTTTTATTGCTTATGAAATAAATGCCCTGAATATGCTAAATATTCAGATAAAAGAAATGATTGAGGTGATGGTAAGTGGTATCTCAAGAGAATTTTGAAATTCAAATGACTGAAACTGGATCGATGATGTTCACCGATCAGAGATAGATACATCTTTTATAAAACGTTACGCTTGTACCACTTCATATCTTGAAAATCATCGTCACAAATTAAAATTCAATCTTTAATTGCTAGCGAGCCTATATGCAATATGAAAATTGATTGACACATAAAATTACCATTTTCAACAATTCATATTCAGACAAATTCCTGAATGATTGGGTTACTTTGTCATTTAAGTTACGGTGAACTAATCAACTCCATAGAAATGATATAATTCTAAAGTCTTGCAGTAGTCAGTTGTTATATCCGAACAAGAATTGCTTTGTGGAAATTGGAATGCAAAAAGTTTCAACATGTTCTTTTATTGATTTCATACCTTTTAGACAGTTTTGTAGAAACTATTTTGCAATGTGTGAAAAGAATTTAATTTGAAGGTTTTCTGTAGTAGTATAGTGATTAGAAGAAACAGATGAAGCCAGCGAGAAATTGAAGAAACAAAGCATCGTCAAGGCCTTTCAATTTACCTCTGAGAACACACAACTTTTGTGGTGGAAAGGGGGCAGCACCAGATGGGAGTTCTGGTGATCGACTAGTTTTACTGGTATCAATACAGCGACACCTATGTCTTTTCTCCCGCCATTCATTTCCAATATTTTGAAAATCACCTCGACTACTTACACATTCTGTAAAAGAAGAAAATAAATTTTGATATGATCAATACATAATCATTGATAATGCCGATAATATTATGATATTAATGATAATGTTATGTCTGTCCCCGGGGTGTCTGTCGCTGTCTCAAAGCCTGACAAGATATGATATAGGAATGCCAGTTGACCCATTCCCTCCCTCTTGATGATTAAGTTATGAAAGTGAGTTTTTCGGGTTTTCAATTAAATGAATTACTTTTGGGGCATCCCCAAATTTTCGTGCAGTTTATTCCATGTTCTTGATTGCAGTCTTTGTAAAGGAATGCGATGGCGTCATCCGGGTAGTGGAGGCATCTGAAGAAAGGTATAGTTAAATGGTATTTCCTGTTTTCAAATGATGTCATAACTTTAAAACGGTACAACTTTAATATAATATCGTAACAAATGAAATATATCAAAATTAACATATTTATATGGTGTTCCAGTTCATAAAATCTCTGCTTAAGACCTACAAAGCTGCTTCCTTCCCATCATCCCTATGAACAGCAACTTCTTCACATTGTACGAGCATCATGATTGACCAACAAACACAAGCCTTAAAATATTATGAAAGGCAAGATAAAATTAAGAAAAAACGAGAATGGAAAAATATAACAAACTATTTTGTTAATACCTTATAATAATACGATTGGCATAATCCTGTATGAAGAAAGTATCTTATGAAATGAACATTGGAGAGCACATAAAGTCAATCGATTTTGTAAAACGATTACGTCCCGATTATGTATACAATTACCCATCATAATGACCAGTTGAAAAGTCAATATTAGAGCTTATCACAAGGCAAATAAGGTAGCACAAGGTTTAAATTACCAGAATCGTATATATAATATGTCTTACCTTTAGCGATATTTTAAATATCCTTAATGTATACATTTCATCTCCAAAACAATACAGGTATAAGTGCAGAAGTATATCAAAATACAGCAAATAATAGATATTCACCCAAAGGCCACATGTTACACTTGATTCTCAAAATCAATTTTATCTTTTGTTGGAAATTAAATTGTAAGTCGATTGTTAAATTACTAAACAACAACTGATGACCATTTGATTTGACATATCGATTACATCATAATTATGGTAATTATGGCAACGACCTCAAAAAGCCTTTTGATTATTTGTTGAAATGTTTTTGTGATGTGGTATTTGTGATATTTGGTATAGATTCTCAACAAAAGGTCAATGCACTGTTACAACATACACAATGGGACACGGTGGGATATATAGAAACATGAAAAGTGGATGAAAAAAGCTTGTTGCTATAGGCGAGACTAGGGTGGATATGGCGGCTGAAGCCACTTAAAATGGAAAAATACTTGCCGTGACCGCGGAGGGTCTCCACGATGACATCAGAGTTACCCTAGAGCGTGAACTATTTTATACAGACCGTAAAGGTAGAGCAATGACACGTTTTTCCACAAATTCAGATCTAGAATAAGCCGTACGCACTGGCGGGACTGGAGAAGGATGTTTCCCTCTTGATTGTTTTCAGATTCGCCCCTGCCGTAAGTGTCCCATTACCTGATAACATATTATGTGACTGCTATACATGTGATTGTGGGAAAACTGCAATGGCCCTGGAATGTGCCAAGGATATTTTTAATTCAAATGGCCGCCGCAGCATGTTTACGCAAAAAGTTTCAGTTGAGAGCTGTATAATTCAAACGTGACAAAAAGCTATGCAATATTCCTCGGGCAGAGATGGTTCATGTTAAAAAAATATGAATCTGGTCCAAACAAGTCGGAGCCTTGATTAAGCACGTACAAAGCACGATCAATTATATGATAAGGGTGGTCTTACCGAGATCTAAAAATGGCCGAAATTTGAACCCAGAAGTCCAGTTACCAGGTTCAAAGAGAATGTTAGAGTGAAAGCTGCGAAAAATTTTATGTCTGACGCCTCATGACAAACCTGTTTCGAAATAGAGTTGGTCATGGCAATTGTTGAATAGGTACCTGGCGCCTTTTTGACGACATGTGTAGCACCATCAGTTATGTAACTGGTTTATGCTGGTAAAAGATTAATATTTTTTCAAGATGAATAAGATCTGGCACTGGCACCAGTTGACTTGGATGGGGACGAATTCTCTTGGGGACCAGCTGATCAGTTACCGCGCTTCAATTGTTGAATGAATAGAGAACATAGAGGCATTAAACATCGGGGTATAAAGGTGGTGTCGAAGGATGATACTGAGCCTTTGATAAAAGACAGAAGAGCAGTGAAAGTGTACTCATGACATGTTTTCAAGATAGAAGGACTGATATTAGTACATTTATCGTTAAGAAATCTCTCTAATCATGGGTTTGATGATGGTGCATCTTGAAATGAAGTTAATTTCAAAAAGAGGTTCCTATATCTTATTTTAGCTCTAAGTTGCTGACAAAAACAATTTCGTTTTTAGTATTTAATAATAATAATATATTTTCTGAGTAAGATAACCACTTGCACCCTTTATATTTATAGATGTGCCACAAGTTATTGTATTGCAGACTTATAGTAATGATGTCATAACTGCCCTTTGTTCCCATCAATCTTAACTTGTTAAATATATTAATTATCCTTATAAATATAAGATGTCTTTCTATGGAAAAGTCACATTAATGATTTTTATTCACCCATTCGTTTAAATGAATGTATTTTAATGTTTGCCCCATCATTGTTTCCCCTTGAGACTTATTACATGTAGTTATATTACAATACCTACCATATTCACAAAACTCATACTACACAGTTATCCAAATAAATCTTAATAACCGGTGTTAGTTTTAAGTCATATTTTGTACAATTGAACCTTGTTCAATTCTAGTAAGTTCAATTGGTGAATTCAAAATGGTCATAGTTTTCTGGCCATTTTGCAAAACATTGTAAAAATGCCAAAACAACCAAAACACCACTCAATATGTACCTCATGCGTTCAAGTCTCCCTCTAAAGACGCAGATCGGCATCTGGGGGCATGTTTTGTAAAATGGTCATACAAACGTGACCATTTGGAATAGACCTTGTAATGAAACCTGAGGAAAGTATACATTGAACAAGTTTTAATTGTGTCAAATATGACTTGAAGCCCATTCCGGATGGCCGGTTTGTTTGGGTTACCTTTTTTGGCTCACCCTGTAGCAGGTTTCATAACTTTTTAATGTTGATTCCCTTGATAAAGTCAAAGATTTCCCTCCAAAGAGTAAATTGAATAAAATCTTATTTTTAACATAATTCTTTATATTTATTGCATCTTATATGTACATACAGTGTTATTTTCGACACAGTCCAACAAAATGGGTGCAAATTTTGTTGGAAAGTGTCGATATGAGGTAATACCTGTACATGTATTTATAGTCATAGTCTGTTTTACTTAACTCAAAATTCAGGCTCAACACATGGCCATGGTTAGTTGACTTGTTAGTTGCGTCTCTCAATACAGTGCCATGTTATCGCTAGTTTTTTATTTTCCATCGCAATCAGAATTAGTTGTACAGCCTAATACAATCATGTGTTTACAAACTCTTCTATTTCACAATCATAATGTTGCTGCAAGTACCATCACCTAGTCTTTGTATTACCATGCAGTGTATTCGATTGATTAATATGGTTCACTGACCGATGTTAAATCTGTCTTTGTTTATTACATATATTTATCATCTTTTTCAGGCGTCTCAGATTTCTCCCAGACACTGGAATCGGCCCGGGCCATTACACAGCATCCGATTGGACGACCTGGGCTCAAAATTATGCCCTCGGCATCTAAGCTTTCATCGGCCTTACTATGGATCTGAAATGTTTACGATTTGCTGATTATTTTTTAAATCACATAAATCAAGAAAAATCATAAATTCAATCCACTTGCATTGTATTAAGTGCGCCTTCCAGCTAATGCTCTACAATAGTACATCAGAGATGTGGCGGGAGTATACATTTAATTATATATTTCATAAATTGGTTTTCTACACTGATAGCCTTACCTTTATAGATCTACCTGCAACGTTATTGTGGTGAACTAATGAGATGACATGGTCCTCTTTGCTAAAAACCGAATGTCCTGGATAATCTGTCGATTCCCGGATGTTTCCCATGTCTCCAACATGTCTACAATAATAATGATTTTAATCAACGGTGTAGCCTTTGCACATAAAGACGGTGACTTAGTCCATTCAGATGGTTCACATCTCGAACATAAAATCTACAAAGGTGGAGAGCTATGGAAATATATACATTTACAAACTATGTATACCACAAGAATTATATAGCATATAAAACAGGATCATACAAAGCTAAGATAATTTACCGTTTCTCTTTGACTTGATCTTCCATAGGGCCACCATGATCCAGGCCTAGTGGGTTGAAATGAGGACCTCCGCCGGTACAGTCAGAGTTCAGAGTACCGTACGTGTGGATGTGGACGCCATGTAAAAGTTCAGAATCAGCCGTGTCGAAACCAGCAATACTGCCTCGTATGTATGTGACGCCACCACTTGATAGTTGCTTGAATACTATGGTTCCATTCAATTCTCCAAAAACTTTGCAAATAGCGAATTCAAAATCTACAATATTTCAATGATAAGCAAGTATAGACAAAGACAATAAGTTGCACGAAAAATAAGTAGTGAAGACAATAAGTTGCACGAACAATAAATAGTGAAGACAATAAGTTGCACGAACAATGAATAGTGAAGACAATAAGTTGCACAAACAATGAATAGTGAAGACAATAAGTTGCACGAACAATAAATAGTGAAGACAATAAGTTGCACGAACAATAAATAGTGAAGACAATAAGTTGCACGAACAATGAATAGTGAAGACAATAAGTTGCACAAACAATGAATAGTGAAGACAATAAGTTGCACAAACAATGAATAGTGAAGAAAATAAGTTGCACGAACAATAAATAGTGAAGACAATAAGTTGCACGAACAATAAATAGTGAAGACAATAAGTTGCACGAACAATAAATAGTGAAGACAATAAGTTGCACGAACAATGAATAGTGAAGACAGTAAGTTGCACAAACAATGAATAGTGAAGACAATAAGTTGCACAAACAATGAATAGTGAAGACAATAAGTTGCACGAACAATTAATAGTGAAGACAATAAGTTGCACGAACAATAAATAGTGAAGACAATAAGTTGCACGAACAATAAATAGTGAAGACAATAAGTTGCACGAACAATGAATAGTGAAGACAATAAGTTGCACGAACAATAAATAGTGAAGACAATAAGTTGCACGAACAATGAATAGTGAAGACAATAAGTTGCACAAACAATGAATAGTGAAATAGTGAAGACAATAAGTTGCACGAACAATAAATAGTGAAGACAATAAGTTGCACGAACAATAAATAGTGAAGACAATAAGTTGCACGAACAATAAACGGTGAAGACAATAAGTTGCACGAACAATAAATAGTGAAGACAATAAGTTGCACGAACAATGAATAGTGAAGACAATAAGTTGCACAAACAATGAAAAGTGAAGAAAATAAGTTGCACAAACAATGAAGAGTGAAGACAATAAGTTGCACAAACAATGAATAGTGAAGAAAATAAGTTGCACGAACAATAAATAGTGAAGACAATAAGTTGCACGAACAATAAATAGTGAAGACAATAAGTTGCACGAACAATAAATAGTGAAGACAATAAGTTGCACGAACAATGAATAGTGAAGACAATAAGTTGCACAAACAATGAATAGTGAAGACAATAAGTTGCACGAACAATTAATAGTGAAGACAATAAGTTGCACGAACAATAAATAGTGAAGACAATAACTTGCACGAACAATGAATAGTGAAGACAATAAGTTGCACGAACAATAAATAGTGAAGACAATAAGTTGCACGAACAATGAATAGTGAAGACAATAAGTTGCACAAACAATGAATAGTGAAGACAATAAGTTGCACGAACAATGAATAGTGAAGACAATAAGTTGCACGAACAATAAATAGTGAAGACAATAAGTTGCACGAACAATAAATAGTGAAGACAATAAGTTGCACGAACAATGAATAGTGAAGACAATAAGTTGCACGAACAATAAATAGTGAAGACAATAAGTTGCACGAACAATAAATAGTGAAGACAATAAGTTGCACGAACAATAAACGGTGAAGACAATAAGTTGCACAAACAATGAAGAGTGAAGACAATTAGTTCCATCAATGTATAGCTTAACCTCGTTATGATCACTAAACTTCAGCCGGTATATCATACGCCCTATTTTTTATCTATCGCACCGAGTGAAATCGGTGCTGTACTTACTTGCACATTTAAGTCGGAAAAGGGTGTTGAATTCTGTTACTTCTGGATCTGGACCCTTGCCACAAATGCACACCCTTTCTTTAGTTTCATATCTTTCCTTTGGTTTCATAAACGTATTTTCGAAGTCAGGGTGCATACATCCTAAAATATGAGCGTATATTTGAGATGCGCAGTCACCCTTCATCTTGGAATTGACCACTTGCACACCGAATAGTATCTGACTTTACCGTTGTTAGGCTATCCGGTGTGACTTGACAGACATTCCATATTACTTGTTCAGGTCAGACTGAAGACTTTATCTTAGTATTCTCTCTTTTGGATAAGTAATGGGTTGAATTTAATCCCATAACACATTTAATTGTTGAACAGTAATAAGTAAATGCTGAAGTGCTGTCGAATTGCAAGATTTGTATATTATAAGTTCTTATGTTACTGCGTATCGAACACAATCTCACGCTAAAAATTCAAAAATAGAGTAATATTATAACATTTATTAACACAGTTATTATATGGACAAAATCCAAGTAAGTGAGAAGCAATTGGTCAATGTCCCTTCTCCGTTCTATTTTGATACCTTTTAGTCTACAGCGGGATCTCGGCGGGTATGCGGGGGCACCAGGTGGAGGTTGTGGGACGGCCGTGGGGTCCTTCTCACCCAATAGCACCTCAGTGGTGACACAGTCACATTTGTACATTGTCTTTTTCCAACGCTCTCCAAGAACAAAGTCTCGTCTGCGTTGTCTATCCGTCAGTACACGGCATGCTAAGAAAAAAGTTGTTAACTGATTTCAAACTCATAACATATACCCTATATTATATTCATCATATGGCTTGTCTTAACACGAAGTTTCGATCGGATTAATTTGATTTTACACAATGGATTGTACGGAATTACCCGATTTGGCAATATATTCGAACTTATTTCTAATAGAATGCTGCGTCAAAACTTTAATAGGCTAAATGTTTGCTCAGAAACTATGGTTAGACGAGTACATGAAAATCCTTGTGTATTCATTTTGTGTATGTACGGACTACATACATATTTTTGAACTATGTACAAATGTTTAGAATGTGTCATTAATAGAACAACAAAACATTACTATTGGGGCAGTCAGTGACTCTAGCGCAGCCGAGTTCCATATCTCTCTTCACTGTACAACCTCCCGATTCGTAAAGTGTGGTCAGTTGATACTCTGTGTACTCCAGACATCTGAGATGAAATGTAAAACTATGAGTGTAAAGGCATCGTGCTCTTTTTAATTTACATATATAGAGTTCATACATTTTGTGTAAAAATGTGCGATGCCATGGTGATTAAAATACATTTCAAAAGTACTTTTGTTACAATGAATGTTATGTAACGCAACAATAATCGTAAAACGTACTAAATAACGATTCATCATTTGCAAACTTAAATTACAAACGAATTAAAGGAACACTAAATTTATTGTTCGCTTCTACTCTAGATCTCTTGACATACTCCATTTCCCATGTACCAGCTGAAATAATGTTCATCCAGGGAGTTTCTTTGCAGATAATAAAAATATATGTTAGTCTTGATGAAATACCCAAACTTAAATACATTTTGACACTGGTCGATGATCGTTGAATGGCCCCTCTGCACTAATTGTTGCACCTTTAAATTACAAACGAATTAAAGGAATACTTTTATTGTTCGCTTCTAATCTCCTGACATACTCCATTTCCCATGTACCATGTGAAGAGACCGGAAGCTAATAACTTACGGTACTTTCTCTTGAGCCTTTGCCACACATAGAAGTCCGATGAAACACACGGCTAACCCGAGGATGGTCCCCTAAGAACATTAACATATATATAGAACAATTTAGAACAACTTTAATGTTTGAAAAGGAAAACAACGGCAAAACAAAATAGACGATCCATTATAAGGTCTGGGTATTTGAATTAAGTCGAACTCGGCCTCCAGTGAAACTAAAATGAACGATTATCGCTTCATCCTACAATAATGTGTTAATCTATATAATTTGTTTTCATTTTGACAATAATATTATTAGCCGTATATATCGAGCTTTATCAAATTAACTATAATGACTTTAATACAAAAATAAGATATATGTAAATAAGAACATCTCACCTTATTCATCCTAAAGTGTTACTCCTAACTGTAGATGAGTGTATGTCACCACCCTATGCTTTTAATGTAGTGAACATTGTACTGAGTGGACAATGGGGGCAATAACAACAATCGATACGTAAACATATTACAATAGCTCCTGTCATCAGTATTTTAGAAACATTTCCGACAATATGTTCACTTTTGACGGTTAATTAAAACATGTATTTGTTTAAAATTGGAGTATGGATACCTTAATATAATAGCATTTAGCTAGAGTAGAGATAGACAATAGACATGTTAGCTATTTGTTTACTGTTGTATTTTCATACTCTTTCATATAAAACGTCATGAATCAAACAACTTTTTCTCATTTTTTAGATAAAATTCTTAATTTGAAAATATGTTTCATTGAAATATCTTTAATTGCGAATGTACAACTTATGTACTAAATTCCCTCCATTTGTTTGATATATGGAATTCATCGATGGATTATAAAAACAGGGAGATCCCAATGTCCACAATATAAGGAACGATACGGTGTTACTTTTTTAAATATACCTAGCTAAATAAAAATGCAAATTGAAATATGGTGTGATATATTCATCATGTAAACATAATTTGTTTTGCGGGTAGCTAAGCATTTTAGATCTATTTTACAAAACATCCATACTTTAAAATACTATACATTTCTACATATCGTAAGTACCCGTGGTCTAGTTGCTTGCGTTGGTGATTTTAACGCATGCCATCGAAAACGTAAGCAAACGTTCGAGCTAGACAACTGACTGATCCAGAGTTCCGTTCAACATCAGATACAGTCGGGTCCTTATTATTTGGTTTAATATAAATGTTATCAAGTGATCCCATACTTGGATCCTCATTGAAGTAGTTAAATGGCATGATGAAGAAGCTCAGTTGGTTCCCAGGAGAGGTTTGTATAGGGACGTCCTCACTGGAGGGGATATGGTGGGTTCCTAATGTCAACCATGCCACCAGGTCCTGGAAAATGAGACAACGTTATTATGAGACAACATTATTTTGTATGGCTTGTTCTGTTAACAGCAAATACACTTTTACTTTCCGTTTACGAATATACAGTAGGAGTACGTGTAGATTATTTAAAATTTAAAACTTATTTTAAGGGCCCACTATGTTTAATTTAGAAGGAAAAAGCATTGAAACATGTTATTTACACACTCAATCAAATATGATACAAAGCTTGAGTTGCATTCATATTGAACCGAGAAAAAAACTCATGTAGAAAACAGCATTTGATCCTTAATAGTGCATGCCCATTTTTGACAAAGTGCATGTTTTTGAATAACCTTTTGAATAACTCTTGATTTAAAAGACGGCGACACTTCAATACAAGTGAATGAAACTTGTGATACAAACTTCGCCATCTTTCATTGACATTGGTAAAACTTGATGAATAAAAACTTCAGATCAAAAATATTTTATGATAATTTATTGGAAGCTTTTATGCAGCCCATTTGAGCTGTTTTTATGTCTACTGAAAGATAAACTACTGATCAATCCATTGGATATACTATGAAGTTCAAAAGTAGGTCTTAATTTTGACAGAATGTCAAAAATACGCATAGCGAGGCTTTAAATGTACGTTTATATGTTTCATCGGTTAAAACATGATATATGGTGGATGCAATATTTTGGTTTGGTTAATTAACCTCAGCAATTTGCATTATAGCATTAATTATCCTTTTTTATTTTGAATATATCGAAGAGTGAGGAAAACAATAGTAGTGCCACGAGTGCAGTAAAAGTAAATCATACCTTGTCTTGAATATTTTCATCATCGTCGATGAACTGCTGGAAATCTACTACTGGGTCGAACGGATCCATCAATGAATAAATTGAACCGCTCGTCCATTCCTCTTCTTTGTAGCGAGTGACTGCTAGATTTTGTCTTGCCCATGCCACAGCTGCTGTCCTATCCGAGTCCTGTACAAGCTGCTTTGCTACACTTCCAGTTTGGATCCTATAAGCTCTGTGATGTCCGAAACTAGAACGCTCTTCGTTGTTGTAAAATGCAAAGTAACTAGGCGCCTCTGGTGTAATATCTGTGGCAGCTTCTTTCTCTGTGACCCTTGGCTCTCTCTGTATCTTTTGCGCGTTGATTTGCTTCGGTGGATCTCTCGGGTCTTCGTTGTTTTCACTTACGATCTTAATGGCCGAATGCCTGTTGGATGTACCCGAAACATCTAAATCTATCTTGAAGTTGATAAAGCCTGACCAAAGTGAACCCATTGTATCGTAAAAGAGTGAAAACCCATAGCCGTTTGTTTTGGCTTGATTGTAGAAATTAGCATCTTGATAACCACTTGGTGTTGTTTTAACTTCGATGGAGCCACTCTGGTAGAATATCACATCGAAGGTCATACTAAACGATGCAGACATTGTTGTTCTGAGCACAAGAGCACTATTTGGCATACCTCCTGCGAATGTGTAACCACCCATGTGATCATTCTCGTAGTGCCTCCTCAAAGAGCCCCCTGTAGTAGTCTCAAACACACACACAGATCTCTTGTGCGTCTTAGCGGAACCCCCTACATAGTGGTGTGTGTCGAAATAGGTGGCGTGTTCGGGGCAGTCTACTTCCGGTATCAAGGTGAAACCCCATTGTCCAATAAAACCGTTCAGTGTTGCAACCGTACTCAAGAGAGCTGGATTTGGATTTGTCAGAATGAAAAGCATGTCCTGCACACTGATTTCATATGCAATACGATCATTATTGAAACGGATATTATGGACTTGAAGCCCAGATGATGACCTGACTCCGAAGTCAAACTTCCAACCCATATACTCAACGGTATGTCCGTCTACTGAATACCTGCGGCCATCAGGATCAAACATTTTCGGTGGGCGTTTATCGGTGAATGACTGCCCCGGCCGGCGTTTCAATGTTGAAAATATACTGTCGTGATCTAACAATTCAACTACTGAAACAGTCCCTCCTTTGTACTCAGTGCTTAAATGGTTCAAATCCGTGAAGTATCTATTGTTGTACCATACTGCGTCAATTCTCCAAGAAGCTGGGTCAAGGTCAGCGATATCAATATGTGCTTGTAGACCCAAAGGGTGCAATGCAGCGCCCTCTTTAACCCTGACCAGCCATACCCATAACTTCCTCTCTCCAGATGATCCCGACCCAGGCATCAAATGCCACGTTATGCATTTTTGTGTGCAGTTACGTAGAAAGCTGTATCCGTCATAGCTGCTCAAGATCAGATCGTTTACGACTTCAGCCGTTTGCCTCAACATGCTATCTATTTGACCAGCTTCGTATAACGTTGTAGGTCGCTTTGAGTATCCTATTGGGGACTTCCATGTTGGGTTAGACACAAGTCTGTGATAGGTTGGAATTGGTAGAGAACCCACAGTGTATTCTTGTATGATCGGTGGATTTAAATCACCTCTATTTACCACAACCCTGGCTTCCCTGAGGGGTGTATCTCCCGTACCATCTATATAATCCAAAAGGGTATATTTCGCAGGAGATCTACGTTCAATGATATATATGTAAGATTGATTAGACAATGCTACAGATGGTGCCTTTAAATCTATCCCACTTTCCCTTGACATGTAATTTGCAACAGCATTGAGCTCATCTGGGAAGAGTTCATCAAAGACACTAGGATTTTTAGGATCTGATTCGATAATGTCGCCACCTACTGGGCATGGACCGGGTACATAACCTATATAGCACCGTCTGTTCTCAAGCAATCTGTTCTTCTCTACTTCTCCTGTGTAAAGAATTCCAAATGCAATAGCAAGTCCAGCACAACCGAAGCCAAAAATAACGGCCGCAGCTTTGATGATTCCGTCAATATAAATATCGTCATCCGGCTTTGCCTTAACTTGCTTATCAGCCGACATCTCGCTTCCAGTCATGAATATAGAGTTCATAGGAGTATTTGTTACGGCGTAGTTTCCAGTTTTGCCATCGGTTGACGTTACACTGTTTCCACTCTTAATTGACATATGGTTGACCTTGACCTTACTGGTTTTAACGGGACTGTCGTCTGCTGGATTTTCAATTTCCACACTCTTTTTATCAGCGTCTTCCTCGTCTATGTCATATATCACTTGTTTCTGAAATAAAAATATTTATAGTATAAACTATACGACTGACTCGGCTAGAACTATTTAATGGTTATAACACAGTGTCACTTGACACAGTGTCATTTGATCGTTTGTTAGTAATAATTTATCGTACTTTGACATTCAATTGATTCTATTATGTCATACAAATTCTCTAACTCACCCTTGACCAAAATACAATGCCACTCTCTCCCCTGAGACCATGACTTGTATTGTTTTCTCTAATCGTTTCATTTAAATCATCTTCACTAAATATTTGATTTGTGTTGTCCTTTATATAAACAATATCCTCATCTGTGTCAGGAGTAACCTTTACAATAGAAGCCATAATGTTAATTTCTGTACTTGTAGAATGTCTACGTTCATCTTTAAAACCCCGAGGTATTGTAATGGTGACAGTCTCCTCCGGTTTTACTCGTTCATATGACATAGCTATGAATAATAAGCCTAATTGGACCCAGTTTCCAATCTCTTTGGATTATAGAGCTTTGCTATGTAAACTTATTAGTGTTCAAAACATGCTTTATTCAAACACCTCTACTGAAATGATGCGCTCTCTGGCTCAGCCCACCGAATGAATAACTACGACAAAATAGTATGTTTCAATTTCAAAGTATTAAATGCTAAGATAAAGAGAGCTTTTAATTAATTCCAACATGTGGGTGCCAGTATCAGTTGAATTATTTATTGCGTCATAACAATTATAGATTTTGAGAACTTTGTGAGACATGAGCGTTTATTATACTATTTCCGTCTTTGTAAATGTGTTATCAAGGAAAAATAAATATTGTTACAGTAAAAAATTAATGATGATTCATATCTACGAAGATAAAAAGATGATTAAAAAATACGGTACACACTTTTCTTAAAGTCTAACTTATGTTTTTACCACATGAAAAGTTTCACGCATTTCTTATGTTATTCTAATGCGATACAACTTTTGGAAACTCCTCTTCCCACGCTATTAATTGAATCTTAAAATCTTAGAATATTTTAAGCTAGTCTGCATATATAGTCTTATTGCAGGTTATACAAATAGAATTATACATTCAAAGATAGATACTAGTACGTTAAGGTGCATGGCATCTAAAGAAGTGTAAAATCCTGAAAGAAATATTCTAAAATCGCGTCGATATTTCCCTTTCAATTCTATTTACCAAGAGAAGAACTGAGATATCAATTTACCATAGAGGTTATTGAATGTGCGAGTTGATAAGGATTGAACAAGAGAGTCCACTTTGATAAGTTTATAGAGATAGTTCAAATGAAAATCAAAGGATTATCACGAAACAACATTCAAGATTGACATGTATTGAGATAATATTTTTTCGAAAATAGCTCTCGACTTTTCTCCTATTTTCCCAGGTTATTGAGAAATCGTGGAAATATATGTGTTTATTGTACAGAACTAACTACTTTTTGAAGAACATGAAATGCCATTGAATAATCCTAAGCCCCGATCTCTTTCGTGTCTTTCATCCTTTTTCAAAATCACACAATTCAATTAACTTGTCCCAAAAACCAGCCGAGATGGAAAAATAAACATTTTCTTTTTCAAGTAAATTATATTTTTACAATCAGATTACGTAAAATACTTACCTGTGATTGAGAAGGCATTGTGTTAAAAAATAATAGTTGAGTTTTTAAAGGTATCTCTCTGCGATTAGCCTTGGGCGTTGGTTAAATCCCTGCATTAACTAAATATGATAAAAAGCTGCAATCCCCACATTTCCAGGTTCTGCCAAGTCTGCGTCCTGGTCATTTATACACTACGGACCCATTGTTGCATATACACAGAACTCCCAACCAAACCAAACAAGAAACAACACTTACCAAAGTTCCAATGATCCACTGCCCGAGAGCGAGACCGGTTTCAAAGTTCTCTTGATCGACATAAATGTGTGCAAATCATCATTCTCTTTCACACCATGTTTGCGTAGTGCTATAGAACGATGTTTGTCCTTTGCCTACATTTGTTTAATATGTTTTATATGCATTTGGTATTATGTTGGGATGGTGTAAATTGTAGGATCAAGTACATCTACGACTTCGACTTTGTCTTCGACTTGACTTACATGTATCATTGTATATATAGTTCATGGCTTAAGCTATATAAATTAACATGCATGCTCAAGTGCAAACCGGAAATACCAAAAATGGAAGCAGAACACAGCAAGAAAAAGAAAAAGATTTAAGAGTAAACCGCAGGCATAAGGAAAACAAACCCCGAGTGTCTAATATCCCCTCCCCCTCCATATATATATCTTTTATTGACTCATTCAAGAACCAATATCGCAATGACAGACCATAACGCCAAGGGACAGTTCATTCACACTGAAGTCATTAGTAACAGTATTTGTTGAAGAAGGAATTAAAATTGATAGCCAATATTCAAAACATCAAAAATAAAATTAAACCAAATGTGCCGGATGATACCAACAACAAAACTGTCGGTATTATTTGGAGTATCATTATACAAATATTGCATTTATTGAAAATTTGAATCATGTTTTGAAATGAAACTATGTTAAGCTCAAAGATGTATAGAAAAGTCAACGCATGGGACTGGTATCATTCAATACAACCCTTGAATCATGCGGCGCAAAAGAAAATGGGACAAACCCAAACATAAATGGATATAATGTACATCTAATGTTTCTTTATTGTCGATATAAAATTCTATATAAAACATTAATACTAAAATCAGTTTACATGTACATACATTCATAGAGACAACAATACATCGAAGATTTGACAATTACCTGTTTACACTACAATTTAGATTGATTGTTTTTGTAAAGATAAAATATAAAAGTAGTTAAAATACTAGTAGATATAAAAGGTTTTATTCCCGTTTCTTATTACCAGCTTTTACCCTGATATTTGTGTATTATATAAGCCATTTAGTATTCAAAGGAAATACTATTCGACAACCCTAGTAGTATTCTTAATACCCCTGTTCTGATGTCTTATCATATGCTATGAAATGCATACGGTATACGAAGGCATACGGTGTTCAAATCCCTTGGGACTTTGACTAAAGCTAATTTATAACATTACATGTACGCTTGTATGTAATATTGATTTGATTCTAAATTGCTCATCGTTAATATGATTGTACTGGTTGTTACAGTTTAATTAAATAATATACTGATATATGAATATTAAGTCTAAGGTTCTTTCTCTGTATCTATTGCCCTGATATAATGTATATAAAACATTTTCAAAAGACGAAAAGCTATAGTTCAGAACCGAATACCCAAGTCTCGATATGAATATATTTTTCAAGTGCAAATATATGCCCAAGGCTTTTGATTATTCAAAAAAGCTCATGTTATTTCCCAATATCGATAGAATGATTCATAATCAATTGCATAGCTGTATCTGCCTAGATTAAAATAGATTTTTATTCTTAACATATTCTAGTTATCAAACGGATAAATATCTTTCCATTTGTTGATATTGAACAACACATCTTTCACCGGGGAGTCTCTCGTTCTGATGTCCAGGGCTCTTAACTGGGAGTATGTACTTGATTGTCTATGCTAAAAGGAGTTCAAATTCAAAACTAGACTTCTCTCTTTGCAAATACATATTGGCGTAAGCCATAATCTGTAACTTCATAACTCGTATTCCAGCCCAGTCAGTGCAGTTGTATACCAAGGCCTGTACGTATACCATTTAAACTATGCACTTGGTGTGTATGTAACTGCTTATATGAATATGTGCTCTGTATATTATTCGATTATTAATCCAGTGAAGACAGGATTAAATGCATATGTCCCTCTATATGATATCATTTTCCAATATCTAATTTAAATCCTGTGTTTAACATGACATAAAATAGCAACACGACAAAGGAGATTCAAAAAATGGATCTTATAACATATGATGTGAAGCGTTTTACTTTAGGTGTTCAACGCAGAGACTTTGCCCTTAAGGATTTCCACCATCGGATGACTCCATGTTAAAGCCAGATTCTGAGAGTTGTACGCTGAGGTTTTTGACCATGACAAGCGGCAAGACAACGTAAACCACAATGAGAATAGCAACAATGATGATGGTGCTAATCAGTCCGATGAGACTCATAGCAAGCGAGATTTTGCCTTTGGTTCTTGCCGCGTCCAGCTCCCCGTTGTCAGCATCCCCTCGTGAAAGGCATGAGAATATTATGGCTACGACTCCTGAAACAGAAAATGTTAAAAATATAATATTCGGAATAGTAAAATATATACAGAATATCGCATAATTTTGAGTGATATCATTTTTATCGCCGAGTTGATATCAAATATCAACACGAGTGAGCGAAGCGAATGAGTGTTGATATTTGATATCTACGAGGCGATAAAATGATATCACGAGAGATAATGTGATATTGGGTTTATCCCATGATTACAATCACCTTGTGATGTTCTGATCCAATTTCCAGGACATTGGCAGACAATACAAACTAGAAATTAGAAATCAATTGAATATTTGAAACACTTTATTTTAATATGCACTACTTTCTGTACATGATATAGCTAGTTTGTCATAAATACCATTTTTAATCGTTATTTAGCAGGCTTCTAATCAAATTATATACACAATCGTAATTCAATACACCAATAAAACTTAAAGAGAATAAATCAACGGACCTATTTTCTCAAAAGAGAATAAATTATCTGACCTAATTTCCAACAATATTGTGGCGCGAAATGCAAATGTGATATCACACGGATATGCGTGAGATAAACGATATCACACGCATATGAGTTTGATAAACGATTTTCTGGAAAATATCACACGGATTTCAATTATATCAGAAATATCAATAGCTGTTATTGTACAGATAACACATTAATCGTGGGATAAATACAGAATATCACATCATTTTGAGTGATATCATTTTTATCGCCGAGTTTGATATCAAATATCAACACGAGTGAGCGAAGCGAATGAGTGTTGATATTTGATATCTACGAGGCGATAAAATGATATCACGAGAAATTATGTGATATTGGGTTTATCCCATGATTACGATCACCTTGTGATATAGTTTGTCATAAATACAATTTTTTAACCGTTATTTAGCAGCCTTCTAATCAAATTATATACACAATCGTAATTTAATACACCAATGAAACTTAAAGAGAATAAATTAACGGACCTATTTTCTCAAAAGAGAATAAATTATCTGACCTAATTTCCAACAATATTGTGGCGCAAAATGCAAATGTGCTATCACACGGATATGCGTGAGATAAACGATATCACACGCATATGAGTTTGATAAACGATTTTCTGGAAAATATCACACGAATTTCAATGATATCAGAAATATCAATAGCTGTTATCGTACAGATAACACATTAATCGTGGGATAAAGTTTTATATAAAATTAAAAATGGAGAGCACTGCTTGTTCTACAAATTCTACGAAGTGATATTATAGATGGCATTGGTGAATAGTACGAGAACGTTTATGCGACATAGTCATATTTTGCTTTCCAATACATGCAGCTTGGCCTTTGCTCCTTCAAAAGAGAGCTTCATTTGGTACTACACTTACTCACGGGTTGGTGTAGAAAGATTTGTCCGCTGTGACGGAGCATGCTTTTTTCATAAATACACTAAGTTGTAACACTTTATCGTTACGTTAACGGTTTTTTGGAGTTCCGTTTACATAACAATAGTGAGGTATCAAATCGAAGATTCTGTTGTCTTCTTAACTATTTGTTCGCTCACAGGTACATTTTCTTAAACATATAATGCTGATATACGTTTGTGATAAAAATGTCGTGGGAATTCTGCCTACAAAGCGTGAAATAATGAAAAAAAGAAAAATCGAACCGTTTCGGTAACCAGCGTTATTGAGTGGATCACCAGTGTTACTGTATTAGGCTCGAACTACGTACTCCAGACACTAAGGATTACATATTATGATGATCATTATAAATTGATGGTCTACTAATATACAATATACGCTGTACGTTAAATATATAATGCGAAACATATTTTATATAAAAATGTTTCAATTTTTGCACAAAATAGATGGAGGATATATAATACTAATTCATATATGTTTGCATTTGATAATTTTGAATCTAAGTGGATTTCCCTTTAGCATTGCCCTTATAGGAAGCACAATATGAATCCCACAATTTTCGCTATGTCCTATCTTTACCAAGAGAATAAAACATTCTAGTTGAAATTCACCCTAATCTTACTTGTTCCTTTGCAATTCGTTCGACTTCACTTAAAAGAGAGCTTTGTTGGTAGTTTATGACTCAGTCTGCGCGCCGGGTAAGTCATGTATATAAATGAATCAAGTGTTGAACCATTGGGATAGGTCCTTGCACTATGTCCCCTATACATGTGCAATAATGTCCCCGTTTTGTATGCTCTTGTCAGAACACAAACCCATTTCCCATATTAGTTGATTCCAAGTAAGGACCACTTGAGGCAACATAGAAAGGAGATACAATCATCCGTTCCCCAAAGTAGATTTCTCATGGAGTTACATCTATTCTTTAATAACATATATGTACCTCGCATCCTGGAGGCTAGACGTGGTTATTAACTATGAAGGCGTCTTTAAGAAGCGAGACCAAGCTATTGAAAAAGGTTACCTTAACACGTAAAGCGATTTTTATTTTGAATTCTGTCAGACATTGTATAACTTTAACATCACACCTTATCTACACTTTCAGCTTCCCGACAAGATTTGGTAGACTCTCTTATGTTTCTAATAGGAATTTAGTCCCTGTTTAGAAATCTTACCCAATATTGCATTACAGCATATGCAACTGAATACAGCAAACGCAAGGTAGTCGGATGGTCTTACTGTTGTCTGTATTATGGTTGTATGCGTAGCTCCTGGCTGGACCGTCACGGGGGTGTACCCATCCTTAGTGTACGTAGCGTCTGGTTGCGACATATTTATTTATAGATGGAGCTGGAAAATACAATGAACATTTTGAGTTTTGCATACCTTTTTCGGTTCTCGGTTAATTTTATAAATTTAAGTTAATTTTTTGTTTAGTTTGGCCATATGTTGTCAATTGTATATATAGAATTTTGACAGACAACCATTCTTTTATACTTATGGAATATGTATTACTTCATTCTGTATTGGGAATATAAAAAGTTAACTTTGCTTATTTATTTGTTTAACAAGGATCAGGTTTCCACTCAAAATCACCAGATAAGACCAATCCACTGCTTCCACTACTCGGTAAAATAAACTGTTGAACCCAGTTTTTACAGGCTAAATCGTGCCTTAATTTCAAATTATTACCGATGATGTTTAACAGAAATGATTTGAGGAAAACTGTTGATAATAGTGAAATAAGACGAAGTTGACAGAAAATAGTATATATTGTAATAAGACGACAGTGTTGAGAATAGTGTAGTGCAGTGACACTATTGTATTATCTATTATGTCATTGGTAAGATTAGTGGGATTGTATGAGAAGTGCACTAAGAACCATTGAGAATAGTTACTTAATGTAAGAACCTTTATATAGAAATACTATATAGTATACTACACGTTAGTACCATTGTTGGGAATAGAATACAACACGTTAGTACCGTTGTTGAGAATAGTATACTACACGTAAGTACCATTGTTGAGAATAGTATACTACACGTAAGTACCATTGTTGAGAATAGTATATTACAAGTAAGTACCATTGTTGAGAATAGTATACTGTATGTAAGTACCATTGTTGGGAATAGTATACTACACGTAAGTACCATTGTTGAGAATAGTATACTGTATGTAAGTACCATTGTTGAGAATAGTATACTACACGTAAGTACCATTGTTGAGAATAGTATACTGTATGTAAGTACCATTGTTGGGAATAGTATACTACACGTAAGTACCATTGTTGAGAATAGTATATTACACGGAAGTACCATTGTTGAGAATAGTATATTACACGTAAGTACAGTTGTTGCTGAGAATAGAATACTTCACGTACGTACCATTTAATTGTTGAGAATAATGTATTACAAGTAAGTACAGTTGTTGAGAATAGAATACTTCACGTAAGTACCATTGATGAGAATAGAATACTTCACGTAAGTACCATTGTTGAAAATAGTATACTGTATGTAAGTACCATTGTTGAGAATAGTGTACTACACATTAGTACCGTTGTTGAGAATAGTATATTACAAGTAAGTACAGTTGTTGAGAATAGAATACTACACGTAAGTACCATTGTTGAGAATAGTATATTACACGTAAGTACAGTTGTTGAGAATAGTATATTACAGGTAAGTACAGTTGTTGAGAATAGTATATTACACGTAAGTACAGTTGTTGAGAATAGAATACTACACGTAAGTACCATTGATGAGAATAGTATTTTACAAGTAAGTACAGTTGTTGAGAATAGTATATTACAAGTAAGTACAGTTGTTGAGAATAGTATATTACACGTAAGTACAGTTGTTGAGAATAGAATACTACACGTAAGTACCATTGTTGAGAATAGTATATTACAAGTAAGTACAGTTGTTGAGAATAGTATATTACAAGTAAGTACAGTTGTTGAGAATAGAATACTACACGTAAGTACCATTGTTGAGAATAGTATATTACAAGTAAGTACAGTTGTTGAGAATAGTATATTACAAGTAAGTACAGTTGTTGAGAATAGTGTACTACACGTAAGTACAGGAGTGTGTTTTGGTGTCGTTGTTGGGAATAATGTTTTGCAATACCATGGCGTAGACAGAATAGGTGACATGACTAATAATAGGCAGAATTATCTGCTTATTAACACATGCATCATTCAATCGATTAATTCTAGGTCAACGAATATAGCCACTCCCCCTCCATCATGAGATATCATGGCCTTCTATTAGCTTCACACTAGCATCATATTTCTGGTTAAAGGCAGAAAGATGTGATGAGTATCAGAATGATTCCCCCCGAACAATATCAGAACTAGTGTTGAAAATCTTTGAAAATCGCTAGATATGACTTGTCTACATTCGATATTTGATTTGTGATACCACATTTTATATCTACATTAAACACCAAATGGAATTAATCAACTGCACGTTAATTGCCAGTAATTGCCGTAAATACATCTCACTCGAGCTCCCTGTGCTTAGGGTTCATTCTACCATCACCCCAAGGCTTCTTTTGTTAGAGTGACTTAGAGTTGGATAACCAACAGATCGCCACTTTACAGTACATCAGGAAAAAGAAGATGTCTCTTGTCCAGCGTAACCATGCACCTCTATATGTAATGGCAGGCGGTGATTGATTATTAGACTCAATACAGAATAATCTTTATGGTTTATTGTTGGTGTCAATTAATGAACGGGGCATAATATATCTGATTATGTCCTACGATGAATCACCAGCTTTACAAATTGCGATATCGCATTTTGCTTTTGGCCAAATCGATTAATAGACAGTAGACACTGAACATGATGATATGCCGATGGCTTGCAAAGACCAAGAGGCTGCAACAGACTCGCTCAATAATTGCAAACATACGGCCATATTACATAATGTGCTACAAGTATAGTCAAACTAATTCGACCGATGAATATTATCAAATTGCTTCTTGTAATTCCATTTCTTGTATTTATTATGTCCATGGCCGGTTGGCAGAAATTATCCGTCTCCTCGAGTAGGTGGCCATTGGTTCTCAACATTGGTTCTCACCACATATTTCCGTTTCACAAAGTCCTCTTTTACAATGTTAAACTTATGATTTTGCTCCACAGATTCTTTGATTCTATCCGAAAGGAAAATTTAAAACCGTGTGTGTTGGTAATCATGCAATACATTGCACAATGGGCATCGTATTATTACTGCCATTACATTATAGCAGCTATGAAAGTATTGAAACATCCTTGGATAAAGGATGAGGTGATATAAAGCCGAACACGTTTTATGACCCCCTAATAACAAACATAAATAAGATGAAAGATCAAATTCGTCATTCAAGATAGGGCTTCATTACTATACAGCAGCTATGGTATGGAATGAAGTGAAATACCCTTGGGCCAAGGATAAGATGACCAACATTTAACCGATATTACCACGGCATCTTCTGGCTGAGAACAATAAGGAAGGAAATTGTCCTGAAACAATGAAACGGATGAAGATGCATTTGAAGCATTTCCATTTTATGAAATCCTAATGGCCGTACTGGCTCATATAAGAAAGGACCTTCCTACACAAAATTACAATGCGATTAAAGAGCATTGTGAGATCCACTGCCTATCTCAAGCATAAGATAAGAGAAAGAGCATATTCAAAACATTCCAAATTAATTTACACCGTACCAGGGACGTATTTAGTAATTGATGTAAATCGACGAAGGATTATATGTATGACATTGCGAGCCTTTTTATGGGACAGTGCGTTAGACTGACCTTTAATTGTGCCGCATGCCTTTAATTGTGCCGCATGCAGCTAGTTTGAGTGAACATGGAGATCAACAAAAATAACACAACCTGATAATTGCGCTCCATTGAGCTCACAATGGGTGGATACCCACAAGGCTGTGCTTTCTATAACTGGCCTGGTCCACATATATACATTTGAATTCTGTTTCAACAATGTTGTCAAAAGACGATGGATGGACAAATGAAATCATAATTGATTATGATCCTTTTCATCTGATGCTTGCGAGGACCACTCACTGTTGAACGTTCAAGACTCAAAGCTTATATCGGAATGTAAATAGGTGTAAAGTTGTAAACCATCGGCTGCCTCACTGTGTGTGCCAGGGCTCGGCTCATTTTGCCAGTTGCACCAATCCCGATCAATAATAGCGATTTGATCATCTCCCCAACAGTTACAAAAATATCAAGGCATACTCTCACGAAGATTACAATGTACAGCAATTTCCAGTCATATTTCTTCTAATAAATGTAGTTATAATTTAGCACAAGACAATAATTCATACACACTGAGACCACCCACCCCAATTTCTTTCATTATCAGATAATTAGTTCCACTTTATACATTATATACTGAATCAAATACAATATGTAGACCTATGTCACGAGGAAATATCAGTCTTTTCTAACAGTTTGCAGTCAAATCCCTCTTCATCTTGGCTACAGGAGGAACTCTTTTTAAGGTGACGACTAAGTAAAAAAAGTACTGACTCTGGCAGACGTATTTTTTTGATAAAGACACATGATTTTAAAAACTGATTTCCTTATATGTGAATGCATCTCCTGACTAAAAAGACATGTCAAAGTTAACATCACACATACACGTACTTGTAGGTGTATGGGTCCCTAAATCTAACATGGAAACTGTGGTCAAGTAAGGGGGGGGGTATCACAGAGGTTTGCAGCTACCCTTTTGCATTCGTTCGACTTCGCTTCTCAAAAGAGAGCTTCTAGTTTATAAATAGACTAGCTGCGCGCAGGGAAGTTTGCAGCTAGCCCAATTTTGAAAATTGTATTTTTCAAATCGTTTAGTTAACCAGAAAGGCCAAGAATTCAGAGCTATCAAAAATGAATGATGAAATAATTACCCCATTGATAAAGCGATTGGGATACAGTGTAACATGTTTAAAACGTCACTTAGCCATCTTGAACACTTCAGATATGGGACAACATTTTATATTGTGCTAATGGAGGCATCATGTTGAAGCTACCTAGTCATGCATTACATTACATTACTTATTAATGGTCGTTTAATTCACTTTATGAATTAATGATCATCGGTTCCGAATACTTGAATGACTGTACAACAAAGTAATACAATACCTTTTCACATGCATATGTGGGGAGGATTACATTTACTCTTAGGGGAAATATGATATAGTTCTAACAATCCCCCGGGAAGACCTTCACTAAAACCCATACTTTCTGAAGTACATCGCTGCGTGTCAGATGTTCAACTAACTAATTTGTCCCGCTATCAAAAGGTTCGATGACCGGCTTTGAATTAACACTTTCATTTTGATAATAATTGATTGCGGATTTTCTACATGTTTTTCAAATATAACGTGACATTGTTAAACCAATCGATCCAAAAATAATCATTCTTCGATTTAATTGGATTTCTTGAGGGAATGCGAATGTGTCGTAAAACTTTTCTTCGAGGGAGTAGGAATCCGAGAACGCAAGAATGCTGCTTTATCAGATATAAGGGAAGGGCCAGCCTGATGCGTATTTATATGTACTTCTACTCAAAGTGAATAGCTATTCCGAGATGCCATGCCTTGCCATTAGCTACAACTGTACAAGGGTCGGATCAAGCTAGTAGGTCATCATGCATGTCATGAGACAGGCGCACAGTCTACTCTCACATTAGCACACAAATACCTCAACAAATAAATACCATGGCAATATGCATTGCTCTCATTCGATCTCCTTTTTGAGAAGGCAATCTGTATCAAAATAAAAATGACAATTACACCAGAACAAGGCAAGGGCTAATAATGCCAGCTCAGCATGGCCTTTATTACCTGGCCCTAGCTTACTGAATAGCCAACACAGCAAATTGGATATAAAAGTAAAAGTGGACAGAAAGCTCAAACTTGCAAGCAACTCCCATTAAATTTAATTTCGGATTGCTAATTACTCAATTTTGATTGGCCAAGCTTGAGGAATTCGAAATATACACTGTTTTTAAATGTCCTAACAGATTGATCAAGTTTAAACCTAGCTGGAAAATATGAACACCATAACCTATCGGATATACAATACCTGAAGTTGCAATTATAATATATCCATAGGGGAAATATCGGGGCAATATGCTTCTTACTCCTAGGTCATGAACGTATTTCAAAAACGTTATTATTCAAATACAAATGGTTATTTTTGTACATTTGTATACGAGTTCCATTGATTACCTGTATGGCCAATGTATATTTGTCAACGTGTATACCTTTTTTACCGGGCTTTTTTAATATAAACATGGAGGTGATCGAACAGATTCTGCCTATTTAAGAACTGTAATGAGATCAATAGTTGACTATTATGCACATACTTACTCCAATAGCACACCATTGTTATCGTTTTTTATTCAGTTTTATAGAATATTGCTAATATAGATTTATACATTATTACTGACATGCCGAGTGCTTGAACCCCAGCCCGTTTACGATTGTAAACCAAGTGTCGCTATGTTTAATAGTATGGGAGGCACTCTCGTTGTTTGGTTCTTTGTTTCATATCAGTTCAATTGAAAAGTTGGAAGTTACGTCTCATATTTCTGGGAAACAAAATCTTGGCTAAGGTACAGCTGGAAAGTAACATTTTGGTAAAAAATTGCTATACCTGCACATGTTATTTTCTGGTACAAAATAAAGTATGAAGCCATGTGTCAATTTCCTTGCTTTTTTCAGGAAAGTATCATTACATTGTCTTCTTTTAAAATATCTGGTAGGCGTTCAATGGGAACTCCAGGAAATTCTGATATTTCACACTTTCTATTTTTCCAAATTTTCTTTCAAAGTTTCCAGACAACACAGGAGCTAGCATTGACCTGTTTCCAGATATTCTAAAAGAAGACAGTGTAATGATACTTTCCTGAAAAAGCAAGGAAATACACATATGCCTTCATACTTTTTAGCCATATATCATTTCATGAATGGCGGCAGACATACTGCACATGAACTATTTTGATTGATCGAGACTAGGATGAAGACAAGATCAAGACAACCATGTCTCCTTGAATTTTAATAGTGACTATCAGGTACTGATTGAATAAGTGAAGTATAAACGAGAAACGTGTGAAAAACTTACGTTTTAGACGTTATATCTTTCGTCGCTTTCCCGAAGAGCTGGAAATCCTGCAACGCTGTTGGTTTGTCAGCTTTATTTTCTGGATTATCTCCGTTGCGTTGTGCCTGTTAATCCCTTACGAAGTCTTATCATATAGTTCGTTGTCCTTGTCGACTTATTCTCTCTTTCTATTTGAGAGTAGTGTTTAACATTCAACGTTTTGACTCGAGGCCAGTGCTACTTCCCTTGTCCAGGTATCCCAGATATGACCTTTACACTTTTCTGAATCGCATTGGTAAATTAAAGCATTTTAGAAAGCATCTGCTGTATTGAGTATTCAATTCCCATCGGGCCTTGCGTGGCTGTGATTCGTTTAAAGACGTCACGTGATTGTACGCACCCACCTGGATGGAGATGGGCAGTTAATATGTCTTGTCTGTGTATTACAGTGATGGAATCAATCCAAGATTAAGACGAATTCCGCTCGAGATATATATAAATTGTTAATAACAACAATTGCATTTTAGGCTGAACTATAACACCCAGGGTTATAATAATATACATGGGCTGGCATATACTGTAACGGTGTATAAACATTTATTTGTTATCGTACACTTATTCGTATTGGCTGGAGGTATGTAGCATACTGAGCCAACGTTACATTTCCTTGGAATCCAGACAAGACACATGGGGAGAATGGCAGGCCCAGTACACGTAGGTTTACCAAGTTGCGCATATTCAGATGTATTCATATTGTATTTAGTTTGTCCATGCGGTTCGGCTGCGCAAGACGGTAATATACATGGACATCTACCAATGAATGCTTCACGTAAACTTTTTGCTCTCATCATCTCGGCAAAGAACAGATATAGTTTGAATTCCGAAATGTGGGTAAAACTACGAACCATCTATAGACTTCCCCTTCACATTCGTCGTCAGAAAACTAACTTTAACCCTAACTTCGAAAAATTCAACGCTCAGGGTAGTCTTTGAAATGAAATTGAATTTCTGGAAAAGATCGTGTTTGGTGAAATCGTATATTAAAATGATGGGCAATGGTCCAAAACGACTAAAACAGCGCTAGCATAGTGTAGCTCATACAATAGGTTCCAACTTAAAAGCGAAGTACACGTACAACACATGTTTTAAAGGGAGCATACGACTGAAACACCATGAATCAAGATGAGTGACTGAATCTGGACTATTCTTCTTACATCTTTTGCTAAATGTTTTGTCCGAAACTACAAAAATACGCAAAAATCCTATCATTCCCAGGGCGTGAAATATTGCACCCGCCAATCTCAGAGACGTATACAGTATCCCACTTCATATCACATTACTATATTAAAATTGTTATCGTTCTCACTATACTTTAAGGGGCCGAGTCAACATTTCAATGTCCGTACAAAAAAATAATGCGGTGTGACAAAACTCGCACACATGTACTCGCATAGATTTAAGAACGTTAAGTGGCCATGCACCACACATAGAATCCTAACCCGACTACCATAATTCAATCTGTTCACATTCATTTGAATACACTTTATACGGTAAAATAGATGGCGTACACGCATGCTCAGCTAAGAAGGTTTAGGGGTACACTGAATTACTCTTTGCATTCGTTCGACTACGCTTCTTTAAAGAGAGCTTTGAATTTAGTTTATTACTAGATTCTGCGTGCAGGGTAACACTGAATGGCATTTGCATGAAACTAGATGACATCCTTTACATGAGGATTGTGTTGCATTACAATTGTAAATCTCAATAGCGTAAATGGGCTTTAAAGCTTTTAAAGCTTTTCTTAACCTTTTATCAATGGTCGAACTCCCGTGCAGTGATATGTATACCGAGACACTGCATAGGAGTTCGATCAATGGTGATTCGGCCAAGTCTTTTTCACAAAACTTGTAAATCCTGGGAATAAATAATTAAGGTGAATAACTCTATCTGCAAATTAAACTTTCTTTAACAGAAAATAACATACAGAATTCATACTAATACAATTAATTAGTGGTTAAAATGCAGATCTCCTGAATGATGAGAATTCAATGAGATTTTATAACTAATAAGCAAACCCCTAATAGGCCAGTCAATTGGTGAAAAAAAACAGCCTAACCTAGGACAAATTGCAATAGTTTGCAAACTTAGTTTAAATTGTTGATCAATATTCACCTTATATCATATCAAAAATATAGGAAAATATAATTAGTGGACAAATGTCAAATTTTACTTCATAGGTACCCCCTACGACCCACCCCTAAATTTGCCTATTTGTTAAAAAATTTTTTTTATCTATAATTGAATAGTTTTTTCAAGATTTCTTGTTATATTATGATAATCGAATGACAAAACATAAATTTTTACCTAAGTAAACTTTCATTTGAGGCTTAGAATTTTTTGTTTCACCCTCGACGACCCCAAATGAGTCATTAATTAATTGACGTGTCATGTATCTTTTCTTATATTTCTAGACTGGTGCATTCCAAAATGATTAAAAAAATCATGGTGATACATGTATATATGGACATAACATATATGGGATACCAGTATCATCAGTGGCATATTGGGGAAGAAAAAATATATATAAGTTTTACATTTTCGCCCCACCCACTTTTGGGGTGACCTTACTTTTGCTAAATAATTTTCAAACTATGCAGTATTTCCTAACAATTCTACAACTTAAAGAATGATTTGGACATATTTCATCCAATATTAACTTTTATTAGAGTTTGGGACTCCTGTTTTGGACAAAATTATAACTGCAATTTGAAAAATCTGGAAAATGGGGGGGGGGGGTATTTTTTAAGGCTAATACTGTATGTTTTGACATATATATTTATATCAAACCAAATCAAATGTGCCAATAATAGGCCATGGCACTTATTTATGTGCTTATGTGAAGATATAATAGTGTATTTGTTTAAAATGAAAGTACAATCACTGATTTAGAAAGATTTGAGAAATCTTAAAATACTACTCTAGTATCTCAGACTGCTACAAGGCATTGCAGATTTTGGACTTCAAGAGAGATTCCGGTTGGCAATTAGTCATCGTTATTTATATTTGCACATATTCCTCTATATTCACCACTTGCCATGGAACAGTCCATTCCATTCTTTCGACATGTGCAATGCATTGTTGTGCAACCTGTCTTACAATTACATTTGATCACTTCTAAGAGTGAAGAAGGTCCTGCCGGTAAAGTTGTAGCAACTGGGAGATAGTGGACATTGTTCATTTCTCATCCCCATTCTTCTGGTGGAAGATTTACCCCCATCCTTGCTTGTACTTGATGATATACCCTTAGGCTGTGGTGCTTTGCAGCATCAGATGTCGGTGGAAGCACTTTTGGATGAACAGACTCTTGACTAGAGGCAGCTTTCTCATGAAACTTTTGTAATCTCAATTTGTTTAAGGTTTGCCCAAGCTTACCTCCTAATAATGATACAAAGGCAGCTTCTCCTTCTTTTGATATCATGTTTTGTGTGGCATCATGCAATTTAAATGTACAAACACTTTTCTGAAAGACATCAGATTTCTTTATCTGCCTTTCTGAGACCCGTTTCCCAACTCCAAATAGCCTTGATGTAGTATCACAGCCAAGAAGCGCATGAATGAATAGGATGTTGCTGCACACTATGTCACCAAAAGATAGTCTTGTATCTTTGATATTCCATATTTTGGTTTTGTGTGTGGATTGCTTTGGTTCAGGCTTGAAGAATATGTTGTGTTCAATGTTGTGGGCGCGATGAATAAGCAGCACAAGGAAATCAGTGTCATCTCCTACAAGAATTTTCTCAGAAGTTGCAGCACATTTAATTGCAGTCTCTACAATGAGAAGGTCTGCATCTGCTCTGACAGCAGAAAAATAAAATTCTGCTTGTTTGTTTGATTCATTAAGAAATCTTCTTTTTTACATTGGAGTTTCATTGTGTTAATGAATTGGATTACAGTTCCGGTGTTCCCTCCATTTCTACGAAGATGAGTTGCATCTTTTGTGCTAGGGCAATTTTTTGGTACCAATCAAATACTATTTTAGCATTTTGGTACCTCAACTGCACATAGTATACATATTGGCTTAAAATGTTCTCCCATGTAAAACCTTTTTGCCAAGGAATGCGATGAAGAAGGGCGCCTCCATCAATCACATGTTGAACATCTTTGTCACTTGGCCCTTGTAAGGAAGATATTTTTGGTGTCCACAATGCTTCTGCCAGTTGTGATTCTACCGCTGGTCTCATTACACCTTTTGATTCAGACAAAGCCGGTGGGAAGGAACAAAGCTCATAACCTAGAGCCTCTGACAAATCAAAAGATTGTGTACCAGCTATGGTAAGGCGTTGAAAAAGCAAAATAGGATCTATGTGTATTTCTTCATTTTTAACCTTGACTGCAGTTTTTGATCCCATGGTCACAACTTGGCTTTTTCTTTTGAAGGAACACTCAGATACCCTTTTCCCAATCATAGATGCCACAATCACGTTGCCTAATTATTTTGCGTCATATGCATTGACAGAAGAAGCTGCAACTGTTGCGATGTTACGTAATGATTGTTCAGGAAAAAGGGGATTTCTTTCAACAAAGTATTTCAAGATACACTGAGCATCTGTTACATCTTTGGTGATTCTTGTTGTTGTTGCATCTTTATGCTGCTCACTTGTGGCATATGTTATATCAGTGAGTTCTTGCATTGCACTGCTTATCTCTCCACATGCAGGTGAGGAAAGAATCCACACCAGACGCTGAATTTCAGCCATGCCCCGGCCTCTCGTGAGACCTCCTGTTGACTTGATGCTTCGCATTAGGCATTGCTCAATTATGAGATCTGCAGACAGTCCTGCCCATGACCTCACTACAACTAAATCTTACTAGCTGGGGCTGCTGTGACCTATCTGATCGACGAATGACATGTAGCCCATTCATAAAATGGGCATATACCTCTGGGCTCTGTTTTTCAAGGTTATTCATTTTTTGGAGATAAAGATATACAGACTTTAGGTATCGATTGTGACCTGCTGCTGCAAAATATGGCAACATATCATGCAAACATTGGAGATGAAGTGTCCAACTCCCAATCCTTTCTCCTTTTATGAAGTTCCTAAATAGGTCGATCATATCCATGTATTGCAACCATAGCTTTGCTGTTTTTAGGTTTTGAAGTGAGTCCTTCTCAGCTTGAAGCTTTTCTCCAAAGACTGTTGCAACATCAATTTTTCATCATTGTCATGAATTACATGATTTATTATCTTATAAAGGACAAGATGCAATTCCTTCAGGTCAATATGGGTTGTATCATTCTCTACTTCAACAAATGGTTGTTCCTGTGAATCATTTTGTTCTTCATTGGTCTGATCAAGATCAATGTCATATATCTGAGCTGCTAACATAGTATTCAATGCACTATCAATCAGAAGGTGGCCTCTAACTGCCCTAGAAACTTCCTTACCAGATAACATATGACCAACTGTATTTTCAGCATATACCAAGCTTAGGACAGCATTTAATCCTGACCCCTCCATGATGTGGCCTACAGAGCCAAG